TGGAGTGGCTTTGGGTATTTTAGCCCTGATTTTTCTCCTGGAATGCCAGTATCACAGCGAATTTAAACACCCCGCGGATTTGGATCCCCCAGTCCAATTCCGCTAGCGGTTTTGGACCCCCCGGCCCAAATCCGGAGATCCGGAGACCCCCCTACCAAAATTTTCTTTTTAAGCATTGTTTGTATCATATTTGGTAACCAATTCTATTCCCAAGCTCTTTGTCGATGTTCTTTTCAATCACAACACAACATTGTCTCGATTTTTGCATCCGCTTAAAATTTCAAAACTGTAAAATTTTGTCAGCGCTTGATCTGCTCATGAGACCAGCTGGCATAGTTTGCTAATAGACTCAAACTCCAGTTTCAGGATTCATCGTACGTCGTTTCAAAGTTTTAAAATCCACGAGTGTCGCGACAAAAGAAAGCTAATGTCTGCCAGATAAATTTTAGTGAGTTCAATAACAAGCTGGTGGCAGCTTTTACGACAAATGGCGTTGAAAACTAAGTCTCTTTTCACTGCCTCACATTCTTCTTTTTGCTCTGGATGCTAAAAAATGCTTTTACTACATTTCTCAGGTGTTCTGATGTTTAGAACATACCAATAACTGTTTTATTTTTTCCAAATCAGGGCTGAAATACCCAAAGCCACTCCAATCTTTGCTTTCCATGGATCAAATCAACAATTTAAAACATAAAATTCTCATTTTCCAGAAGGCCTAAAGGTCTTTTCTGAATCTGGTTGTAAGAAAATTCAAGCAAAGTTGACTATGTGATGGGGTGAGCAATTTTGAAAACTTTGCAGTTTGGACAAAGTAGGCAGCAAGCCAGGCTGACATAATGTGTAGAGAAAATACAGAAACTGGTTTTTGAAGTAATAGCAAAGCTTGTCACATAGACTTATGACAGTGACTTTCCAGTTAGTGTGCGTCAGCCTTTTAAACTTTGTTTTAGATATTAGTGGGGTGGGGTAAGTTCAGCAGAGGGTGGAGATGGAGGAGTTGGAAGTATGTTTTAGATACAAAGAAGACAATGATCTGATAGAGAGAATAAGTACCTGAGAGAAAACAAGGGAATGAAGACCTACTGTAAATTGATTTATCCTCAGCGTTTTAATAAGTGCCTCTTCTACCAATAAGCGCCCCTCTTCTGTTTCAGCGATAGCACTACAGAGTACATGTACACTGAGATCAACCATGGGTCATCTTTCTTTAAATGCTCACTAAGAGCCTCATAACAAAAACAGTTGTATTCGTCTCAGTATCCTAACTATTATGTTTACGTGAGTCCACAGTTCCTTCAAACAAGTGATCTTTCTTAAAATTCTTAAAATATTGTGATGATTGCATGGCTGGTCGTTCTAGCCAAGAGGGATTCAGTGGCGATACCTTCATTTTCCATCCGTATTGATTCTTTTCAATAACCATCAAGGCCTTGTTTCACACATTTTGCGATTTCTGAATAAAGGAAATGAGCACACTGTTTTAAATAAAGGTCCTCCCCCTGGGAACCAAAAGTATATAAGTGCCCTGAGCACAAAATCAAATCTTTACTATAGTTAAGTTTCTTACGAAAGTTTCCTACTGCTTTGGAGAGTAACAAAATACTTGGTTGATGACAGAAATCTAGAACTTATGCAGCTGAAGAAATCAGGTATTTCAATCTTACTTGCTCTCTCAGATCAACAAGGGTGAGGGCTGATACTTAAAATGTCAGCTTTTCTTGAGTTACTGTTGCAGCCAATTGACTTACCTCTTTTTGATTTAAAATTATATTATGCCAAATATTTCAAAATCCCAAATCAGGCTTTCTTGTACAGTGTTGTTTCTGATCAAAATGAAAGTTCTACTGAAAGCAATGATTAAAGGGCAGTAAAGGAGAAATTCTTGCCTTAGCTTTTCATCTCGATTTTAAAATTATGTACTCTAATTTTCCATCCTCTGCGAGAATCAACAGTAATTAGTGACAAGATGTAAAGCAAATCTAAGAATGGGAACTGTATTGGTACATTTTCTTTCTTTTTTTAAGAACCTAGCACTGTCTCAGCATGTTTCTTTAAGAGAGATCTAATTGGATCTACTAATCTTTCATTGAGACATGACAGTCATTTATAAAATTCTTGATTCTGTCGTACAAGAAATTGTTGTGTCTTGAGTCCGTACAGATTACCCATGCTAGGTACCAGTGCTTAGTGAGGTTATTAGACTTTCTTGCGTAACTTCATTAGAGTGTGAAAGATGTTGATATAGTGTTAGTGGTATTCTTACTACAGGTAGTCCAAAGAATCCTCTTCTGATGATATTTTAAATTCATTTTATAAAAGTTTCAAAAATAAATCAGTGTTTTTTTTTGTACTTCTTAGACATGTCTTGTCTTGAGAATTTCATGTGTCATTGACCACTAGTTAAAATTTATAGGATGAATTTCATATTTTGTTAAAATTGATATCGTTATTGTTTAGGAATGTAGGGTGTGTTATTTAGTTCTCTTGCAAGGGTCATCATGAGGGTTATCATACGCATTTGCCTACACCTGTACCTGAATACCCACTGTATAACTAAGTTTAGGTCTATTTCATTTTATTCATAGCTGGATATCCCAAAATGATCTTCGTATCTGTCCAACATCACTAAAACCTCATCTTAAGAGGGAGGGGGAACATATATGGACACAACATAGTAAAAACAAAGCTGACTTTCCACGAAGAAGAGAAATTTATTGTCACTTTTATATCAAAATGGTGACAGAGGGACTTGTTTCCTAATGAATACCTCATACATGTATGAGGTACTTTATTTATCACCTAGCAGAGAAAGTTTAATCAAATTTTGGGTTATAAAAAAGGTGTAGAAGTACCTTTAAGCCACCTCAGGTAATACTTCGATGTAGAGTATTTACAAAATTTGACAACTGTTGTTGCCTGTAGTTAACCTGTCACATAGTATATGAGTAATTATCATCAGTTCTTTGATTCTTCATTGTTGAAAGGTTAATCTGACTTAGTTTGCCAACTGGCTTCAATTTTACTTTGAGAGGGAGGGGAGGGAAGCGGGGATATACATTTGGTACCAATGTTCTCAGCTAACCCTGCTTAAAACATTTTTACAAGGGAAACTTGATTTGAGTATATTTTTTTGGAAGGAGGCTGCCTCTTGAGAGCCTGGGTTGTGAGTGCATAGTACTATATAGCAATTAATTTCTGTGACTCTTGGGTTGATGGCTAGGAAACGGAACTTAATTCAACTTCCCTAATCTAATTTTCCATAAAACATGCTGGGCAAAAGAAAACAGAAAAAAGCCTTTTTAACCGCGCTTTCCAATTGCTCAATATTTTCCAGAAGGTGCTTCAATGAACATGAAGGACACATCGTCATATCAGTAAAAGATCCCAACCAGCACTTATTTGAGGCAAATACTTTTGGACATTCATACAATTTTTTGAAAAATGTGAAAGGGAGTCTTAAAGGCGAGGTTAAACTACAATATTTTAATTAAGAGTGCATGAGTTTAAATACATGTATTTCTTATTTGAATAAAATTTTTCTCACTTGTCAGAAATTTGTTCAGTTTATGACATTTTCAAATACGAACCTGCCACATCATATCTATTTTAGACAATATATGCTCCCAATCAAACCTAAACTTTAAAATTTTGCTCTGTCAGAAAATTACCGTGAAAGTAAGTATTTCACATTGTTCCTCATTAGATAAAGATAAATCAAATGTTCACTGTGTGCTTACTGAACTTTCTTTTTTACTGTAAATTTATTTTCTTAATGAACTCTGTTGGATTATACTCCATTCAAGGATGTCTTAAATTGACTTTTTAAATAGGAATATTTCTGAATCATTTGGGCTGAATTTTATACCGGTGCAAACAATTTTCTTTAAATGAATTCAATATCCTGGCTAACCAGATAAAATAAAAGGCTGAGTACACAAAAAATGTTCAAAATACTTCTTCATCGACGTAAATTTTTCCATATGCAAAGAATGACATTTGACCAGTGCAAAATATCATATCAAGTAACTATGGAGAAAATATCTAGTTTGTATTTTCTTTATCAAATCAAATTCTAGTCAAATACTAATTAATCCCAGTTCCCCTTCCTTCAAGGGATCTATTGTTGATGGAAATAAGAATTCGAAATATTTTGAAAAAAGAATATCAAACAATAAAGGAAAAATAAACCTGGTAAAATTAAAGTCAAACATTTTATATTGACTTGCAAAAGGACACCAGCCAAAGAATGTCAAAAAAATAGAGATGAGCTGGATGACATATACAACTGATCTTAAAAAAAAAAGGTTGTAGAATCAGTGGACAACTTCAAGTTACAATTATTCAAGGGGAAAGGATAAATGAAGGCTTAACTCAATACCCCCAAAAGCCTCCTGAACCAAACGTTAATTTTAAAGAGTAAAATAAACTGATTTTAAATCGTGATAACATCTGAGAGCTCACTATAGAAATAACCGGAAAAAATGTTATCGGGTATAAAATTAAGTTTGATCACAAACTATCTCAATAATGTCCATATTTTGCTCCTTGACACTAGCGTCAAAAATTGAAAACACTAGTGTCTACAATAAGATGCCAGTGTCTGAAGTCGCACACTGCTGTAATATGTCAAATACAGGATAAAGCTGGATGACCATCAGTATACAACTGACTATTTAAAAACTGGCTTTAGAGTCAGTGGAGAACTCCTAGAAACAATTACCTAGGGGAGGGTGTAAATGAAGGCGAAACTCAACACTCCAAAACGTTTCCTGAACAAAACTTTAATAAATTTCTATTACCTGAATTGGAATAATGATATTACCTGAGGGCTCTGATAAAATTGGCTATTGAGCTTTAGTGAAAATGAGAGACAAAAAATCAATGCATGCAATCCATTATTGACAAACTTGACAACTTTCTGGGACTATTTTAAGTTTGCCACACAGCCTAATATTTACATATATGTGTAAGGTCTTACTTTAATCAACAGATAAAAATGCGAATTAAGTTGTTGAATTTCATGCATTGCAAACCATCCACTGTATTCTGTGAATAGTCATTAGCTCTTATTTTCTGACAATCTGCACAAAACAAACCAAAGTAGCCAGGCAAGTCCATACTTTCCATGATGAAAAAGAAGCAATCAATTCTTACATATTTGACCTCAGCTTACAGATAATAGTCCTTTCACACTCTTGATTTAAATTCTAATCCTCCTGCCTAAACACCCGACGTTTTTGTGTTGGCCACTCCTAAAAATTAAGTCCTCAATAAGGGCAATATCCCCTGGTTGACTAAACTCTAAATTTGCTACATTCTGTTAAATTCTAAATGTCTGACAGAGTAACGATAATTCACTAACTAATCTTGCCAATGACTGCGAACAGTTAATGGATTAAGAACAAAAGGCCCTTGCTGAATCACTAGTTTCGCCATTCATGAGCACCACTGTGTCAGCAATGCGGACCAGGAGAGCAGCAATTGCATCCTTATCATCCTTTGCCCAAACATCACCTGAAAGATATTTTTCTACTCTTCCCTCTGCTTCTTCAGGAGACAGAGATGAGCTGGGCTCTACCGCCATATGTACAGTAAAAATAAAGGCCAATTGCTTATTTGGTGCATTTTGATCATCACAATATGAGTGAAACAGAAGTTGTGAGGGTGGCGGGAGAAGCTCAAGGTGATGGATAAGCACTACCCTGTGAAGAGCCTCGATTTCTTTCTTCAGAAAATTGTCCATCGTCATTTTGGTCTCTTCTGGAGGATTTGCCTTCTCTTTTTCACCATAAATTCTGGTCAGATTTTTTTTATGTCTTGGATCCAGAATTTCTGCTAGTTTAGTGGCCAAGCAATCCACGTATTCATGTGCTGCTGGAGGTGCAGCCAGTAGGAACACCAGGGGTTGTGGGGGATCCTTATTCCGTAGATGAGCCAATCCTCGACTTCTTAAAATCTTCCAGAACCGGCGAGTCTGATTAGTGAATGAGAACTGTAAATTTTGAAGCCCATTTTCGAAGACTCTCTCCAGGTCAAATTCAGTCTTCATGTCGTCCTCAGGAGGATAAAAGTAGATTATAGCTACAGCAACACATGCAACTGCGACTGCGGCGACGAGGAAACTTCCCATAAGAAGAAAATAACCTGATTGCGACTTGGTGCCAGGATGCAAAGAGTCGATACGTTTTTGACTCTCGACTCTCTTAAGATCTAATTGATTCTTGTCCATCCTATTTTTCAAAGACTTGTCAGCAAGTGTCGGATCGCTTTTGTTATCAATTGGGTTAAGGTTAGGTAATTGCCGCGGTGCTGTCTTTACAGGTTCACAAGCAGATGTGTTTGTCCTACTTTCCTCATGCTTTTGTTTTCCTTCCTCCGAGTCCTTCTCAACTTTATGTTTGTTTGCACCTTCGCCACCGTCACTTTCATCTCTAATCTTCTCAACAGAGGCTTTATCAGGTTTCCCTTCTCCATCACGTTCATCTTTATCCCCTGTGGAAGACATTATCTCAGCAAAAATTTTAAGTGAATGATGATCTCAAACTCTCAGGTTCTAAGATTTGTTTGTGCGTTAACAAAGCGCGCGGTTCCCGGAAAAGGGGCTTCTGGTAACGACTTGCATACATTATTTACTCTAAAAATCAAGGTCATTGGTCAGTTGACTAAGACTAACCAATAAATATTGCTGTACTAAATAACACGGAAGCTTTTTTAGAAAACGTGCAAGCGAACAAAGCGCGTGGTTCCCGGAAAAAGGTCCCCTGGTAGCGGCTTGTAATTATTATTACTCTAGCAATGAAGGTCATTGGTCAGTTGATTGAGACAAACCAATGATAAGTGCTGTACTAACTAACACGGAAGTTTTCGAGAAAACTTTCAGGCAAACAAAGCGCGCGGTTCCCGGAAAAAGGACCTCCAGTAGCGATTTGTATTATTTACTCTAACAAGGAACGTCATTGGTCAATTGAATGAGACTAACCAATGAAAATTGCTGTACTAAATAACACAGAAGTTTTTTTGCAGAAAATCTGCAAGCAAAATAAAGCGCTTATCACTACTGCAGAAATATGGAGAACATGGGGAGACTTGTGCTTCTGATGACAATTTTTTGTGCACCTATGACAAATGCAATACTTATTGAAGGTATTGTTGGAGGTGCTTTTCTTGTAGGTGGCTATTTGGCGCCTAAAATTTATTGTCATTTCACTGAATGCTGTCACAACAAGTGGATTAAACCCAACATAACGGGTTTACAGACAGCCCTTCGGACGCGTGTTTTTGGTCAACACTTGGTCACTGATACCGTTGTAAAGGCTCTTGTTGGACATTTGAACAACAAGTCACCCAATAAAGCGTTGGCGATTTCCTTCAACGGCTGGACAGGATCAGGAAAGAACTTTGTGAGCAAAATCATTGCCGAACATATCTTCAAGAAGGGATTGGAGAGTGATTATGTTCATCTGATCATAGCTACCCATGAATTCCCTCATCAGTTCCAAGTAGAATTTTACAAGCGACAGCTGCGCAATCGAGTGGTAAGTTCTGTATCAAATTGCCCCAGATCGCTGTTTATCTTCGACGAAATGGACAAAATGCCGATAGGCCTCGTAGATGTGCTTAAACCCTTCTTAGATCACTACCCCCCTGATGAAGGAAAGATCGATTACCGTCAAAGTATCTTCATATTCCTCAGCAATACGGGGGGTCATCTTATCAACAATGCTGTTCTAAAACACTGGAAAGACGGAAAGAAGCGAGAAGATATCAAGATCAAAGAGATGGACAAAGTCATCAATCTCGGTGAATTTAATAACAAGGGTGGATTTTGGCATTCCTCTCTAATTGAAAAAAATCTCATAGATTACTTTATTCCATTTATGCCGCTGGAGAGATCTCACGTTAAAAAGTGTGCTCAAGCCGATTTAGAGAAGAAAGGACATCCAGTAACAGATTCCATCCTAAATAGAATAGCAGATGAGTTGTTATACTTTCCAGAAGACCTAAAGGCCTTTTCTGAATCTGGTTGTAAGAAAATTTCAAGCAAAGTTGACTATGTGATGGGGTAAGGGATTTTAAAAACTTTGCAGTTTGGACATAGTAAGCAACAAGTGAGGTTGACATAATGTGTAGATGATTAATAGAAACTGGTTTTTGAAGAAATAATAAAACCTTGTCACGTAGACTTACGGTAGTGACTTTCCAGTAGGTGTGACCTAGCCTTTCAAACTTTCAAGCTTTAGAAATGGGTGGGGTGGGTAAGTTCAGCAGAGGGTAAAGATGGAGGAGTTGGGAGTATATTTTAAATACAAAGAAGATAATTATGCGATAACGAAAATAGGTATCTCAGAGAGAACAAGAGAATGAAGCCCTGGTGTAATAATTTAATTTACTGCCCTCATTCTTATAAGCCCCCCCTCTCCAATAAGCACTCTTGTTTAATTTGTTTTTGTTAATAAGGGCCCCTATTTAATAATCACTCTCATTTCATAAATGCCCTTATAGCAATAAGTGACCCTCTTCTGTTTCAGTGATGGGACTGCAGAGTACAACTACACTAAGATCAACCACAGTTCATCTTTCTTTAATTGCTCAAGTAGAGCCTCATTTCAAAAACAGTGGTCTTCATCTCAGTATCTCAGTTATTATGTTTACCTTAGTGCACAGTTCTTCAAAAAATGATATTGTCTTGAAATTTTGTGATGATTGCTTGGCTGGTCGTTCTAACGAAGAAGAATTCAGAGAAAACACTTCCATTTCCATTCGTATTGATTCGTTTCAAGTAACCATAAAAACTTTGTTTCACACATTTTGGTATTTCTGAAAAATGAAATGAGCACCCTGTTTTGAATAAGCACCCTCCCTTGGGGAACCAAAAGTAAATAAGTGCTGGAGCACTAAATCAAACCTATGCGGTAGTTTAGTTTCTAAGGAAAGTTTTAATCTGCTTTAGAGAGTAGCAAAAATACTTGGTTGATGAGAGACATGGGATTAATGAAGGAAAATTTAGAACTTAAGTAGCTGAGGAAATCAGGCACTTCAATCATACTTGCTCTCTCATATCAATAAGGGTAAGAGCTGATATTTAAAATGTTAGCTTTTCTTGAGTTACTGCAGCAGCTGATTGATTTAACTCATTTTAATTTTGAGATTATATTTTGCCAAATATCTCCAAATCCCAAATTAGGCTCTCCTGTACCATGTTGTTTTTGACCAAAATGAAAGTTCACTGAAAGCAATGATTTAGTAAAGGAGACATTCTTGCCTCAGCTTTTTATCTGAATTTTAAAATTGTGCACCTTAATTTGCTATCCTCTGTGAATCAACAGTAAGAAATGATAAGATGTACTGCAAATCTAAGAATGGGAACTGTATTGGTATATTTTCTTTCTTTTTCTAGGAACCTAGCATTGTCCTAGCATGTTTCTTTTAAGAGAGATCTACTTGGATCTACTAATCTTTCACTGAGACATGACAGTCATTTGCAAAATTCTTGATTCCGTCACACAAGAGATAGTTGTGTCTTGAGTCCATTCTAGGTACCAATACTTAGGGAGATCAGTAGACTTTCTTGTGTAACTTCATTTGAGCAGGAAAGGTGTTGCAGATATAGTGTTAGTAGCATTATTTCTATAAGTAGGTAGATAGTACTAATAGTATTTTATACCCATATTTTAAAAGTGTCAAAAATATATGTGTTTTTTGGTAATACATGAACATGCATTGTACAAACAAGTTTTTTTAATTGAGCTTAACATTCAGGCTAACCATAGAGACAAAATAACCGGATAAGTACACTTAAACTTATAAAGGATATAGTCTGAGTTATTAAAGGCTTGCAGGGAATAAAACTCTCATCAAAGGGTTTTGCTGTCCAGAAGTCTTCAGTGTGTGGCAGTCAATGTATACGGGACCTAACATAGCTTATGAAACCTTATGAATACCTATGAATAATCTGAACATAAAAGGACCATTAAGGTGCACTGAGAGTTAATTAAAAAGGCTCCCAGGTCCAACGGAAGTACAAGTTAGCTTTATTGGTTGCATAAAACCAAGCTAGCTTTATTGACTTTTGTACTCAAGAAATGCTCTTAAAATTACCTATCAACTGGTACATTCTTGTTGAATGTTTTCCTCTTCATCCTCCTCATAACACAGGGCCTCCATCATAGATATAATGCAGAAATGTCCGTGCCTCTTATGAAAGCTGCCCGTGGTCAGAGTCTATAAAGAAACATCTTGAGGATACAATGAGAAAGTTGTTTTCTTTAAATACTAAAAATATGAACCCAGTTTATGGACAGGTTTAGCTTGCGAGTCTGTAGGGCATACAACTAAGAAGTCAAAACATCTGAGGTTTGAATCTACATCCAAGACAGGAACATTATATTTTCCAATCTTACAAAAAATGTTCAAAATACTTCTTCATTATAGAAATTTTTTTTTAGTAGCTTGTTGGTACAAATTCCACACGTACTTGGACATCAATACTTTGATAGATGTTTTTCCATTTGCCAAGCATTTGACTTGTACAAAATATAATATCAATCAACTATGGAGAACATATTTTGATAGTATTTTCTTTATTTAATCAATTTCCAGTCAAAGGTTGATCAATTCAGGCCCCCCTTCCTTCAACGGCTTCATTGTAGAAGGAGATAAGAATTGAAAATTTTTTCTAAAGAATATCAAACAATAACGGAAAAATAGTGAAAAAACAAAAAAAATCAATGGATGCAATCCATTACTAAAAATTATGACAGATCTGAGAAACAAGTTTGCTTTTGTGAACTAAAGCACATCATTCCAGTGGTCAGGATAACATTTAAATGCCAGATAAGCGATTATTATCTTTAGCTTTAAGCCTTAAGACTAAACCTAATACACTAAACAAGGTCTCAAACAAACGTATAAAGTAAATATCCCAAAAGTACGAATGTTTAGGCTCACAAATGTTCCCTTGATGATATCGAGTTGTTGTGAACACTGAGAAGTTTCACTGGGTTTGAAGGAAGGTGAATGGCACAATGTCAATCAAATTTGACAAGTCTTTTGGACTACCTTTAGCTTGCCACACAGCCTAACATTTCTATGTATGTGAATGGTCTAGCTTTGACTAATGAATAAAAATGCAAATTCAGTTGTTGAATTGCATGTATTGTAAACCGTCTACTGTTGTCTGTGAATAGTCATTAGATCTTGTTTTGTGACATTCTACAAAAACAAACCAAAGTAGTCAGGCAAGTCATAATTTCCATTATGAAAAGGAAGCAATCGATTGATACATATTTGACCTCAGCTTACAAACAATAGTCCTTCCACACTCTAGAACTAGATTCTAATTCTCCTTCCTGAAAACCCCACATTTTTTTGTCGGCCACTCCTCAGGCGAATTAAATGCTCATTTAAGACAACATCTCCTGGTTGACTAAACTCTAAATTTGCTACATTCTGTTAAATCCTACATGTCTGTCAGAGTAACAATAATTCACTGACTCATCCTGCCAATCACTGCTAACAGTTAGTGGATTAAGAACAAAAGGCCCTTGCTAAAGCACTAGTTTCGCCATTCATGAGCACACAGTGTCAGTAATGCGGACCAGGACAGCAGCAACTGCATCCTTATCATCCCTTGCTCAAACATCACCTGGGAGATATTTCTTTGCACTTCCCTCTGTTTCTTTAGAAGACAGAGATGGGTCGGGCTCTACTACCATATGTACAGTAAAAATAAAGGTCAATTCCTTATGTGGTGCATTTTGATCGTCGCAATAAGAGTGAAACAGAAGTTGTGAGGGTGGCGGATGAGGGTGGCTCAAGGTTATGGATGAGTATTACCTCATGAAGAGCCTCAATTTCTCTCTTCAGCAAATTGTCCATAGTTATTTTGGTCTCTCCTGAAGGACTTGCTTTCTCTTTTTCACCATACATTCTGGCCAGATTTTTTTTATGTCTTGGATCCAGCAATCCTGCTAGCTTAATGGCCAGGCAATCCACCCATTCATGTGCTGCTGGAGGTGTAGCCAGTAAGAACACCAGTGGTTATGAGGGATCCTTATTCCGTAGGTGAGCCAATCCTCGACTTCTTAAACTCTTCCAGAACTGGTCGGTCTGATTAGTGAATAAGAACTGTATTTTTTCAAGCACATTTCCAAAGTGTCTCTCTGGGTCAAAGTTAGTCTTTATGTCGCTCTTAAAATGACGAAGGAATATAGCTAAAATACATGCAACTACGACGGCGCCTAAAATTCCCATCAGGGAAGATAACTTGATTGCGACTTGGCACCACGATGCAAGGCTTTGAAAATTTTTTGTGGCAGTCCCCCAAGATCTGATTGCTGTTCATCCCACTCTTTTTTCGAAGATTCGTCAGCAGTCGGATCGCCCTTGCTACCTTTTAGGTCAGTGTTTAAAGAAAATTTCCCCTTATCTTGTGCATTCTCTATAGGTTTACGAGCAGGTGTGTTTTTCCCTTTATGATCGTTTTCGCCAATTATTTGCGAAGTGGGTGTATTACGTTCCTGCGTTTCGTTACGTTTTACAAATTGTAATGTTTACATTATTTACTCCAAGAAGGATAGTCATTGGTAAATTGATTAAGACTAACCAATAACCAATGCTGTACTAGATAACACACACTTTTTTTTACAGAAAACCTGCAAGCGCACCGAAGGGCTCTTCACCTCTGAAGAAACATGTAGAAAAAGGGGAGACTTGTGCTGCTGATGACAATTATGTGTGCTAAAGCCGATTTAGAGAAGAAAGGACACCCAGTCACAGAATCCATCATAAACAGAGTAGTAGATGAATTGCTATACTTTCTAGAAGCCTTCAAGGTCTTTTCTGAGTCTGGTTGTAAGAAAATTTCAATCAAAGTTGACTATGTGATGGGGTGAGGAATTTTGAAAACTTTGCACTTGGGACATACTAGGCAAGACATAAGGCTAGGCATAGGCTAGACTGACATAAAGTGTAGACAATTAATAGATACTGATTTTTGAAGAAATAGTAAAAGCTTTTCATGTAGACTTACGGCAATGACTTTCCAGTTAGTGCGAGTCAGCCTTTCAGACTTCAGTTTTAGAAATGGATGGGGTAGGTGAGTTCAGCAGATGGTGGAGATGGAGGAGTTGGAAGTATGTTTTAGATACAAAGAAGACAATTATCTGATAGAGAGCATAGGCATCTGAGAGAGAACAAGAGAATGAAGACCTACTGTAATAATTTGATTTATCGCCCTCGTTCTAATAAGTGCCCCCTCTCCAAAATTCAACCGCGTTTAATTTGTTTTTAGTATTAGGCGCCCCTATTTAAAAGAGACCCTCATTCCTTTAAGTGCCCCTATACCAATAAGCGCCCTTCTTATGTTTCAGTGATAGCACTGCAGAGTACAACTACACTGAGATCAATCATGGTTCATCTTTCTTTAATTGCTCACGCAGAGCGTCATCAGAAAAACAGTGGTCTTCATCTCAGTATCTCAACTATTATGTTCCCCTGAGTGTACATTTCCTTCAAACAAATGATTTTGTCTAAAATTTGTGATCATTGCTTGGCTGGTCATTCTAGCCAAGAGGGATTCAGGGATAACACCTCCGTTTCCATTCGTATTGATTCTTTTAAAGTAACCAAAACTTTGTTTCAAACATTTTACTATTTCTGAGAAAGGAAATGAGCACCCTATTTTGAATAAGCACCCTCCCTTGGGAAACCCAAAGTAATAAGTGCCCCAAGCACTAAATCAAATCTGTACGGTAGTTAAGTTTCTAGAGAAAGTTTTATACTGCTTTAGAGAGCAACAAAAATACTTGGTTGATTAGAGACATGAAACTGATGGGAGACATGAAGAGAAATTTAGAACTTAAGCGTCAGATCAAGTGTCAGATCAACAACGGTGAGAGAAGATACTCAAAATGTCAGCTTTTCGTGAGTTGTTGTAGAGCCAATTGATTTACCTTTTCTTAATTATGAGATTATATTGTGCCAAACATCTCCTGCTGAAAGCAACGATTTTGTAGAGGAGACATTCTTGCATTAGCTTTTCACCTGTGTTTAAAAATTGTGCACTTTTATTTGCCATCCTCTGTGAATCAACGGTAAGATATGTCAAGATGTACTGCAAACGTAAGAATGGGAACTGTATTGGTACATTTTCGTTATTAGTTTAGGAACCTAGCACTGTCTTAGGGAGATCAGTAGACTTTCTTGCGTAACTTCAAATGTGTATGGAAGACGTTGATATAGTATTCGTAGTATTCCTACTCAAGGTAGTTTGAAGAACCCTCCTCTAGTAAAAATCCACATTCTAAAGGAGTAAAAAATAAATCAGTGTTTTTTGTACTTCTTGAACATGCTTTGTCTTAAGAACTTCTTGTGTCATTGATCAGTTGCTGAAATTTATAGGACAAATTTTTTTTATTTTGTTAAAATTGATATAATTATTATTTTAGGAATGTAGGGTATGTTATTTTGTTCTCTTGTAAGGGTCATCTCACGTGGCAGGGACATGGTAGCAAAACAATATGGCTGAAAAGTAAACACAATTGTTTACACCTGTACCTGAAAACCCACTCTGATAATGATAACCAAGTTCAGGTCTATTTCATTTTCTTCATAGCCGGATATCCCAAAATGAACTTGGTCTCTGTCCAACACCACTAAAACTTCATCTTTCATCTTTATAAGGAGGGTGTATATATATGTGTATATATATATATATATATACATATATTTATATATACATATATATATATATATATATATATACATATACATATATGAACACAACACAGTAGAAACAGAGCTGACTTTCCATGAAGAGGAGAAATTTATTGCCACCAACATATCAACATGGTGACAGAAGGACTTGTTTCCTATTGAGTACCTCATGCATGTATCAGGTACTTTATTTTAACACCAAAGAGAGAAAGTTAATTCCAATTTTGGGTTATCAAAAAGGTTTACAAGTACCTTCACACCACCTTCGGTAATACTTTGATCTTGATTATTTGCAAAATAAACATTAATCATTTTGTATTTGACAACTGTTGTTGCTTGTAATTAACCTGTCACACAGTTTATGAGTAGTTATCATCAGTTCTTTCATTCTTCGTGGTTGAATGATTAATCGATCTGGCCTAGTTTCCCAACTGGCTCTGATTTTACTTTGCAAGGGAGGTGAGGGAAGGGGGAAATCTAGTTGGGTACCAAATTTGTCAACTAACCCTGCTTAAAACATTTCACATTAGGAAGCTTTATTTGAGAAAAATGTTTTGGAAGAGGGCTGCCTCTTGAGAGCTTGGTTACTGAGTGCTTAGTACTGTATAGCAGTTAATTCTGACTTTTGGGTTGATGGCTAGGAAACAACATCCCTCAATCTAATTTTCCATTAAACATGCTGGGAAAAAAAAACCAGAAAAAAAGGCTTTCAGACCACTTTTTCCAATTTCCCAATATTTTCCAGAAGGTGCTTCAATGAACATGAAGGAAACATCTTCATATCAGTAAAAGATCTTAACCAGCACTTATTTAAAGACAAATGCTTTGATCTGGACATTCATAAAATGTGTGAAAAAATGTGAAAGGGAGTCTTAAAGGTGACGTTAAACTACAGATCATAATATAATTAAGAGTGAGTTTAAATACATGTATTTCATATTTGAATAACATTTTTCAAATTTTTCCTCACATGTTGGAAACTTGTTCAGTTTTTGACATTTTAGCATAAGAATCTGCTAAGTCTAAACGTATTTCCTTTCTTCGATGAACTTTGTTGGATTACTTTCCATTCAAGGATGTAGAGTAACTGTTCAGATAAGGATATTTATGGATTCTTTGGGATGAATTTCATGCTGGTACAAACAAGTTTCTTTAGTTGAATGCAATATCCTTGCTAACCATAGAAACAAAGTAAAAAGCTAAGTATTCTAATTTCAAATACAGCATATAGTTAGAGTTATTAAAGGCTTGTAGAGAATAAAACTCTCGTCAAAGGGTTTGCAGTCTGGAAGAGTTCAGTGTCTGGCAGTCAATGTATACAGGACCTGACATAAATTATGAAACCCTGGTTAGAAAACAGCAATGCTGAATATCACTTACCTATGAATAATCTTAACAGAAAATAACCATTCAGGTGCACCAAGAATTAATAAAAAAGGCACCCAGGTTCAACAGAAGAAGAGCTAAGCTTTGTTGGTAAATAAAATGGTTGCCTAAAACCAAGCTAGCTTTACTTAATTTTGTACTCAGGAAATGTTCTTAAAATTACCTACTAACTGTTTCATTCCTGTTGAATGTCTTCCTCCTCATCCTAGAGGTCTTGTTTTTGTCCTTCAATATCCTTTTCTCCCTCATAAAATAACACAGGACTTCCATCATAAATATCATGCAAAAGTGTCCTTGTGTATTGAGATGGCGGCCCATAGTCAGAGTCTACAAAGAAACGTTTCGAGGATGCAATGAGAATGTTGTATTCTTTAAATACTAGAAGTGTGTACAAATTTCATGGGCAGGTTTAGCTTGTAAGTCTGTAGGGTATCCAATCAAGAAGTCAAGACCTAGAGGTTTGAATCTGCACCCAGGACTGGAATATATTTTCCAACCTAGCAAAAGATGTTCAAATACTTCTTCATCAAAGTAATCTTTTTTTCCATGATAATAACTTGTTGGTACAAATCCCAGAAGAACTTACTTAGTTTAATACTTTTGTATTTCCCTTTAAAACAATTATGTTGCTGTTGTCTATTGGGCCTGGAGGATCTGAGACAAAAAGAGCCATTAGTATTAACTATCTTATGAGGAGTAGCAATACTTTTGGTCACCTTATGCAAGTTAATTAAAACGGGCGTACTATGTGAACCAAGTTGGTGTGACCACCCTCATCACACCTTTACCACGACTGTCTGATGTCGAGACTTTGTACCAATTTGGTGCCTAAGGATAACAAAATCAATAATCTCTTGAAAACTCTGAAAAGAAACTGCGTTTGACAAAGATCGAGTTTGATGAGGGTGACCATGTTAAATAGGTCATACGTACCATCTTCTTGTCCTTTTTCAAACATTTCCCATAGTCTGAACCAACGCAAACTGATGAAATGCACATCCACGTTTTCATTGGCTGGATACTCATGATTCAACTGAGGAAAAAAATTTGTTAGAAGAAGTAACTAGCAATAAACTCTATAACTATAAAAGGAAGCCATATCACCGTTGATGCATCTTCAAAAATGAACCTTTTCACTCTCTAAACGAACCAAAAAGGAATTTCCCCTTACAATATCAATCAGAAAGATAAATTGAAGCAAGATAAACATTAGTTGGGGATTAAAGTCTCGTTGAATACGAAAATAACGAAAAGATTGCTTTAGACAGTGCAAAGGGGTTACCGATGTATCCACATCTTGGAAGTAAAAGGGCTATGACTTAATTCCACTAGTCTATTTTTTGCTATCCCCTTCAACCTACTTCTTCACTGGCCATCCTTCTCATAGTAAGATAGCTGCCAAGGAAATGGTCTTCTTGTGGAATCGTTCCTCTTATTCCTCTTTTAATAATATGGAGAATACTACATGGGCATGCGTAGATAAGGAATCTCTCTTCGAGTGTTTAACTCGATAGCTAATGAGTGAGCACAGCGAACGAGTAAGATGCCGAGTTAGACACGAGAAGAGAAATTTCATATCTACAAGCAACCATGTATTATTTTGTTTATCAGACATAAAAACACAACAGCCCATTACCAAAAAGAAAAGCCGACTTAATTAACGAATAAAACTAAATAGATCGACAATACCCAATTAAAACTCGTAAAGTGCGTCGGTGCGCTCAAGATGAAAACATACTTTGAATTTCTAAAAAAAAAAGCAATTGGCCTACTTTTCAATATACACAATTCTCAGTAGTCGACTTGGTCCTTACCGACAGAAGAAATCTTTCCTGTACACAGCCAAAATTGGCCTATGGCAAATCTTCGGAGTTGTCGATTTTCGTTCTCAGTGGCAAGAAATGCCATTACCAAAGCCGCTGAATACGTAAATTTGAACATTTCATTAAACATTCAATTCTTCTGAATATCTTGCAACAGGATTCCGGAGTCGTCGGTTCGACTCATTTCTGTCTGGTCGCAAACAACGTATACCCGTTGATGATATGACTTCGGACGACTTTAATCTGAACTGTGGAGTCCCCTAGGGCAGCTGTATGGGGCCTATTTTATTTACTCTCTACTTCTTCCGCCTTTTTGACATTATTCCTCAACACCTCCCTTCCATCCATGGTTATGCTGACGACACTAAGGTTTACCTCTCTTTGCGAACTTCCTCCATCCATTCGGATATTAACACTGTCTCTATGATTGAGAAGTGCATTGCTGACGTTCGCACCCGGTTCATTGCGTATCATCTAATGATTAATGACGCGAAAACTGAATTCTTAATCATTGGCACCCGTCAACAACTTGTAAACACATCTATTGAATCTATTATCACTGGTGACACCGACATCAAACCTTTAGAAGGAACGAACTTCCTCCATCCATTCGGATATTAACACTGTCTCTATGATTGAGAAGTGCATTGCTGACGTTCGCACCTGGTTCATTGCGTATCATCTAATGATTAATGACGCGAAACCTGAATTCTTAATCATTGGCATCCGTCAACAACTTGTAAACACATCTATTGAATCTATTACCACTGGTGACACCGACATCAAACCTTTAGAAGGCGTCCGGAACCTTGAGTCCTGGTTGGATGCACACATGCGAATGAATAGGCAAGATTTGTAGCAGGGCTTTTCGCGGACTATACAACGTAAGACAGATCAGAAAATTCCTTACAGTGCAATCAACCAAGACACTGATCCATGCCTTTGTATCTACGCACCTTGATTACTATAACGCACTTCTATTTTATCTACCTAAATATCAACTTGATCGTTTACCGAAAGTTCATAATGCTGCGGCCAGAGTGACTCTAGTTATCATAAACTCACCGGTTAATACTATGCTTCCATACAAATTCCAGAAGTGGAATCGCGATCTCATGAATTTTCTCAAAGTTCAGAAGAAGACCAGCTAGGAGAAACAGAAAACGTGGTTGACAAGAACCACACATAGAGAGGAACAATTTCAACCTATATGGCCAAGTACTATACTAACCCCATGTCATCCTGGAAATGGACGAAGACAACTTTGCTACTCCTCCTTGACTTGATTTCTGTCCATGTTACAACAATTTGTTACACTTCCAAAGCAGAGTGCTGGTACTCATTTATACTCCTGAGTGAAAAGAAGAACTGTAACAGTGGAATGGACTGCCCAAGAACACAACATTATTATCCAGGACAGGACTGAACCTTGACTTCCCAATCTTGACTCCAGTGGGCAAAGCACTAGGCTACCATGCTCTACAAGACTATCCTTAATTCTACAATTTGCCATTATTATGGTAAACCTGACTTCATGTGAAGCGATTCTCATCTTCATAGTGATACAAATAATCAGAGTTGGTGATGGGACTGTTACTTGCACAGTTCCATGAAAAAACTGACAACCTTTATTCATTACGAAATCATCATAGTTTATACAAAGTGCGCTGCTCGTGCTTATGCTAATTGCACAATTGTGCGTGCTGTGCACGTGCGAAGGTGACAATTACATAGTGCAACACCTTTCCTCTTTTGAAAGATGGAAGCTACAGATAACACAATTTGATTTTGACAGCATAATTATTTTAATCCATAACAAAGTCCCTAAATCTTGAGGGAGGCCTTAGTTGTCTCATTGAACGGCGTAACGTGGATATGGCTCTTGTTCTCCCTCAGTTGATCTCTGTGTGTAGGCTCACTTTCAGGCAAAGATACAATTTCCAGGTGGTCATCTGCTCTCTCATGTTTGTCCTCTGATTCAACCTTTGCCTCTCTAATCTGAGTGTGATTCCTCCGAACTGGTCCCCTTGAGGTGTTAACAATGTACGTCCTTGGTGCAGTACTTCCAATAACTTTCTCATATCTCCAAGGATGGTGCTTATTTGCAGGCCTAGATTTCACGAACACTTTTTCCTCCTTTGAAAAATCTCTAAGGGGCTGCGAGACCCTCTTGTTGTAATGAGACATTGATCTTCGTCTTTTTTCTGCAATGGTTGGTGGTCTGCCTTAGGGATGATATCTTTGAGTCTTCTTGTCATGAGACACTGAGCTGGTGAGTAGTTGTGACTGTTGAGGCGTGTTTCTGTGCGATCCGAGAGCCAGATAATGACCCTCTTTTCGAGATTTCTTTAGGATGTTCTTGGTTATTGTTTGACTACTGACTCCCCTCTCCCATTACCCCGGCTGTAGGGAGGTGATGATTTGACTATGGTGAAACCATATTCTCAAGCGAATCGTAAGTATTCGTGACTTTCGAATTGCGGGCCATTGTCTATTATCAACTCATCTGGCATCCCATGGCAAGCAAACTGTCGCCTCATTGCTCTGATCACTGAGTTAGCCGTGGTGTTTCCACTGAAGGAGTCAAGTTCAGTGTAATCACTGTAATGGTCGACCATTACGAGGTAGTTATTTCCGTTTAACTGGAAAATGTCAGCACTCATTTTTGACCACGGTCTGGTCGGTATTGTGTGAGATTTAATCGGTTCTTGTGGTCGTTCGTTAACGTACTGGGCACAAATTCCACATGAAAGGCAATTTTCCTTGATTGCTGCCTGCATTCCAGGCCAAAAGAGAGACTCGCGCGCTCTTCTTATGCTATTATCGGCCCCTGGTACGCTTTGTGTATTTCTGCAACATCTCTTCTCGTAACGAAGAAGGGACAATAACTTGGTGAAATCGATAGGCTTCTCCATCGTAAACAGAAATTTCGTCTCTGAAACTCCAATACTGCCTTAGCTGCTCTGGCGTTCCTTTCTTTCTGCAGGCCACCCACTAGTTATTGTATTGCACATGGATACCAGGACCGTATCTTTAGCGGTCTCATGTTTTAATCGTTGCATGGTTTCAGATGCGACTCTGTTTGGTTCAATATACATCTCAGCTAATACCATCCGAAACACTTCGTATTCTTTCCTAGCACTGGTTGTTAAAAACATAACTGTACGTCAAATCAATCTAAGGGGGGGAAAATGAAAATTTAAGTAAGGCCAGACTTACCTTAAGTAAATTTAGTTTCGCTTCTAAATTTAAGCCCCTAACCTCACGTACTGCCTACCACCTTTGATGCAAAAATGACTCACAAATGTGGCAATAAAAGTAAAGTTCATTACATCAATTTACCTCCAACATTGCCAGATGTGTGATAATGGCAACAAGATCGTATGTGGTACACCTCTGGGCTGGTTCCTGTTTATGAAAGTCTGAAGGGGTAAAAAAGGTTTTGATTTCTGCTTTGCTAAGAACCATGTATGAACTAGAAATTGTCGATCACAAATTTTATTCAACTACACCCTATTCATGAGGTTTGGAACGATCAGTCTATTCTAGCTGACCCATGGATATGTGTCTTCTGATGTTTCTGGAAAGTAACAACCTTGCAGATTCCACTAAAACACTTAAAACTTAAGTCAAGACTTCATACAAGTTGAAACCATGAATGGTTTCATGTCCAATCCAGTCCATGGGAATGAAGTGAATTGATTAATTTTTGAAGAGAAGTACATTTCATGTTTAAACCACTTCAGATGAAAGCACAAAATCTACACATTTAAAAGATAAAACAAAGCAGTGAGCAGATTGATTCAAAACCTCTACTGTCAGCTCTTCGGAGGCGTGTTTTTGGTCAGCACCTAAGTAAGTTCAGCAGAGGGTGGAGATGGAGGAGTTGGAAGTACGTTTAGATACCAAGAAGATAATTATCCGATAGAGAGAATAGGTATCTGAGAGAGAACATGAGAATGAAGACCCATTGGAATTTGATTTACCGTCTTCGTTCTAATTAGCGCCCGTTCTCCAACAAGCACCCCGGTCTAATTTGTTTTTGTCCATAAGTGCCCCTATTCAATAAGCACTCTCATTTCAATAAGTACCAATATACCAATAAGCGCCACTCTTCTGTTCCAGTGAAAGCACTGCAAAGTACAACTACACGCAGATCAACTATGGTTCATCTTTCCATAGATGCTCACGTAGAGCCTCATGTCAAAAAAAGTGGTCTTCATCTCAGTTTCTCAACTATTATGTTCACCTTAGTGCGCAGTTCCTTCAAACAAATGATCTTGTTTTAATGATTGCTCAGCTGGTCGTTGTAGCCTCGTAGGATTCAGGGACAACACTTCCATTTTCCATTCGTATTGATTCTTTTTAAGTAACCATCAAAGCTTTGTTTCACATATTTTGCTATTTCTGAAAAAGGAAATGAGCATCCTGTTTTGAGTAAGCACCCTCCCTTTGGGAACCAAAAGTAAATAAGTACCCTGAGTGCTAAATCAAACCTTTACAGAAGTTTAGCTTCCAAGGAAAGTTTTATACTGCTTTAGAGAGGTGTCCGACCAGGTATGACTGAAAATGGCACCTCGCTTTGATAGGAATCCTTTTGTTGTTGTTTATTATATCCTGAAATTGTCATTTGAAATTCGCTGGGTAATATAAAAAAAACAACAACAACAGCAACGCGAGTAATACATATATATCCAAATTCTTTCATCACATAAAAAGTTGTAGGACCTGATAGCATCTTAGGGACGGACCATCAGACTTTTGATGGGGGGTGGGGGGGGGGGGTCTTAGGGTCTTGGGCAATAACCCCCGAAAAAATCGAGCACAGGCTTAATGGAAGAAAACACATAGTGCAATTGGCGAAAGACCCCCCCTCCCCCCCCCTTCTGCATCAAAAATCTAATGGTCCGTCCTTAAGTTACCTTTTACATTATTCCAAAATGGGTTTCGTTCCGAAACGAAATGAATTTCATACCGCGTCTACATACAGGATAATGTAGCTTGTAAAAACAAGTATTTACGTCCTTTTTCTGTGCTTCCTCGCTCCTAAAGAGGATTCATACAGATATGAGTGTCGTACCGCGTTTACTTTATACAGGTACAAAAGGTCGTCCAGAATAAGTGTTTCGTTCTGGAATGAAAATCTCAATAAACTCATTCAGAAATGACTCGTTTCGAATAATTTTATTCTGGTATCATATGGAAACCGGGATGAACTCGTTCTTGAACAAAACTCAATCCGATATCTTGCAAAAAGCCCCTAAGAGTTTTTATTCCTTGAGCATCAAGCTTTGCTCTCCTGCCAGAACACTATAAATTTCAATAGCGTTGAAGCAACAACCCGCTTTGAACTGCTACGCTGCTACTGAAACAACGATTAGTGACCACAAAAGTAACATATTGTAATATTGTCAATTCAACATAAACAAAAATCTTCATACAGGGTAAATATTCGTTTGTGTTGGTATCAATTATTGCATGACCAGCTTCTGATATAAATGGGAAGACACAACGTGGGCTCCCGGCAAAAAGTAATACCCAAGCGTAGTATAATAACCGAAACAGCTTATTGGTCTTATAAAATCATAAATAAACAAGGTAAGAGTGTTATGTTAGATTTTTTTTACAAATTGTAGTGATTTATGCCTCGATATGCCAATAAACGGTGGCGACAAGTAGGCACACCATGTATATTTCATAGTCGCTAGCAAATAAATTTTTTCCGGACTTTGAGTTCGTCTCACGATAGAACAACACAAATACACAAGGAAATTTTTACAGTAACTTTATAACCATCCTTTTGTCTTTTAAAAGCTAGAAGCTCAGTAGATTCTGTCATATCGGTCATTGTGAAAACTGTCTTTGTTTTGATGCTACTTTTCGACATAGAAAAAGTATGTCGGACAAAAATATTCGCCAAAAAATAAATATTTCTTTGCCAGCTTCAATAATGACAGGGGATTAAGTTTAGATGATAAAACAAAGGATTATGCCGACAGAAATACAGGAGGTCTAGTAAATTCGTTACATGAGGTCACACAACTCGGGTAATATTCAAGGTGAAAATCTGCATATTTGAGCGTTCGAACGAAAAAACTCATTTCTCAAAAACTGCTTTGGAAAATCCTTGAATCCTTCTTCCTGCTTGCTCGACCACTGCATCCTGTTAAAGCGACTGAGCCAAATTACGCCGTTAGTTAACAGCGTCAAAGGTTACAGTATGTATATATACCGACTGAATGAAATTACGCCGTTAGTTAACGGCGTAAAATCTTACACTTTTTATGCAACACAGCGACTGAACCATTTCTAGCTTAAAACCTTACAGTATGTGTACTTTATGTTTCATCACTTCTCAGAAGTTCTCAAATTACACAGGCATACCTTATTTCTTTTTTCATTTCGCCAATGAATTGTGAACTCTTGTACGGGCATCTGATGCCTTCGTTAATTGGAACAGTATCCGTTACATTGCGGGAGTGTTCCTTCTTTTTCTATTATGTCTTAGCGAGGTCATCTTAGTAAGTGGCACGACAAATTCTCAGTCAAGCTTGAAAAGTGACAGGGTATGCGACAGCTTTCACGGGCATTGCGTTTGTAACAACTTTCTCACAGTGGTAACCGTAACCACAGTGGTGTATGTGCTCCTCGTTGGTTCCGAATCGCGCTTCTAAGCATCCTACGATAACCTTACTAATTTATTACAGCCTAATTTGAATTCGAATATCTTTTTTTTTTTTTTTTGTAAGTGTATTTGTGTTAGGGCATTAACTTAAGGCGTAATTTCATTCAGTCGGTGATATGAATTACGTGAGATTTTACGCCGTTATTTAGCGGCGTAATCCGGCTTAGGGCCTCTTCATATGAGCCCGGTTGACCGGGCTCGCCCGGTTTCCGAGATCTCGCCTTACCTCTAAATCCTTTGTAAAATTTTCGATGTGTTCATATGAGAGGGCGGACTGGCTCGGTTACCGAGAAAAGTAATAACTCAGTTGCGTTTCGCCATTTTTGTTTTGTTTATCTGATTTCGCGCCGAAACTCGTCCCCAGAATCTTCGGCCTTTTCTCATCTCGGAAATCGGGCTGAATTTTCTCATATGAACCCAAGGCGAAATTTCATAAGATTTTACGCCGTTATTTAATGGCGTAATTTAGCTCAGTCGGTGCTGTATTTACTGAAAAACTTTACGCCGTTACTGACGGCGTAATTTCATTCAGTTAGTGATATTCATACTGTAAGACGGCGGTCTAAAATACTGGTAGCTGGTCACTGGTAACTGGCGACTGGTAACTAGTAACTGGTTGTAGCGTTGTAGTTGTGTCTTCCGTTGTAGTTATGTCTCCACGCCTGTGGTGCGCAGTTTTATTTCTTCTAACTGAATCAAAGTGCCTTGTGATCGTGTCTTCTGCGTGTCACTTCCTAACTAGGGGAGAGAAGCAATGCAAAAGTGTACGAAGATCGTAAAGATTTCTTCGCTCGAAGTTTAAGAATTTCAAAAGGGCAAACTCTATGAAATTCATCCTTTAAGTGGAATATATCCTACTGACTTGCCGTAACCGTATTTACCCCTATTTTCCATTTGATCACTGTGTGAATTTGTCATGAAAGGGGTAAATTATGACAAATCCACCCGCAAATGCAATATATTGTTAGAAGAATTACTCTCTAACACTCGGTTGAATTTCCTTTATTTCCTTGTTGAGCTCCTAGTACAATTACTACTCTCTTATTCACCACAGTTCAACTTATTTCTTTCGACATAAGTCCACACTGTTCTACTTTGCCATATTCTCTCATTGAAAGATGCTGTGCACCAGCTTATAATGGTGACACCAAAGATGACACTTCTAAGCTGTCAATCTTCTTACATCGCGATCGCTCCGTTACAGCCAGCGAATCACGTTAGAGTACGTATGACAGTTCCTGCATACTAAGTATGCACCTTCGAATTGTTTAATGAATCACAAAATCATCTTCTACCTTAAATTTCTTAATTTTACGGTTAAGACCGGCCAGAACGAAGGCAAGATTGATCATATAAAAATTATAATTAACCTATTGGCAGAATTAAAATAACGCTTGAAAAGATAGTTTACGAGAAAATAGCCGTAGAAGATTGTTATATAACAACAGAGTAAACAGAAAATTCGGAGAAGAAGGGGCGTACCCAAGGTACCGCCCCTAACAAAACTACGTGCTATTCGCATAAGTTATGTAATTACAAATTCAGTGCGGAGATGAAAAAGCATAAGCTATTTACAATCAGAGTCACCTTTTTTTTAAAAAGAGGTGTTGAAGGTGTTAACTTAAAATTTGAGAAATATTCTGGAATCGTGAATTTGACTTTAGAATTTGACCAAAAAAAACCAGTCTGAAAGTAATCAATAGTATAAGAAGCAGGAGTTTCCAGGAATTCTTGTGCGAGGTTAACTTTTACCAGAGAGATTTACAACTAGAAAATTGACATAATTAAAAACATAGCTTATCACAAAATAGTACAACAAGATCTAATCACCGTAGAAACGGAGCAACTGTTTCCGTACCAAATTCACAACCGCAATAAGAAAAAAGGTGAAAGAAATTGTACTTAGATGAGATCGCCAAAAGGAATAAGAAGTAATCAACCTGTCTTATTATAATTTTTGTATCGAATGGCTTAAAGTAATATAATATTTCCATTCTTTTTCCCAACACCAATATATGGAAACCCTTACAATATTTCAGATTAAATATAGTTCTATTTTTATCGTTTAACAATATCCTACAATGATTTAAAAACAGTACTGAAAAAAAGAACACAAAACAACAACAACAACAAATACATTGTTATATTGACAATCCATAGTTTAGGAACCCATGTGTTATATCTTTACCAGCGACATCCAATCTTCACCATGAAAGTCTATTCGTCTGCGATTACAAGAGAACTGGTTTTATTTAAATTAATTTAGATTAAGGCGAGGTGTCCCTGTGGGGATGGGGTAAGTATGATACATTAATGGACCGTACCACTCGCGGTAGAGAGAAAATTGACCTCGTACCCAAGTTTCTTCCGCGGCCATGTCCAGTCTGCTGGTTCAAAACATAGCCAGAAAGAAGCGAACTTGGAAATTCAGGTAGAAAACGCTCGTTTCCAGTGAAATGCGCGGTGAGTTTTGGTATTGAGACATGCCCCTGGGTGCGATGATTTTAGATTGTAAAGTATGGCTGAGAAAAATGCCGACTTTGCCGTTAGTTAACGGCCTGATTCGGCTCAGTCGGTTATATATGCATATATGTCATATATATATATCGTAAGATTTTTTACGCCGTTAACTAACGGCATAATTTCACTCACTAAGTCTTTAATATACATACTGTAAGATTTTACGCCGTTAGCTATCGGCATCATTTCTTCCAGTCGACATTATATACTTTAAGATTTTACGCAGTTAACTATCGGCGTAATTTCTTCCAGTCGGCATTATATATACTGTAAGATTTTACGCCATTAACTATCGGCGTAATATCTTGCAGTCGGAAATGTCGTAATTTCGTCGTAATTTCTTCTCCTCCGTAAATATACATACTGAGAGATTTTAGTTAACGGCTTGAAATCTTACAGTATGTACACCAGAGCAAATAGTGGCGTAAAATCGAACAGTCTATAGACTGTGTTAGTCACATATTACGCCGTTATCTAATCACCGAAGACCACCACCTAAAGAATGTCAAAAACAGTAAAAAGCTGAATGACTTAAAAACTGACTTATTAAAAGCTGGTTTTACAGTCAGTGAAGAATTCCTGGAAACAATTTCATATCAAACCAAAGTAGCCTGGCAAGTCCATACTTTCCATTATGAAAAGGAAGCAATCATTTGTCAATCAATATCCCTGGTTACGCTGACTAAACTCTAAATTTGCTACATTCTGTTGAATCCTACATGTTTGACAGAGTAATGATAATTCACTGACTCATCCTGCCAATCACTGCTAACAGTCAGTGGATTAAGAACAAAAGTCCCCTGCTGAACCACTAGTTTCACCATTCATGAGCAACACGGTGTCAGCAATGCGAGACAGGAGAGTAGCAACTGCATCCTTATCATCCTTTGCCCAAACATCACCTGAAAGATATTTCTCCACACTTCCCTCTGCTTCTTTAGGAGATAGAGATGGGCTGGGCTCTACTGGCATATGTACAGTAAAAACAACGGTCAAGTGTTTATCTGGTGCATTTTGATCATCACAATAAGAGTGGTGGGAGAAACTGAAGGCGATGGATGAACATCACCCTGTGAAGAGCCTCAATTTTTTTCTTCAGGAAATTGTCCATCGTCATTTTGGTCTCTTCTGGAGGATTTTCTTTTTCTTTTTCACCATCAGTTATGGCCAGAGTTCTTTTATGTCTTAGATGTAGCATTTCTGCTGGTTCAATGGCCAGGTAATCCACGCATTCATGTGCCGCTGGAGACGCAGCCAGTAAGAACATTAGTGGTTGGGAGGGATCTTTACTCCGTAGATGAGCCAATCCGCGACCTTTTGAAATCTTCCAGAACCGGTCGGTCTGATTAGTGAATGGGAACTGCAACTTTTCAAGCCTATTTTCAAAGACTTTCTTCAGGTCAAAATCATTCTTCAAATTGTTCTTAGGAGGAGCAAGGAAGATAGCTACAACAAAATATTGCAAGTGCGGCGGCGAGGAAAATTCCAATGGGGAAAATAACTTGATATCGATTTGGTACCAGGGCGCGTGGTGGGAAGTTTTTGTCGCTTTCTCTCAGAATCTGATTGCTGCTCATCCAATCCTTTCGTCGGAGATTCGCTAGCAATTGTCTAGTCGCCTTTGTCATCTTTTAAGTCTGGGTTAGCTAACTGGCATTGTGTTTACAGGTTCACGAACAAGTGTGTTTTTTCCCTTACGATCGTCTCTGCCAATTATTTCCTCAGTAAGTGTATTACGTTCCTATGTTTCTTAACGATTCTCCGTGTCCTTCTCAGATACCTCAGGTTCGTTTGCACCTCTGTCACCGCCACCTTCAGCTCCTCTTAAGTGAATGATGATCTCCTCTTTTCTCAGCGGAGGTTTCAACACTTTCCCCTTTTCCCATAGGTTTATCTCCACCCTCTTCGGAAGACATTGTCCGAGTAAAAATATTAAGTGAATGATGATCTCAAACTCTCAGGTTCTAAGAATTGCTTGTGCGTTAACAAACCGCGCAGTTTCCGGAAAAAGAACCCCAGGCAGCGACTTGTTTATATAATTCATTCTTACATGGGAGGTTGTTGGTTCAGACTAACCGATAAAAATTGCTGTACTAAATAACGCGAAAGTTTTTAAGAAAACCTGCAAGCGCAATAAAGTGCTCGTCACTACTGCAGAAATATGGAGAACAAGGGGAGACTTGTGCTGCTGATGACAATTGTGTGTGCACCTACGATGAGCGCGATACTTATAGTAAATAAATTTTGGGAGGTGTTTTTCTTGTAGGTGGCTATGTGGGGCCTAAAATTTATTTTTTATTTCACTGAATGCTGCGAGAACAAGTGGATTAAACTCAACATAACGGGTTAACAGTCAGCCCAAAGCTCTTGTTGGACATTTGAACAAAAATTCGCCTAATAAAGCGTTAGCGATTTCCTTCAACGGCTGGACAGGATCAGGAAAGAACTATGTGTGCAGTATCATCGCCGAACATATCTTCAAGAAGGGATTAGAGAGTGACTATGTTCATTTGATCATAGCTACCCATGAATTCCTTCATCAGTCCGAAGTGGACCATTATAAGCGATAGCTGCACAATCGAGTGGTAAGTTCTATGTCAAAGTGTCCCAGATCGCTATTTATCTTCGATGAAATGGACAAAATGCCGATAGACCTTATAGATGTGCTTAAACCCTTCTTAGATCACTACCCCCCTGATGAAGGTAAGATCGATTACCGCCAAAGTATCTTCATATTCCTCAGCAATACGAGGGGTCACCTTATCAACAATGCTGTTCTAAAACACTGGAAAGACGAAAAGGAACGAGAAGATATCAAGATCAAAGTGATGGACAAAGTCATCAATCTCCGTGAATCTAATAACAAGGGTGGATTTTGGCATTCCTCTCTAACTGGTAAAAATCTCCTAGATTACTTTATTCCTTTTATGCCGATGGAAAATTTCACGTTAAAAAGTGTGGTAAAGCCGATTTAGAGAAGAAAGGACACCCAGTCACATATTCCATTGGGGTTGACGGGGTAGCACGTGGTTAGCCTAGGGTAGATGTGGATTATTGTGGTGGAACATGGCTAACTTGGGGTAGATTTGGGTCAAAGCGGTACAACAAGGTTAAGTTAGGGTAGAAGGGGTTAACGTGGCAGAATAAGGTTAACTAGGACATATTGTAAGTCATACATGAAGCTAATAACATGAATATTGTCAGCCATTTTTTGTCGTCTATATGGCATTAAGCCATGAAGTAACAAAATCGTGAAGGTCATTTATATCATTCATCCATCCAAAATTCCCCATAAACGTAGGGTGTATACAATTCCTGAAATTCCCGTTCGTTATTTCACGAATCATTTGACATTTCAGTGTTGACAAATTTTTCGTATTACGTTAGTAAAAAACATTGAACTTCTCTCAACGTACTCAACGCTGCAAGGAGAATCTTTCTCATAATTTAATTTTTAAGAGACGAAGTTACCGTCTAAAATTCAAACGTTACTGTTAGGGTTATTAGCGCATTGATAACCTAGTAAATAGCTGAAACATACTGAAAAATTTTTTTTATCTGTTTTTGTATATCTTTATCTGTGAGCCACATGTGACTAAACAAAAACAGAGAAGTGTAGTTTGATGGCTTGTTTTCATGAATCTAGGATTTCGGGAATCGCTGTAAACTACACGATCACGCATTTAGTAATATTTCTTCTTCTAATGATTGATACTGGAAGAAAATAGTAACGGTGTCATGCTGTTTTATATGCCCATTATAAAAATATATTTGTATTTGCATTTAGCTCACGGGTAAAAATCCCGTGAAAATTGTTCAAAAGAAATATATCACAGTAGTTATTTTATGACAACCACAAAATACTCAAAACAAAATCAAGAAACTGCTGCAGGACCTCAAGGCTCCTTTGTTCAGGACGATCTTGTACATCTCAGGTTTGAACTTTTCGTGGGAACAAGTGCTGAAGCCTACATAACCTATTTTGAATTTAATCGCTGAACTATAAATTTGTGTGTTCGACCCTCGACGAACGCCTCCGCTATAACGTCACCCGAGCTTGTCAGTAGTAGCCGATGATTTCCAGCGTCCATGGTTCGGCCGGATATGTTTTCTTGCCTGTTTGACCGTGAGAACTCTGAGTACAGAATAGTTTCAACGCAGGGGGTTTTAAACATCGTGAGCAGCCATGGAGGACTTTCCTGGTAAGTAACTGTGTTTTCTTCCTTATTCTTTTTTAGCAAGGATAAGGCACGGATGTTTCAAGACCCCCTGCGTTGAAACTATTCTGTACCCAGAGTTCTCACGGTCAAATAAACAAGCAAAAATGTCTGGCCGAACCATGGACGCTGAAAAACATCGGCTACTAAAATGGCTTTCAGGAGACCACCGAAAATTATACTCTACAAATTCAGCGCAAATGTTAGGTGTTGTTTGTTTATCACGTCCCCGAGTCCCCGCGTGTCCCCGAGTCCAACGTCCCCACGTCCCCACGTCCCCACGTCCCCACGTCCCCACGTCCCCACGTCCCCACGTCCCCACGTCCCCACGTCCCCACGTCCCCACGTCCCCACGTCCCCAAGTCCCATGTCCCCGAGTCCCGAGTCCCACGTCCCCGTCCCACGTCCCCGTCCCACTTTTAGTCACAGCCTGTTGGAGGTGCTGTTCTTGTAGGTGGCTATGTTGGGCCTAAAATTTATTTCCATTTCACTGAGAACAAGAGGATGAAACCCAACATAACGGGTTTACAATCAGCCCTTCGGAGGCGTGTTTTTGGTCAACACTTGGTCACTGGGATCGTTTCCAAGGCTCTTGATGGACATTTGAACAGTAAGTCGCCTAATAAAGCGTTAGCGATTTCTTTCAACGGCTGGCCAGGATCAGAAAAGAACTTTGTGAGCAGTATCATTGCCGGACATATCTTCAAGAAGGGATTGGAGAATGACTGTGTTGACCACGTCATAGCTACCCATGACTTCCCTCATCAATCCAAAGTAGGCATTTACAAGGTACAGCTACAGGATCGATTGGTAAATTTTGTGTCAAAGTGCCTCAGGTCGCTGTTTATCTTCGACGAAATGGACAAAATGCCAATAGGCCTCATAGATGTGGTTGAACCCTACTTAGATAACCACCCTCCTGATGACAGCAAGACCGATAACCGTCGAAGTATCTTCATTTTCCTTAGTAATACGGGGGGTTATCTTATCAACAGTGCTGTTTTACGACACTGGAAAGACTCGCCCCATGTAAGGTAATCCAGGACAGTATTAGATTCTGGATTCCACGTTGTGGATTCCGGATTCTACCGCTGCAGATTCCGAATTCCAAAACACAAAAGATTCCAGATTTTAGTCTCTGGTTTGCCCCTAATTTTCGCATTTCGTTTTCTAGGAATGACTTCAATGGCGGATTTCGCTATTGAAGGACATGTTTGTGAATGCATGTCTGTCTATTCATATTTCCATAACAACATTTAATAATTATGAGACTTGAAATTATGACATTTGAAATGTATAACTGCAAATTAAGGGATAAATTTTTGTTGTAGGAATACCTGTTGAGACTGTCCGTCTCTTAAGTCCAATGTCCATTCGTTCCACATCTTTTAGCAACTCTGAAGAGGCCAGGCCGCATTTCTTTCATACAGGTTCCTCGAGGTTCTTCAAGTGATTTAACAGTAACAAAGAACTAATAGTGTAAATCATTGCTTATCATTTTTAATTTGTAAATAACTGTTGGACTAAAAAGTTTTTCTGGTACAGCATAACAGTGTTCCGACTTGGAAAAGATGGCCAATTTTTTTAAATATAAAATTGACTTAGAACTGCCAAGAAAACAGCTCGAAAATATTTCCCTATCATCTCAAATTACTTTTTAAAATTTCCTTTTAAACAAAAACCATGGTATTGAGGCAAAAATTTAAAATGGAATAAAATTTTAATCGGTAACACCCCGAGTAAATCGCGGATAGAAAAGCTTGTTTTCCTAGATGTAATTGGCGATGATGTTCGACGAGATTGCGCATTAAACGGTGTTAAATCAATTCAACTATGCTTACACCTTTGAAAAATCGCGAAAGATCTTCATTTACACGGTAGTCTTTGAAGAATAACAGATTCTATTTTCTATACCTCCTTTTTTCTTTGGAAGGTTAGCCAAGTCATATCGCATTACGTCGGCTATGAATCCTTCAGAGCAATGATTCTATAAAGTTTCAGATGGCCTGCCGCTATTTTCTTTTCTAGAAAATGATGTTTGACCTTAAAATCGGGTAATATCTTATCTTAGTCGCACCGATATATAATGCCTTATGAAATCTTAAATTTGTTATTCTAAATGCCAAATATCAAAGAAAGCGGTTTACGTTTAAATGCCGAACATTCTCCTGGCTCCCATAAATATCCATATATAACTTTGTGTAAAGTTTATCATAATTGGAAACGTGTGGTCCGTCGCCCTGATAAGCTCACTCCTGCTAATCTTGGAAGCGACACTTCCCTTTCACTCTCCCCAGTTGCTCTCTCATCCTCTGGATTTTGATCCTCATCATCTCCAACATCTTCGTCATCGCCTGCTGAACCTATTGTTCCCCTCAAACGTTAGAGGGATGCTTGAGCCCTCGACAGTGAATCCCAGCTTTTGATATAAATGGATAGGGGAAAACACAACTTAAAACCTGGGCTCCCGGCCAAAAGTAATACTCAAGCGTAATATAATAGCCGAAACAGCTTATTGGTCTTATAAAATCATAAATAGGAGTGTAGTGTTAGATTTTTTTCACAAATTGTGGTGATTTATGCCTCGATATGCCAATAAACGGTGGCGACAAGTAGGCGCTAACAAGTAAATTTTGCCGGACTTTGAGTTCGTCTCACGATATAACAACACAAATACACAAGGAAATTTTTACAGTAACTTTATAACCATCCTTTTGTCTTTTAAAAGCTAGAAGATCAGTAGATTCTGTCATATCGGTCATTGTTAAAACTGTCTTTGTTTTGATGATACTTTTCGACATAGAAAAAGTATGTCGGACAAAAATATTCACCAAAAAATAAATATTTCTTTGCCAGCTTCAATAATGACAGGGGATTAAGTTTAGATGATAAAACAAAGGATTATGCCGACAGAATACCGAAGGTCAAGTATATTCGTTACATGAGATCACACAACTCGGGTAATATTCAGGGTGAAAATTTGCATATTTGAGTGGTCGAACGAAAAAACTAATTTCTCAAAAACTAAAATATATTTTCACAAGAAAACTACACTACAATTATTAGGACATATTGGGCTACAAAATATGAAAGTAGGAGAGAAAACGAATTTGGGTGACTTGCCGCTGTTTGTCTGATGCATGTTGACATTAGCTCTTAAGTATTAAGTATTAAGGTCGATACCTCGACCCTAGGTGCCAGATAAAAGTAGCGCAGTTTCCGGTGCCAAAGCTTGCCGTGCGCCCCATTTGCTTAAAAAACCGGCGGGGAAAGCGGGCAAAAGCAAAGCATCCAAGTTGTCAACAGTTAGATTATTTTCACAGAAATTTACAAATTCCTCGATTAAAAGCAAAACTAAAGCGTATCTTTTACAAGGTCACCTTCCAACTGTTGTTATGACAACCAGTAAGTTAATCTCACAGGACGTCCTAGCGGCCATATCATTATTTAGAAGTGTTCCAAAAAAATCAAATAGCGGCCATATTGGTGTTCCAAGCGAATCCTTTGGGATTTGAAAGCTCACTTTGAGCACCGATTGATCACTTGAGTGAACTGCACTCTACAGTGGTTGCATGGATGCGGGTGAAAGCCGCTAATACGATTTGAAATGGATTTTCAGCAAGTGGATTCTGGATTCCCTTTTTAGCGGGATCCTGGATTCCAAAAGCTGGATTATGGATTCCAGAGCCCAGTATTCCGGATTCCACAAGCAAAAATTTCCTGGATTCCGGAATTAGGATTACCTTACATGGGGTGAAAAGACGGAAAGAATCGAGAAGATATCAAGCGAGAAGAGATGGAGAACGTTATCATTCTCAGTGAATTTAATAACAAAGGTGGATTTTGGCATTCCTCTCTAATTGATAAAAATCTCATAGATTACTTTATTCCATTTATGCCGATGGAGAAACCTCACGTTAAAAAGTGTGCTAAAGCCGATTTAGAGAATAAAGGACACCCGGTGACAGATTCTATCCTAGAAAGAGTAGCAGATGAATTGTTATACTTTCCAGAAGATTTGAAGGTCTTTTCCCGTCAGGTTGTAAGAAAATTTCAAGCAAAGTTGACTATGTGATGGGGTGAGGAATTTTGAAAACTTTGCATTTGTGCCGTAGTAAGGCAGTAATATATTAAGTCAGGTTGAGTAATGTGAAGACAATTTATAAAAACTGGTGTAGTGAAATAGTGAAAACTTGTCACATAGACTCATGGCAGTGACTTTCAAGTTAGTGTGAGTCAGCCTTTCAATGGGTGGGGTGGGGTAAGTTCAGCAGAGGGTGGAGATTGAGGAGTTTGCAGTATGTTTTAGGTATAAAGAAGACACATCTGAGAAAAGGTTATCTGAAAGAGAGCAAGAGAATAAAGACCTACTGTAATTTGGGTTACTGGCCTCATTCTAATTAGTGCCCCCTCTCCAACAGACACCTTGACTAATTTGTTATTGTTAATAAAGACCCCTATTCAATAAGCTTTCTCATTCCTATAAGTGCCTCTATAACAATAAGCACCCCTCCTCTGTTTCAGTGATAGCACCACTGAGTACATGTACACCAAGTTCAACCATGGTTCATCTTTCTTAAATTGCTCACTTAGAGCCTCAATTTAATAACAGTGGTCTTCATCTCAATATTTCAACTATTATGTTCACTTGAGTGCACAGTTCCTTCAACCAAATGATCTTGTCTTAAAATTTTGTGATGGTTGCTTGGCTGGTGGTTCTTGCTAAGAAGGATTCAGGTACAACACCTCCATTTTCCATATGTATCAATTCTAGTCAAGTAACCATCAAAGCTTTGTTTCACACATTTTCCAATTTCTGAAAAAAGGAAATGAACATCCTGTTTTGAATTAGCACTCTTCCTTGGGGAACCAAAAGTAAATAAGTGCCCTGAACACGAACTAAAATTGTTTTGGTAGTTTAGTTTGTAAGGAAAGTTTTAGGATCATGTGTACTATAGGTAGCTTTATGCTGCTTTAGAGAGTAACAAAAATACTTGATTGCTAAGAGACCCGAAATTTATGAAGAGAAATTTAGAACTTAAGCAACTGAGGAAATCAGATGTTTTAATCCTACTTGCTCTCAGATCAACAAGGGTGAGGGCTGATAATACTTAAAATGTCGGCTCTCCTTGAGTTACTCTAGCAGTCAATTGAATTAACTATTTTTTAATTTTTAGCTTATATTGTGCCAGATATCTCCAAATCCCAAATCAGGCTCTCCTGTACCAGGGTATTTCTGATCAAAATTAAACTTCTACTGAAAGCAGTGATTAAAAGGCAGTTAAAGAGACATTCTTGCCATAGCTTTTAGTCTGTATTTCAAAATTGTGAACTTTAATTTGCCATCCTCTGTTAATCAACAGATTACCCATGAAAGGTACCGGTGCTTAGTGAGATCAGTAGACTTCCTCAGTTGTGTAACTTTATTTGAGTACCAAAGATGTTAATGCAATGTTACTAGTATTCTTGCTACAGGTAGTCTAAGGAACCCTCTTCTGGTTGTATTTTAAATCCATATTTTAAAAGTACCAAAAATAAATCAGTATTTTTTTGTTTTTCTTGAACGTGCATTGTCTCAAGACTTTCTTGTGTCAATGATCACTAGCTAAAATTTATAGGATAAATGTCATGTTCTTAAAACTGATATCATTAATATTTTAGGAATGTAGGGTGAGTTATTTTGTTGTCTTGCAAGGGTTATCTTATATGGCAGGGACATGATAGCCAAACAACATGGCGGAAAAGTAAACACATTCCTTACACCAGTACCTAAAAACCCACTTTGATAGTGTTAACCAAGTTCAGGTCTACTTCATTTTTTTATAGCTAAATGTCCCAAAATGATCTAGGTCTCTGTCCAAAATCTCTAATTAACTTGATCTTGAGAGGGAGGGGATATAAATGCATGGATACAACACAGTAAAAAACATAGGCATGCTATGCATGCAAGCGTTATTTTTTTGGTGGTGGGTAGATTACTTAAAACATTGTAAGTGACGTCTACATTCTTACAAAAGGAAAGAAGAGTATTAACGCAGAAAGGAAAAAAAATGTCAAATTAACTCACATGCAGGTATTTTGTGGTAGATTGAGTGTGTTGTGCAAATAACTGTAATCCTGAGTCTGGCACTGTAACCAAAAATAAACTGTATTAGCACTATGGATACCTGTTAGTACAAATTGCAGACTGCAGACTGCAGACCGGATACAAAATGTAGACTGCAGACTGCAGAGAGGGTACAAAATGCAGACTGAGAATCTGAAGAGTGTTTTAGTCTGGTATGTGATAACATGTCATCTTACAACTTACAAAGTGTCACACAATCGCTTTTCTGCAATCAGCTTTCACGATTATTTGCACTATTTTGGAATATTCCTGGCCCATTTCTTGATGAAAATCGATCATAATATAATTTCAAGCCTTCATATAGTCTTCTCACTTTGCATGTGGGTTGGTTGGTGTGATGTCTGAACAGATTTTACCAACGTAATAAAAGTTGATGTAGATGTAAATGAGATATCACTTTTGAATATTTAACATATGCAACATTTGAGAAACAATTGACAGCTTTATACGTGGTCCGTATTATCATCTTTGTAGGCGGTATGTGTTTTTTCCATCGACTTGATCTATTTTCAACGTTAGTGGATCACATCATATTAAGGTCCATGTGTCATTCGTCCATTCAATTTTCATACAAAATCAAAAATTGAAAACACCAGTGTCTAAAACAAGATACTAGTGTCTGAAATTGCACGCTACTGTAAAAAAATGGATACTAATATCCAAAATCAAACACTAGTGTCCAAAATCAGACCATTGTGTCTAAAATATTACAGAACTGTCTATAAACAGACACCAGTGTTAAAAATCAGACACAAAAATCTAAAATGGGACACTAGTGTCCAAAATAAGAAACTTACTTCCAAAGAAAAAAAGATCCCTTGATGACATTTAACTTCACAGTTTCACTGGAATTGAAGAAAGGTAGATGGTACAGTCTTAATCAAATTTGACAAGTCTTTTGGACTACCTTTAGTTTGCCACACAACCTAACATTTACAGGTATATAAAAGGTCTAGCTTTGACTAGTAGACAAAATTGCTAAGTAAGTTGTTAAATTGCATACATTGTGAACCATCTACTGTATTCTTTGAACAGTCAATAGTTCTCATTTAGTAACATTCTACAGAAAACAAACCAAAGTAACCAGGTGAGTCCTTACTTAACACTATGAAAAGGAAGCAATCAATTGTTACATGTTTGACCTCAGCTTACAAATCATAGTTCTTTCATACTCTAGATCTAAATTCTAATTCTCCTGCCTGAGAACCTTACATTTTCTTGTCAGCAACTCCTGAGAATCAAGTGCTCAATCAAGACAACATCCTCTGGTTGACTAAATTGTAAATTTGCTCTATTCTATAAAATCCTACATATCTGTCAGCAGAGTAACAATGATTCACTAACTCATCCTGCCAATCAATGTTAACAGTTAGTGGATTAAGAACAAATGGCCCTTGCTGAACTGCTAGTTTCGCCGTTCATAAGCACCACGGTGTCAGCAATGCGGACCAGGAGAGAAGCAACTGCATCCTTATTATCCTTTGCCCAAACATCACCTGAAAGATATTTCTCCACACTTCCCTCTGCTTCTTTAGGAGACAGAGATGGACTGGGCTCTACTGGCATATGTACAGTAAAAATAATGGCCAAGTGCTTATCTGGTGCATTTTGATCATCACAATAAGAGTGAAACAAAAGCGGTGAGGGTGGTGGGAGAAGCTCAAGGTGATGGATGAGGACTACCCTATGACTATCCTTTATTTTTTCCTTCAAAAATTTGTCCATCGTTAGTTTGGTGTCATTTGGAGGATTTGCTTTCTCGTTTTCACCATCAATTCTGGCCAAAGTTTTTTTATGTCTTGGATCCAGCAGTTCTGCTAATTTAGTTGCCAGGCAATCCACGCATTCATGTGCTGCTGGAGGTGCAGCCAGTAAGAACACCAGTGGTTGTGAAGGATCCTTATTCCGCAGATGAGCCAATCCGCGACCTCTTAAAATCTTCCAAAACCGGTCGCTCTGATTAGTGAATAACAACTTTAACTTTGGAAGCCCATTCTCGAAGACTCTCACCGGGTCAAAGGCAGTCTTCACCTCGTCCCTAGGGGGACCAAGGTAGATAGCCACAGCAATGCATGCAACTGCGGCGGCGAGGAAAATTCCCATGAGGCGAAAATGACTTGATGGCGACTTGGTACCAGGATTCGAGGTGAGGATAAGATTCGGTCGTCGCTCTCTCTCAGGACTTGATTGCTGCTCACATTTTTTCGAACATTCGTCAGCAGAAGTCTGATCACCTTTGTCACCGTTTGGGTCTGGGTTAGTTAATTCCCGTTTATCTGATGGTTTCTGTACAGGTTCAGGAGCAGGTGTGTTTTTCTCTTTATGATTGTCTCCGCCATTTATTTTCCCAGTGACTGTGTTACTTTCCTGAGTTTTTCTGCTTTCCTCCTTCTCCTCATCCGATGCCTCATGTTCGTTTGCAGCTTTGCCACTGTCACCTTCAGCTCCACTTTCCTCGGAAGAGTTTTCAAAAGTTTTCACTTCTCCCACAGGTTTTTCTCCATTCTCTTCGGAAGACATCGTCTTAGCAAAAATATTAAGAGAATTATGATATAAAACTCTCCGGTTCGAAGAATTGTTTGTGTGTTTACAAAGCGCACGGTTCACGGAATAAAGGTTTCTGAGAGCGACCGCGAGAAATTACTTACTCTAACAAGGAAAGTCATTGGTCAATTGATTGAGACTAACCAATTAAAATCGCTGTACTAAAAAACACATAAGTTTTAGGCCCACGAAAGCGCTGAAGAAATATAGAGGACAAGGGGAGACTTGTGCCGCAGTGGAAGATTTTGTGTGCACCATGATGAATGTGGTACTTTTTGAAGGTGTTGTTGGAGTTGCTTTACTTGTAGGCGGTTATTTTGCGCCTAAAATTTATTGTCATTTTACCGAATGCTGTAGGAACAAGTGGATTAAGCCCAAAATAACCGGTTTACAGTCAGCCCTTCGGAGGCGTGTTTTTTTAGATTATTTTGTGCCAAACGTCTCCAAATCCCAAATCCTGTGCAATGCTTTTGATTAAAAAGAAAGTGATACTGAAAGCAATGATCAAAAGGCAGTAAAGGAGACATTCTAGCTTTAGCCTTTCACCTGTATTTTAAATCTGTGCACTTTATAATTTGCTATCCCATGTCAATCAACAGTTAGAAATGACAAGATGTACTGCAAATCTAAGAATGGGAACTGTATTGGTACATTTTCTTTGTTTTTCTAGGAACCTAGCACTGTCTTAGCAGGTTCTTTTAAGAGAGATCTACTTGGATCTACTTATCTTTCAATGAGACACGAGACTTATTCACAAAATTCTTGATTCTGTCGCAAAAGAGTTAGAGTCCCTACAGATTAGCCATTATCGATACCAGTACTTAGGGAGATCAGTAGACTTTCTTTTGTAACTTTATTTTAGTATGAGAGATGTTGATGTAGTGTTAGTAGTATTCTTATTACAGGTATTCTGAAGATCTCTCTTCTGATAGTATTTTAAATCCATATTATTTTAAAAGTGTCAAGAATAGATCAGTGTTTTTTTTGTACTTCTTGAGCATGCATAGTCTTAAGAATTTCTTGTGTGATCTCATCTGGCAGGCACATGCTAGAGAACCAACATGGCAAAAAAGGAAATGCATTGCTTACACCTGTACCTGAAAACCCACTCTCATAGTGATAACTAAGTTTAGGTTTACTTTATTTTCTTCATAACTGGATATCCCAAAATGATCTTGGTCTTTGTCCAACATCACTAAAACTTCATCTTGATAGGGAGGGGGGTATATGTGGACACAGCACAGGTCAAACAAAGCTGACTTTCCATAAAGAGAAGAAATTAAAAGTCACTTTTATATTAACATGGTGACAGAAGGACTTGTTTCCTATTAAATACCTCATACATGTATTAGGTACTTCATTTTATATCTCAGAGAGAAAGTTTATTCAAATTTTGGGTTATTAAGAAAGTGTTTAAGTACCTTTAGGCCACCTCGGGAGATTCTTTAATCAAGATTATTTACAAAATAAACCTTAATCATTTGGTATTCGACAACTGTTGTAGCCTGTAGTTAACCTGTTACACAGGATATAAGTAATTATCATCTGTTCTTTCATTTTTCATTGTTATATGGTTAATCTGACCTAGTTTGCAAACTGGCTCCAATTTTACTTTGCAAGGGAGGGGATGGAAAGGGAGATTTATATTTGTACTAATTTTTCTTAACCAACCCTGCTTAAAACACATTAACTGAGGAAGCTTTATTTAAGAATTTTTTTCTGGAAGGGGGCTGCCTATTGAGAGCCTGGGCAGGGAGTGCATAGTATTGTATTGGAATTAATTTCTGTGACTTTTGGGTTGATGGCTAGCAAAAGGAACCTAATTCAACATCCTTACATAAAACTGATGCTGGGCAAAAAAATAGAAAAATGGCCTTTTAAACCATGCTTTCTAATTGCTCAATATTTTCCAGAGGGTGCTTCAATGAACATGAAGGACACATCTTCATATCAGTAAAAGATATTAACCAGCACTCATTTAAAGACAAATGGTTCTGAACATTCATAAAATTGGTGAAAAATGTGAAAGAGAGTCTTAAAGGTGATATTAAACTACAGATGATAATTTAATCAAGGGTGCATGAGTTTAAATACATGTATTTCCTACTTGAATAAAAATTTTCAACATTTTCCTCACTTGTTGGAAACTTCTTCAGTTGATTTCATTTTCAAATACGAATCTGCCATATCATATCTATTTTTAGAGAACATATGCTCACAATCACCCCTAAACTTCGAAAATTTGCTGAGTCAGAAAGTTACAGTGAAAGAAAGTGCTTCACATTTTCCTCACCTGTTAAAGATAAATCCAAAAGACTGGAACATTATATTTTCCAGCCTTGCACAAAGATGTTCAAAATACTGCTTCATCAAAGAACATTTTTTTACCATGATAATAACTTGTTGGTACAAATCCCACACTTGTTCTCGGACATTAATACTTGAATAGAGTTTTTCCATATGCTAAGAATGGCATTGAGGTTAATTAATAACAATAAGAAAAATAAGGGATTTCTTAATTTGTATCATGTTCGCGTCTCCACGCTGTCAGTGTGCTAGGTTCTCGTTCGAGTTCGCTTTTGCTCAGGCTAAATTATCCTTTTTTCGGTTTCCTGGAAAAACTGGATCAAGGATCACCGGATCACCGGATCACCGGATCACCGGATCACCGGATCACCGGATCACCGGATCACCGGATCACCGGATCACCGGATCAAGGATCAAGGATTAAGTATAAGTTCAAAATGAATCAAATAAATCAAATAAATTAATAGGTATTGTTGATTGCTCAGCTACGTGACTCAGTCAAGATCTCCCGTATACTAAAGCGAAAACAAGAGAAAATACTAAATACTGAAAAAGCCATGCCACTTTGTGGAAGTGTCAATTTTCACCTACTGACTATTAAGACTGCTATTGAAGACTGACGGCTACAGAGCGGGTTTACTTATGTATATGCTATATTCACATGAAATTTCTAAATTATCCCGAGTGTCGGTATGTGATTACGTCTCTGACTTCCGTGTTCTTCTTCTTCAACTCAGTGAGGCGATACAATTTTTATCACTTTCCGCTTGCTGAAAGTTTGCTGCTCACTCCAGCAGTCGCCAAAACGGCTTCGTGTTTTGAAATTGCACCGGAAGTCACAGACGCAATCTCATACCGACAATTGGGATAATTTAGAAATTTCATGTGAATATAGCATATTATCATTCATTCTTCTTGATGCCTTTCCTGGTGCCACCGATGACTTTCCCAATGCCTCTGTTGGTTAATACAGCATGGAAAATATTGTTACAGTCAAAGCTTTTGGAAAATGTCTTAAATTTTTAATTGGCGAAGTATAACTTAGTAACATTTCGGCTTTACAACAAGATTGTTTTCTGCTATATATTTCTATTTATAAAATAATTCAAATAGTACGCGCGCTCTGATTGGACATAAAACCATTTTACATGGGCGTATGTAAACACGGTTTTCGTTCCTCTTTCATTAGTTATTTTATAAAAGAAATGTAAAATGGTTTCCGTGTTTACATCAGGCTATGTAAACACGGAAACCATTTCACATTTCTTCAATGAAGTATAAAAGTTGTTTCACTGCTGACCACTCGGAGTGGAGTTTTCTTTCCTCGCTCGTCGCCCGTGATGTAGTAAACCCCCAAGCTGGCCGCTCTTCAGCTTCAAAAAGAAACTCAAGACCTCGAGATAAAGAAACTAGAATTACAGCTCCAGCTCGCCCAGCTATAAGGCAGCCAAATCGCCTCGCCAAATTCCGCCGAGACGACTCCCGGCGAATCACCTGGCGACTTAACGGCACCTCAGAAGACCGCAGCCACAGCCACACATTTTTGCACCAGGTTAGAGAATGAGTTATCTAAGCCTGAGGTTTGTGCGGGGTATTTAGTCATTGTACAGCAAAGTGTCACCAAACCCCATTTCGCCCCTCTCCTAGAACATTGTCATCAACTCATGGTTTTAGCATTAACTTATCAGTGGTCAGCGGTGCGCTCATTTCATTACATATTGTTGCGTTCCTTCGAGTTTGCTTTGGTTCAGTGGGGAGATTCTTTTGATCATTTCAAACTTCAGTTTTTGACACCATCGTCCTTGCTGTTCGCAAGCGCTCCTCGAAAAATGGCTAAAGCTCCCGTTAGTGGCGTTGAGATTTTAAATACCCCTCCTAAACCGGCGATTTCGCGTAACCAAATTCGTGATGAATAGTCCTGGTATAACAATTGCTCGTCAGGCGATTGCTCCAAGCAGCACCACTGTGTCGTGTGCAGATTTTCTGATCATTTAGCCCTCGTTTGCCCCAAACGCAAGTTTCCCGTACTAGCTCGCCGCACGGACCCACCGTCTCAGGCCTGACTACCTGATTCCGCACGTCCATCCCCTACTTCTTCCCGCCTTCCCTCCGCAGCGACTACCAGCTCACCTCCATTCCATCGCCCCCGGCTTTTATTTTTTTCCTGAAGTCATCGCTTACCTCGCATTTAACTCTTCTCCATTCCCGGCTCCAGAATTCTTTCGGCCCCAACGCCTTCACGCTTTTTCTTCCAGTCCCATCGAACCTCAACATTCCCGAATGGCGCCGCTGTCTTCATGATATCCTGTCGAGTGACTTCCTTGAATTTGGCTGACCGGTCGGATATACCAGTAGTACACGGCCTGTCCAGTGTAACCGGAATCACGGTTCTGCCAGGTCAGTCCAACAATAGTCAACAAATTTCTTAGCACTGAACGTGAACTTGGCGCAACCTGCGGTCCTTTCGTTATCAATCCTCTCTCTGTCGACATCTCGATCTCTCCTCTCCAAATCGCTTACAGCCGCACCGGCAGACCACGCGTCGTCTTCGACCTTAGTCACCCTTCATTCCTCTCCACGGACGCATGCAACACCGGCGCGGGGGACTATTTTAACAGGCATTTCTTTCATACCCCTTTTCTTAGCCCTATTCGCCGCCAGTTTGGATACGACATTAACATCTTGGAATTGTTGACGATAATGGTAACGCTTTCACCAACTAAGAAAGATCTCAAGACTCTCAAGCGTGGTTTGGGTACCGCCACTTGTCAAAAACGTGTCTACTAGTTTTTTTGCCAGAGTATCTCTAGTTAGTAATTTTGAGTTTTTATTGTATCAAATGACTAGTGCAAAATATAATATCGAACAACTGTGGAGAACATATTTTTGATAGTATTTTCTTCCTATAATCAAATTCCAGTCAAATATTGATTAATCCCAGTTCCCCTTCCCTCAAGGGATCCATTGTTGATGGAGAAAACTTTTGAAAAAGCATATCAAACAATGAAGGAAAAATAAACCTGGTAAAAACTTATTTTAGATTGATTTGCAAAAGGACACCAGCCAGAGAATGTCAAAAATAGGAAAGAGCTGGATGATTATACAATTAGTTACAATTATTCATAGGGAAAGTTTAACTTAAGGCTTAACCAAACGTTAACTTAAAAAAATGAAGTAAACTGATTTTAACTCATGATGATATCTGAAAGCTCACTATAGAAAAAAAAAAACCAGCGTCAAAAATCGAAAACACTAGTGTCTAAAATAGGATGCTAGTGTCGACTAGTGTCTGAAATAGCACACTACTATGACACTAACGACACGATAAATGTCCAAAATTGGACACTGGTGACTAAAATCTGACATTAGTCTCTAAAATCGAACACTAGTGTCCACAATCAATCCCTTCTGTCTAAAATAGGACACAAGGCATATAGAGACACTAGTGTCAAATCAGACACAAGCATCTAAAATGGGACACCAGTGTCCAAAATAAGAAACCTATTCGTAAAAATCAGACACAAGTTTCCGAAATTGGATACTTCTGATCAAAAATTGGACACCAGTGTTGAAAATCACTCAGAAGAACATCAGCTGAAGAATGTCAAAATCAGGGAAAAGCAGGATGACTTCTTGTGTACAACTAAATTATTAAAAAGTGGCTTTACAGTTAGTACAGAAGTTAGTACAGTTAGTTTACAGAAACAATAACTTAGGGGGAAGGTGTAAATGAAGGCTATACTCAACACTCCAAAAAGTTTCCTGAACAATACTTTAATAAATTTATGATACCTGATTCGAAATCATGATAATACCTGAGGGCTCTAATAAAAATCGCTATTTAGCTGTAGTTGAAATGAGGGTGCTTGCAAATAGTAAAAAAAAATTTTAAAAACATTGATACATGCAAACCATTACTAAAAATGAAAAGACAGATCTGAGAGACAAGTTTGCTCTATTGAACTGCAACACACCATTCCAAAGGTCAGGATAATATTCTGCCAGAGAAGCAATAATTATATTTAGTTTAAGCCCTAAAATTTTACCTAGGTCACCTTTGTCATCAAACATGTTCAATATTTCACAAATTAAAACAAATATCTCAAAACTAAAAATGTTTAGACCCAAACATGTTCCCTTGATGACATCAAGTTGTTGTGAACACTCAGCAGTTTCACTGGGTTTGAAGGAAGGTGAATGGCATAATCCTAATCAAATTTGACAACTCTCTTGGACTACATTTAGTTTGCCACACAGCCCAACATTTACATATATATATATATGAAAGGTCAAGCTTAGACCAACAGACAAAAACACAAATTTAGTTGTTGAATTACATGCATTGTTAACCATCCACTTTATTCTGTGAACAGTCCATAGTTCTTGTTTTGGCTATTCTATAGAAAACAAACCAAAGTAGCCAGGCAAGTCCATACTTTACATTATGAAAAGGAAGCAATCAATTGTTACATATTTGACCTCAAATTACAAATAACAGTCCTTTCACACTCTAGATCAAAATTCTAATGTTTCTTCCTGAAAACCCTACACTTTTTTCTCGGCTACTTTTCAGGAGAATTAAGTGCTCAATCAAGACAACATCCCCTGATTGACTAAACTCTAAATTTGCTACATTCTGTTAAATCCCACATGTCTGACAGAGAAACAATGATTCACTTACCCATCCTGCCAAACACTGTTGATAGTTAGTGAATTAAGAACAAAAGGCCCTGGCTGAATCACTAGTTTCGCCGTTCATGAGCAACACGGTGTCAGCAATGCGGACCAGGAGAGCAGCAATTGCATCCTTATCATCCTTTTCCCAAACATCACCTGAAAGATACTTTTCTACACTTCCCTCTGCTTCTTTAGGAGATAGAGGTGGGCTGGGTTCTATTGGCATATGTACAGTAAAAATAAAGGCCAATTCCTTATATGGTGCATTTTGATCATCACAATAAGAGTGAAACAGAAGTTGCGAGGGTGGCGGGAGAAGCTCAAGGTGACAGATGAGCACTACCTTGTGATCCGCCTCAATTCCTTTCTTAATTTCTTTGTCCATCGTCATTTTGGTCTCATTTGGAGGATTTGCTTTCTCTTTTTCACCATCAATTCTGGTCAGATTTTTTTTATGTCTTGGATCCAGCATTTGTGCTAGTTTAAGGGCCAGGCAATCCACGTGTTCATGTGCTGCTGGAGGTGCAGCCAGTAAAAACACCAGTGGTTGTGAGGGATCCTTATTCCGTAGATGAGCCAATCTGCGACTTTCTAAAATCTTCCAGAACCGGTCGGTCTGATTAGTGAATGACAACTGTAACTTTTCAAGCCCATTCCTGAAGACACTCTCCAGGTCAGACTCAGTCTCTACGTCGCTCTTAGGAGTAAAAAGGTAGAAGGCTACACATGCAACTATGGCGGCGAGGAAAATTCCCAGATGGGGATAATAACTTGATTGCGACTTAATACCAAGATGGAAGGGGTTGATAACTTTTTGTCGCAGTCCCTCATGAGGATCTAATCGCGGCTCATCGAACCCTTTTTCCGGAGATTCGTCTGCAGTCTGTTCGCCTTCGCCACCTTTTCGGTCAGGGTTTAAAGAAAATTTATCCTCATCTTGCGCTGTCTTTACAGGTTTACGAGCAGGTAGGTCTTTCTTTTTATGATTGTCTCCGCCAGTTATTTGCGAAGTGGGTGTATTACGTTCCTGGGTTTCGTTACCTTTCTCTATGTCCTTCTCAGACACTTTACGGTCACCTCTGCCACCTTTACCTTTAGCTCCACTTTCCTCAACAGAGGTTTCAGAAATTTCCCTTTTTCCTACAGATTTAACTCGATCCTCTTCGGAAGACATCGTCTCAGCAAAAATTTTAAGTGAATGATGATCTCTATCCCTCAAGCTCCAAGAATTGTTTGTGCGTTAACATAGCGCGCGGTTCCCGGAAAAAGGGCCGCTGGTAGCGACTTGTATACATTATTTACTCAAACAAGGAAAGCTATTCGTCAGTTGATTAAGACTAACCAATGAAAATTTCTGCACTAAATAACACGGAAGTTTTTCAGAACACCTGCAGGCAAACAAAGCGGGCGGTTCCTAGAAAAAGGGCCCCTGTTAGTGACTTGTTGGCATTATTTACTCTAACAAGGAAGGTCATTGGTCAGTTGATTGAAACTAACGAATGAAAATTTTGCTGTACTAATAACTAACACGGAAGTTTTCTAGAAAACCAGTAAGCAAACAAAGCGCGCTGTTCCCGGAAAAAGGGCACCAGGTAGCGTCTAGTGTACATTATTTGCTCGAACAAGGAAGGTCATTGGTCAAATGATTGGGACTAACCAATGAAAAATACTGTATTAAATAACACGGAAGTTGTCTAGAAAACCTGCAAGCAAACAAAGCGGACGGTTCCCGGAAAAAGGGCCCCTGGTAGCGTTTTGTTTACATTATTTACTCTAACAGGGAAGGTCATTGGTCAATTGATTAAGACTAACCAATAACTATTGCCGCATTAAATAACAAATAATTCTTTTTTTCAGAAAACCTGCGAGCGCACAGAAGGGCTCGTCACTTCTGAGAAATATGGAGAGAAAGGGGAGACTTGTGCTGCTGATGACAATTTTGTGTGCACCTATGATAAGTGCGGTACTTATTGAAGGTTTTGTTGCTTTTCTTGTAGGTGGCTATTTGGCGCCTAAACTTTATTGTCATTTCTCTGAATGCTGTAAGAACAAGTGGATTAAACCCAACATAACGGGGTTACAGTCAGCCCTTCGGAGGCGTGTTTTTGGTCAACACTTGGTCACTGAGACCGTTTTCAAGGCTCTTGTAGGACATTTGAACAACAAGTCGCCTAATAAAGCGTTGGCGATTTCTTTCAACGGCTGGACAGGATCAGGAAAGAACTTTGTGAGCAAAATCATTGCCGAACATATCTTCAAGAAGGGCTTGGAGAGTGATTACGTTAATCTGATCATAGCTACCCATGAATACCCTCATCAGTCCCAGGTAGAATTTTACAAGCGACAGCTGCGCAATCGAGTGGAGAGTTCTGTGTCAAAGTGTCCCAGATCGCTGTTTATCTTCGACGAAATGGACAAAATGCCGATAGGCCTCATAGATGTGCTTAAACCCTTCTTAGATCACTACCCCCCTGATGAAGGAAAGATCGATTACCGTCAAAGTATCTTCATTTTCCTTAGCAATACGGGAGGTAATCTTATCAACAATGCTGTTCTAAAACACTGGAAAGACGGAAAGAAACGAGGAGATATCAAGATCAAGGACATGGACAAAGTGATCAATCTCGGTGAATTTAATAATAAGGGTGGATTTTGGCATTCCTCTCTAATTGATAAAAATCTCATAGATTACTTTATTCCATTTATGCCGATGGAGAGATCTCACGTTAAAAAGTGTGCTAAAGCCGATTTAGAGAAAAAAGGACACCCAGTCACAGATTCCATCCTAAACAGAGTAGCAGACGAATTGTTATACTTTCCAGAAGACCTGAAGGTCTTTTCTCTGTCTGGTTGTAAGAAAGTCTCAAGCAAAGTTGACTATGTGATGGGGTGAGGAATTTTGAAAACTTTTCACTTGGGACATAGTAGGCAACAAGTCAGGCTGACATATTGTGTAGACAATTAGTAGAGGTTGGTTTTTTAAGAAATAGTTAAAGCTTGTTACATAGACTTAAGGCAGTAACTAGTCAGCCTTTCAAACTTAGTTTCAGTAATGAGTGGGTTTGGGTAAGTTTAGCAGAGGGTGGAGATGGAGGAGTTGGAAGTATGTTTTAGAGACAAAGAAGACAATTTTGTGATAGAGAGAATAGGTATCTGAGAGAGAACAAGAGATTGAGGACCAACCATAATTTGATTTACCGTCCTTATTCCTATTATCATCCCCTCTCTGATAAGCCCCTGTTTTTTTAGTAAGCACCCCTATTGAATAATCTTTCTCATTCAGTGCCCCTATACCAATAAGCACCTCTCTTCTGTTTCAGTGATAGCAGAGAATATGTACACCGAGATCAACGATGGGTCACCTTTTTAAGACTCCCTTTTACATTTTTTGCAAATTTTATGACTGCCCAGAGGCATTTGTTAGAGTAATTGCTGGCTAAGATCTTTTTCTGATATGAAGATGTGTCCTTAATGTTCATTTCAGCACCTTCTGGAAAATATTGTGCAATTGGAAAGTGTGTTTTAAAAGGCTCTTTTTCTATTTTCTTTTGCCTAGCATGTTTTATGGAAAATTAAATTAAGGGATGTTGAATTAGGTTCTGTTTCCTAGCCATCAACCCAAGTCACTGAAATTAATTGTTATACGATGCTATGCTCTTCCTACTCAGGCTCTCAATAGGCAGCCCCCTTCCAAATAATATCTTCTCAAATAAAGCTTCCTAAGTTTAAATGTTTTAAGCAGAGTTAGTTGAGAACATTGGTACAAATATAACCCCCCCTTCCCCTCCTTCCCTTGCAAAGTACAATTATGCACCCAGTTGGCAATTTAGGTCAGATTAACTGTTTAACCATGAAGAATGGAAGAACTGATGATAATTACTCATATGCTATGTGACAGATTAACTTACAGGCAACAATATTTGTCAAAAACAAAATGTTTAATATTTATTTTGCAATAGTTTAGATCAAAGTACTACCCGAGGTGGCATAAAGGCACTCATACACCAATTTGATAGCCCAAAATTCAAATAAACTTTCTCTCTTAGACGTGAAATAAAGTACCTTATACATGTACAAGGTGTTCACTAGGAATAAAGTCCTTCTGTCACCATGTTAATATAAAAGTGACAATAAATTTTCTTCTTCATGGAAAGTCAACGTTGTTTTTAATGTGTTGTGTCCATATATATCCCCCTCCTGATCAAGATGAAGTTTTAGCGATGTTGGAGGGAGATGAAGATCATATGGGATATCCAGCTATGAAGAAAATGAAATAGAACTGAACTTGGTAATCATTATCGGAGTGGGTTTCCGGGTACAGGTGTAAGCAATGTGTTTACTTTTCCGCCATGTTGTTTTGCTACCATGTCCATGCCAGATGAGATCACCCTTGCAAGACAACAAAATAACTCACCCTTCATTCCTAAAATATTAATGATATCAATTTTAACTGAATGTAATATTTATCCCATAACTTTTAGCTAGTGATTAGTGACAAGAAATTCTTAAGGCAATGCATATTCAAGAAAAACAAAAAAATTACTGATTTATTTTTGATACTTTTAAAAAACTGATTCAAAATACCACCAAAGAGGGTTCTGCAGACTACCTGTAGTAAGGTTACTACTAACGTTTTATCAGCATCTTTCATACTCAAATTAAGTTAAGAATGTCTACTGATCTCACTAAGCACCAGTACCTAGCATGGGTAATCTATAGGGACTCAAGACACAACTATATCTTGTGCGACAGAATCAAGAGATCTGAGAGAGCAAGATTGAAATGCCTGAGTTACTCAGTTGCTAAAGTTCTAGATTTTTTTTCATTAATTTCATGTCTCTTTTTGTTTTAGTTACTCTCTAAAGCAGTAAAACTTTCTCTAGAAACTAAAGGGCACTTATTTACTTTTGGTTCCCCAAGGGATGGTGCTTATTTCAAGCAAGGTGGTCATTTCCTTTTTTCAGAAATCACAAAATGTGTAGGCAAAGCTTTGATGTTTGCTTGAAAAGAATCAATACAAATGGAAAATGGAGGTGTTGTCCCTGAATCCTTTTTGGCTAATATGACCAGCCGAGCAATCATCACAAATTTGTAGGAGAAAATCATTTGTTTGGAAGAACTGTGCACTCAGGTGAACATAATAGTTGAGATACTGAGACAAAGACCACTGCTTTTGTAATGTAGCTGTTTGTGAGCTATTAAAGGTGATGTCAAACTACAAATGATAATTTAATTAAGAGTGAGTTTAAATAGAAGCATTTACTATTTAATTAAAATTTTTCCAAATTTTCCTCACTTGTTAGAAACTTCTTCAGTTGGTAACATTTTAAAATATGAGTCTACCACATTATATCTATTTTTAGACAATATATGCGCACAAATACCCCTAAACTTTAAAATTTTGCTCTGTTAGAAAATTACAGTGAAAGTAAGTACTTCACATTGATCCTCACTAGCTAAAGATAAATCGAATGTTCGCTGTGTGCTCACTGAACTTTTTTTGTATTGCAAATGTTTTTCTTTCTGCAATGAACTCTGTTGGATTACATTCCATGAAGGATGTCTCAGATTAATTTGTAAGAAAGGAATATTTTTGGATTATTTGGGCTGAATTTTATACTGGTACAAACAACTTTCTTTGGTTGAATTCAATATCCTGGCTAACCGTAGCAACAAAATAACAGGCTCAATACAATAATCTTAAATACAAGATATACTGGCAGTTAGAGTCATTAAAGGCTTGCAGAGAATAAAACTCTCATCAAAGGGTTTTGCAATCCAAAAGTCTTCAGTGCCTGGCAGTCAATGCATACTGGACCTGATATAAATTTTGAGAAAGAATAAATTATGAAATCCTGGTTAGAAAACATGAATTCTGAATATCATTTACCTATGGATAATCTTAACAGAAGATAACCATTCAGGTGCACTAAGAGTTAATAAAAAAGGTTCCCAGGTCCAACAGAAGAACAACTAACTTTTTTTGGTAATAAAATGGTTGCCTAAAACTATGGTTTCTCTACTTAATTTTGTACTCAAGAAATGTTCCTAAAATTACCTATCAGCTCTTTCACCCTTGTTGAATGTCTTCCTCCTCATCCTTGAGGTCTTGTTTTTTTCCTTACTATCCTTCTCTCCCTCATAAAATAACACAGGACCTCCATCATAAATATCATGCAAAAATGTCCATGTCTCTTGTGACAGCTGCCCATAGCCAGAGTTATTAAGTTTGGTCACAAACTATTGCAATGATGTTCACGTTTTTCTCCATGACACCAGCACCTAAAATTTAAAACACTAGGGACTAAAATAAGATTCCAGTATCTGAAATTGCACACTATTGTAACACTAACGACACTAACGTCCAAAATTGGACACTGTCATGTAAAATCTGATGCTAGTCTCCAAAATCAAACACTATTGTCTAAAATATGATACAACTGTCCATAAACAGATAGTAGTGTCTAAAATCAGACACAAGCATCTAAAATGAGGCACAAGTGTCCAAAATGAGAAAACTATTTCCAAAATTAAACCTAGATTTCCAAAATTGGGTATTTCTGATCAAAACTGAACCCCAGTGTCCAAAATCATGCACAAGAACACCAGCTAAAGAATGTCAAAAACAGGAAAAAGCTGGATGACTACCAGCATACAACTGAATCAAAACTGGTTTAGAGTCAGTGGAGACCTCCTGAAAACAATTACTTAGGGAAGGGTGTAAATGAAGGCTAAACTCAACTCCAAAAAGTTTCCTGAAAAAAACTTAAATAAATTTATATGACCTGATTTGAAATCATGATAATACTTGAGGGCTCTAATAAAAATGGCTATTGAGCTGTATTGGAAATGAGGGTGCTTGCAAAAAAACAAAAAAAAATCAATGCATGCAATCCATCATTAAAATTTAAAAAACAGATCTGAGAGACAAGTTTGCTTTTGTGAACTTCAGCACATCATTCCAAAGGTCAGGATAATATTTAACTGATAGAAAAGCAATTAATATATTAAGTTTTAAGCCCTAAAACTAAACCTAGTACCATAAAACTAGGTCACCTCCAGGCTTGTTGTTCAAATTTTCTCAAAATGAAATAAATATCCCAAAATCATAAATTTTAGACCAAAAATGTTCCCTTGAATACATTATGTTGTTGTAAATACTTAGCAGTTTCACTAGGTTTGAAGGAAGGTAAAAAATGGCTCAATGTCAATCAAATTTGGCAAGTCTTTTGGACTACTTTTAGTTTGCCACACAGCCTAACATTTACATAATTATGAAAAATCTACAGCTTTGATCAACAGATAAATGCAAATTGAGTTGTTGAATTGCATGTATTGTAAACCATCCACTGTATTCTGTGAATAGTCAATAGTTCTTGTTTTGTGACATTCTACAGAAAACAAACTAAAGTAGCCAGGCAAGTCTATACTTTCCATAATGGAAAGGAAGCAATCAATTGTTACATATTTGACCTCAGCTTACAAACTAGTCACACTCTAGATCAAAATTCGAATTCTCCCACTTAAAAACTCTACATTCTTTTGTTGATTACTCCTGAGAATTAAGTCTCCCATTAAGACAACATTCCCTGGTTGCTACATTCTGTTAAGTTCTACATGTCTGTCAGTAAAGATGATTCACCAACTCATCCTGCCTATCACTGCTAACAATTAGTGGACTAAGAACAAAAGGCCCTTGCTGAATCACTAGTTTCGCCATTCATGAGCAACATGGTGTCAGCAATGCGGACCAGGAGAGCAGCAATTGCATTCTTATCATCCTTTGCCCAAACATCACCTGAAAGATATTTCTCTACACTTCTCTCTGCTTCTTTAGGAGATAGAGATGGGCTGGGCTCTACTGGCATATGTACAGTAAAAATAAAGGCCAATTCCTTATATGGTGCATTTTGATCATCACAATAAGAGTGAAACAGAAGTTGTGAGGGTGGCGGGAGAAGCTCAAGGTGATGGATAATCACTACCTTGTGAAGAGCCTCAATTTCTTTCTTCAGAAAATTGTCCATCGTCATTTTGGTCTGTTCTGGAGGATTTGCTTTCTCTTCTTCACCATGAATTCTGGCCAGAGTTTCTTTAGGTCTTGGATCCAGCAGTAGTGCAAGTTTAATTGCCAGGCAATCCACGTATTCATGTGCTGCTGGAGGTGCAGCCAATAAGAACACCAGTGGTTGTGAGGGATCCTTATTCCGTAGATGAGCCAATCCGCGACTTCTTAACCTCTTCCAGAACCGGTCGGTCTGATTAATAAATGACAACTGTAACTTTTCAAGCCCATTTCCAAAGGCTGTCGCCAGATCAAAGTCAGGCTTCATGACGTTTTCAGGAGGAGCAAGGAAGATAGCTACAACACTACACCCAACTGCGACGGCGAGGAAAATTTTCAGAAGGAGATAATAACTTGATTGCGACTTGGTCCCAGGATTCAAGGTCTGGATAAGTTTCGGTTGTGGTTCTTTCACAAGACCTGGTTGCTGTTCATCCAACCCTTTTTTCGGAGATTCGTCAGTAGGTGCCTGATCGCCTTTGCCAGCTGTTAGGTCATGGTTAGTTAATTCCCCCTTATCTGGCGCTGTGTTTACAGATTTACGAGTAGATTTCCCTTTACGATTGTCTCCGCCAATCATTTCCCCAATGGGTGTTATTACGTTTCTGCGTTTCTTTACCTTCCTCAGGTTAATCTTCAACCTCTTCGGAAGACATTGTCTCAGCAAAAGTATTAACTGAATGATGATCTCAAATTCTCAGGTTCTACGAATTGTTTGTGTGAAGACATGGCGCGTGGTTCCCAGAAAAAAACCCTTCTAGTGACTTGTATACATTATTTACTCTAACAAGGAACGTCATTGGACGCTTTATTGAGACTAACCAATGAAAATTGCTGTACTAAACAACACGGAAGTTTTCTAGAGAATGTGCAAGGAAAGCCCCAGGTAGCGACTTTTAATTATTATTTACTCTAGCAAGGAAGGTCATTTGTCAATCGATTGAAACTGACCAATGTAAATTTCTGTGCTAAATAGCACTGAAGTTTTCTGGAAAACCTGCATGCAAACAAAGCGCGCGGTTCCCGGAAAAAGGTCTTGTTTACAATTTTTACTCTAACAAGGATATCATTGGTCAATTGATTGAGACTAACCAATGAAAATTGTTGTACGAAATAGCGTAGAAGTTTCTTTTCAGTAAACCTGCAAGCACACTAAAGCGCTTGTTCTCATTCCAGAAATATGGATAACAAGGGAAGACTCGTGCTGCTGATGACATTTTTGTTTGTCTCTACGATAAGCGCGGTACTTATTGAAGGTATTGTTGGAGGTGGTGCTTTTCTTGTAGGTGGCTATTTGGCGCCTAAAATATATTGTCATTTCAGTGAATGCTGTAGGAACAAATGGATTAAACCCAACATAACGGGTCTACAGTCAGCCCTTCGGAGGCGTGTTTTTGGTCAACACTTGGTCACTGAGACCGTTTTCAAGGCTCTTGTTGGACATTTGAACAATAAGTCGCCTAATAAAGCGTTAGCGATTTCGCTCAACGGCTGGACAGGATCAGGAAAGAACTTTGTGAGCAAAATCATTGCCGAACATATCTTCAAGAAGGGATTGAAGAGTGATTATGTTCATCTGATCATAGCTACCTATGAATACCCTCATCAGTCCCAGGTAGAATTTTACAAGCGACAGCTGCGCAATCGAGTGGTGAGTTCTGTATCAAAGTGCTCCAGATCGCTGTTTATCTTCGACGAAATGGACAAAATGCCGATAGGCCTTATAGATGTGCTTAAACCCTTCTTAGATCACTACCCCCCTGATGAAGGAAAGATCGATTACCGTCAAAGTATCTTCATTTTCCTCAGCAATACGGGAGGTAATCTTATCAACAATGCTGTTCTAAAACACTGGAAAGACGGAAAGAAACGAGAAGATATCAAGATCAAGGACATGGACAAAGTGATCAATCTCGGTGAATTTAATAACAAGGGTGGATTTTGGCATTCCTCTCTAATTGATAAAAATCTCATAGATTACTTTATTCCATTTATGCCGATGGAGAGATCTCACGTTAAAAAGTGTGCTAAAGCCGATTTAGAGAAAAAAGGACACCCAGTCACAGATTCCATCCTAAACAGAGTAGCAGACGAATTGTTATACTTTCCAGAAGACCTGAAGGTCTTTTCTATGTCCGGTTGTAAGAAAGTCTCGAGCAAAGTCGACTATGTGATGGGGTGAGGAATTTTGATTTGCACTTGGGACACAGTAGGCAGCAAGTCAGGCTGGCATAATTTGTAGACAATTTATAGAAACTGGTTTTTGAAAAAATAGCAAAAGCTTGTCACATAGACTCATGACAGTGACTTTCCAGTTACTGTGACTCAGCCTTTTAAAATTAGTTTTAGAAATTAGTGGGGGTGGGGTAAGTTCAGCAGAGGATGGAGATGGAGGAGTTGGAAGTATGTTTTAGATACAAAGAAGAGAGAATAGGTATCTGAGAGAGAACAGGAGAATGAAGACCTACTGTAATTTGATTTACCCTTCACGTTTCAATAAGTGCCCCCTCTACCAATAAGCACCCCTCTTCTGTTTCAATGATAGCACTGCATAGTACATACACACCGAGATCAACCATGGTTCATCTTTCTTTAATTGCTCACGTAGAGCCATGCCACAAAAACAGAGGTCTTTGTCTCAGTATCTCAACTATTATGTTTACCTGAGGCAACAGTTCCTTTAAAAAAAATTATATTGTCATAAAATTTTTATGATGATTGCTTGGCTGGTTGTTCAAACCAAGAAGGATTCAGTAACAACACCTCCATTTTCCTTTTGACTCTTTTCAAGTAACCATCAAAGTTTTGTTTCACACATTTTGCTATTCCTGACAAGGGGAATGAACACCCTGTTTTGAATAAGCACCCACCCTTGGGGAACCAAAACTAATTAAGTGCCTCAAGTGTTAACTCAAATCTTTATAGTTGTTTAGTTTCTATGGAAAGTTTTATATTGCTTTAGGGAGTAACAAAAATACTTGGTTGAAAAGAGACATGAAATTAATGAACTTAAGCAACTGAGAAAATCAGACATTTCAATCTTACTTGCTTTTTCAGATCAACAGGGGTGAGGGCTGATACTTAAAATGTCAGCTTTTCTTGAGTTATTGTCACAGCTGATTGATTTAACTCTTTTTAATTTTGAAATTATATTGTGCCAAATATCTCCAAATCCCAAATCAGGCTCTCCTGTACCATGTTTCTGATCAAAATTAAACTTCTACTGAAAGCAATGATGAAAAGGCAGTAAAGGAGAAATTCTTGCCTTAGCTTTTCCCCTATATTTTAAAATTTTGCACTTTAATTTTCACCTTTTGTGAATCACCAGTTAGAAATTCAAAGATGTACTTCAAACCTAAGAATGGGAACTGTTAGTACATTTTTTTTCTCTAGGAACCTAGCACTGCCTTAACAGGTTTCTTTTAAAAGAGATCTACTTCAATCTTTTTATCTTTCATTGAGACATGACAGTCATTTACAAAATTCCTGATTCTGTCGCACAAGAGATGGATGTGTCTCGAGTCCCTGCAGATTACCCATGCTGGGTACCGGTGCTTACTGGTGAGATCAGTAGACTTTCTTGTGTAACTTCATTTGAGTAGCAAAGATGTTGATATAGCGTTAGTAGTATTCTTACTACTAGTTGTCCAAAGAACCCTCTTCTGGTAGTATTTTAAATCCATATTTTAAGTGTCAAAAATAAATTGGTGGTTTTTTGTACTTCTTGATGCCTCTCCCGGTAGTATTTTAAATTCATATTTTAAAAGTGTCAAAAATCAATCTGTGTTTTTTTCTGTAATTCTTGTACCTTGTCAGAGGAATTTCTTGTGTCTACTGATCACTAGCTTAAATTTATAGGATTAAATTAATAGGATAAATGTTACATTTTGTTAAAATTGATATCACTATTATTTTAGGAGTGTAAGGAGAGTTATTTTGTTCTCTTTTAAGAGTTATCTTATATGGTAGGGACATGATAGCAAAACAACATGGCTGAAAAGTAAACACATTTCTCACACTGTACCTGAAATCCTACTCTGATAATGATAACTAAGTTCAAGTCTATTTCATTTTCTTCATAGCTGGATATCCCAAAATGATCTTGGTCTCTGTCCAACATCTCTAAAAATTTATCTTGATAGGGAGGGGAGATATATATATATGGACACAACACAGTAAAAACAATGCTAACTTTCCAGGAAGAAGAGAAATTTATTGCCACTTTTATATCAACATGGTGACAGAAGGACTTGTTTCCTAGTAAATACCTCATGCATGTATAAGATACTTTACTTAACACCTTGGAGAGAAAGTTTATTCTAATTTTGGGTTATCAAAAAGGTGTTCAAGTACCTTTATGCTACCTCAGGTAATACTTTGATCTAAAGTATTTACAAAATAAACATTAATCATTTTGTTTTGACAACTGTTGTTGCCTGTAGTTAACCTGTCACACAGTTTATGGGTAATTATCAGTTCTTTCATTCTTCATGGTTGAATGACTAATCTGACCTAGTTTCCCAACTGGCTCTAATTTTACTTTGGAAGGGAGGGGAGGGAAGGGGGAAATTTAGTTTCATACCAAATTTGTCAACTGACCCTGCTTAAGTCATTTCAACTTAAAAAGCTTTATTTGAGAATATTTTTTTGGAAGGGGGCTGCCTCTTGAGAGCCTGGGTAGGAAGTGCATAGTACTGAATAGCAATAAATTATTGATTTCTGTGACTTTTGGGTTGATGGCTAGGAAACAGAGCCTAATTCATCATCCCTTAATCTAATTTCCATAAAACATGCTGGGCTAAAGAAATCCAGCTTAAGACAAATCAAATATTCACTCTGTGGTTCACTGCGTGATTTTCTTTTGTATTGTAAATGCATTTTCTTTCCTTGATGAACTCTGTTGGATTACATTCCATTCAAGGATGTCTTAGATTAATTTATCATAGAAGAATATTTTTGGATTCTTTTGGATGAATTTTATACTGGTAAAAACAAGTTTCTTTAGTTGAAATAAAAGGCTAAGTACACTAATTTTAAGTACAGGATATAGTTGTTAAAGGCTTGCAGAGAATAAAACTCTCATCAAAGGGTTTGCAGTCCAGAGGTGTTCAGTGTCTGGTAGTCATTGCTTACAGGTCCTGACATAAATTATGAAACCCTGGTTAGAAAACAGGAATGCTGAGTATCTCTTACCTATGAATAATCTTAACAGAAATTTACCATTCAGGTGCACCAAGAGTTAATAAAAAAGGCATCCAGGTCCCACAGAGGAAGAACTTAGTTTTGTTGGTAAATAAAATTGTTGCCTAAAACCAAGCTAGCTTTACTCAATTTTGTGCTCAAGAAATGTTCTTAAAATTACCTATCAACTGTTTCACTCCTGTTGAATGTCTTCCTCCTCATCCTTGAGGTCTTGTTTTTCTTCATTATCCTTTTCTCCCTCATAAAATAACACAGGACCTCCTTCATAAATATCATGCAAAAATGTCCATGTCTCTTGTGATAACTGCCCATTTTCAGAGTCTATTAAGAAACATTTTGATGATGCAATGAGAATGTTGTTCTTTAAATACTAAAAGTATGAACCAAGTTCATGCACAGGTTTAGCTTGCAAATCTGTGGGGCACCCAACCAAGAAATCAAAATGTCTGAGGTTTGAATCTGCACCCATGACTGGAATATATTTTCCAACCTTGCAAAAGATGTTCAAAATACTTCTTTATCAAAGTAAAATTTTTTTAAGCATGATAGTAGCTTGTTGATACAAATCCTGCAAGAACTTACTTGGTTTGAGTACTTTTGTGTTTCCCTTTAAAACAAATATATTGCTGTTGTCTATAGGGCCTGGAGGATCTGAGACAAGAAAAATCATTAGTACTAGCTATCTTATAGTAGCAATACTTTTAGTCTCCTCATGCTAGTTAATTAAAACAGGTGCACTACGGCAATCTTTGAACCAAGCTGGTGTGACCACCCTCATCACACCTTTATCATAAGTGTCTGATGTTGAGACAAACAGTCAACTAAGGATAACAAAATCTATAATCTCTTGAACACCCTGAAAAGAAACTGCATTTGACAAAGATTGAGTTATGAGGTGATGAGGGTGACAATGTTAAATAGGTCATATGTACCATCTTCCTGTCCTTTTACAAACATTTCCCATAGTTTGAACCAACGCATACTGATGAAATACACATCCACATTTTCATTGGCTGGATACTCATGATTCAACTGAGGGGGAAAAAAAAAAACTTTTTAGAAGAAGTAATTAGTAATAAACTATGTAACTATAAAAGGGAGGCATATCACCATTAATGCATCTTCAAAAATGAACCTTTTCACTACCAGAACAGACCAAAGAGGAATTTCCCCTTACAGTATCAATCAGAAAGGTAAAGAGAAGCACATAAGCATTAACTGGGGATTAATGATTCACTGAATGCAAAAATTAAGAAAAGAGTGTAGCAGAAAATGCAAAGAGGTTACTGATTTGTTCATATCTTGGAAGTAAAAGGGCCACAACTACATTTCACTAGACTAAGTCTATTTTTTGCTATCCACTTCAATCTACTCCTTCATTGGCCATCCTTCTTCTTGTGCTATAGCTTCCAAGGAAATGTTCTACTTGTGGAATGGTTACTGTTATTCTTCTTGTTATAATGTTTTACTGATTGACGATCAGTATAATTATAAAAGAAAATACAAATGTGCAGCCTAGAATCTCAATACAAAGAAGTTATTGATGGGGGGTTGAGATAAAAGAAATATCAAACAAACCCTCTTGAACATTTCCATTTCTCTTTGTCTTCTTCTTTCAAGGTCATCTAAGGCTTTCTGGCAAAATAACATGAAAAGGGTTAGTTATATTTCTTTTTTTTTTTTTTTTTTTTATTTTTTTTTTTTAATTTATTTTTTTTTATTTTCACTTAAAGCACAAATACTAGAATAATACAAACAAATACAAAGTTAATTACACTAACGCTTACGCTACTCACTAACACTAATTACGAAATACTGCGTTACATTACATTCACAGTCGGCTAGATTTAATTTATGTTGTGGTTATATAATAATATAAACCTAATTTGTACAAATACTTCTGCATCAAATTCCTTTTTTGGTAGAACGACTGTATATACAACTGCGTCTATAACTGTTAATACCCGATACTCATCTATTGAGTTACAATAACATGTTTTCCCATTTTTTATAATGAATAGATTCTTTTTTATTCTTTTTTGCAATCAAAAATTAGTTAGTTATATTTCAGTACATTAACCTTTTATAGAGCAACATAAGAGTTAAAATTTTTTGTGTTGATTTTAAAGTAAATGTCTTGCTTAAACATTTTACATCGAGTAAACCAGGTCTCAAGATATCAATTCTCTGTACCATCCTAAGCTTACAAACTGTACCTTGCAGTGTCTGCAGATGTTTAGCTTTGTAGCTGGGGGACCTCCACCAAACCTACACCGAGGCAAAGAAAATTCCCAATTAAAAGGAGACTACCATGAAAGTGTTTTAGTGAACTATTTGGTACAAAAATGTTTCTTTAGTTAGTAAACTCACCGGTTAACAAGATGCTTCCACACAGATTCTGGAAGTGGAACTGTAATGTCATGAATTTTCTCAAAGTTCAGTGGATGAACAGCTAGGAAAAACAGAAAATATGGTTGACAAGAACCACACACAATGTATGGAGAGGAACACTTTCAACCCACATGGTCAAGTACTATACTAATCACATCTTATCCTGGATATGGACAAAGAGAACTTTGCTACTCCCCCCTTGACTGGATTTCTGTCCATGTTACAACAATTTGGTACACTTCCAAGACAGTGTGTTGGTACTCATTCATACTCCTGGGTGAAAAGAGGCACTGTGACAGTGGAATGGACTGCCCAAGAACACAACATTATGATCCAGGACAGGACTGAACCCTGACTTCTTGACTCTGGTGTGCATAGCACTAGGCTACCATGCTCTACAAAACTATCCTTACTTCTACACTTTGCCATTGACTTTTTAACTACCATGAGTGACCAAGACAGAATTTCTCATTACAATGTCACCCAGATAAGTGACAAGAATAAAGGAAAAAATATAAATTAGGGTATAATTAGTTGATCCAATACTAAATTCTCTGAGCTAACATTATAAGAATTGTATGCTTGACAGTAAGGAGAATTACAAATTTGATCAGGGAGTTAAAGGGTTAATATGGTAAACCTGACTTTGCATGAAGCAATTCTTACCTCCATGGCGACACAAATAATCAGAGTTTGTGATTGGACCTGCAAAAGTAGGGTCCATAAAAATTTGTATATACATGTACAGTTAGAACATTGTAAGGTGATGAAGTTTGTCCTTAATGACAGCCCTAAAAGTATCTTTGACAATTAAAAAAACCAGTTAAAATTTCCTTTCAAGCAATGCCTGTTCACTGAAGAAGTTTCATCTGATTATCTGTCAATTCTGTTGGGTTAAGAGGGCTCATGTGTGTAAAGGGTAATCTTCATACAAAGAATAAAGTGCAGTTTTAGTAAGTACAGGGTCAGAAACAATTTTCACATTTAACATACATGTATCAATGATCTCATGCTCAATTACCTGGCTCCATACAAGACTGAAACTTTGTCAACCATTTCTTTGAAACAAAATACCTGGATTCATGGGTCTACGGAGTAAATAAAATAATAATAATAAAAAAACATGACAAATGAAAAGCTACTCTTTAGTAAAAGCTTCCAAACATTTCACTTAGTTATCTCCTTGTTGCAAAAGATTGGCTATGTAAAAAAAAAAGGAATGGTGATTAAAAAGAAGAAAGGATGGCTATAAGGTCCACAGCCCTGACAGACTGGGTGGCTTAGTGTCAGGGAATAAAAATCATTTCTTAAAAGAATACATGTATCATGTAATAAATTATGTCTTCTTGACACAATCAAAAGAAAAAAGAGCATGTTCCTTCACCAAAGATCAGAAAAATATTTGGATTAGCAAAACAGAAATAATGCTTATGAGTAAGTGTGCAGCTGCAATACCTGAGCATCTTTCAGTAAATTGAAGAAAGTCTGTCGTTCTCTGGTTGCTTCGTCACTTGATTTCCTGTTAACAAAATTTAAAATCAAACCGACATATAAATTTCTACTTTCACAAGTTGTGTTCCACACCAAGGGTGACTACATTTTAAGAAACCAGATACGTAATCATGAGTTTCCAAATAATTGCAATCATTGTGAAAAGGGGATATGCAGGAGTTAGTTAAGAGTGAGGCAAATCAGAAGTAAACTTTATTCCTAAGGGGCCAACACCCTTCTCTACCCTCCCTTTTTGCAGGATAGCCTGAGATATTCAACTAACCTGTAAAACAGCACATAGGCTTCCACATCAGCAACATATGAATCAGAAACTGAAATGAAAAAGTAAAGAAGTGTACTGTATTCAACTCTGTATTTCAACAAGACACAAAGCTAACAGCAAATTCATACAGCATTCTGTTTATATTATCAAATACAATGCTGGTGGGATTTACTTTCACCAACTCAGAATCATTAAACATGTGGTTTGAATCATTAGATCATACTGTATAACAAAGTTTATTTCTCTAATGCATGACTGACACATACCTTCACTGACCCAGGAGTCATTGAACTCGTACCATTTACCATTGATATAGTTTTTGGCAAAGGTAACATAATGTCCAGCTAGAAGAAGAAGAAAAATCATCCTTGTTAAAAAATTAATATAATTGTACCTACAATTAATCTAACAGGAGGAAAATGAAAATTTAAGTAAGGCCAGACTTACATGTACTAAAAGTAAATTTAGTTTCCTTTCTATACTTAACCCTTTAACTCCCAAAATCTCATTAGTAATTCTCCTTACTGTCTGCCATACAGTTCTCATGCTATTAGTTTGGAGAATTTGGTATTTGATCAACGAATAATCCCCTAATTGATATTTTTCTTTATTCTCATAACTTGTCTGCATAATATTGTATTGATATTTTAAGGAGAAATTCTGTCTTGGTTATTCATGGGAGTTAAAGGGTTAAGCCCCTAACCTCACCTACTGCCTACTACCTTAGATGCAAAAATGACTCACAAATGTGGCAATTAAAGTAAATTTCATAACATCAATTTACCTCCAACATTGCCATGATGTGTGATAATGGCAACAAGATCATAAGTGGTACACCTCTGGGTTGGATCCTGTTTATGAAAATCTGAAAGGGGAAAAAAGTTTTTGCTTTGTGATTTGATAAGAACTTTGTATGAACTGGAAAATGTCCATCACAACTGTTATTCAACTACAGCTTCTTCATGAGGTTTTTAACAATCATTCTGTTCTAACTAAACCATGGATGTGTGTCTTGGTGTCTGCCGATGTTTCTGCAAATTAACAACATTGAAGATTCCACTAAAACACATGAAACTTAAGTCAAGACTTCACATAAGTTGACATCATATTCTGTACCTTTAACCAAAAATGGTTTCATGTCCAATCCAGTCAATGGGAATGAAATAAAGTGATTTATTTTTGAAGAGAAGTACATTTCATGTTTAAAACGCTTCAGATGAATGCACAAAATCTACAAATTTAAGAAGATAAAACAAAGCAGTGAGCAAATTAATTCAAAACATCTACAGTATAGTAAATCATTTGATACAATTCAAAATTATGTTATTCTTTGGCATTAATAAGAAATGCTAGACTTACTTCAGGAAGGCGCATTACTTTACAAAGTTTGACACCATTTCTCAGCCTGAAATGTAAAATTAGCAGTGAGAGACTGAAGTTTGAGGTTTGGAGCAACCAAATTTACAATTATTGATAACTACAGACAGATTTTTCTGACCATGAACATTACTTATTTTCATTTCTTATGAAAGATTCCAGTTTATAAACCAGTTGAAAGAAATTAATTAGCTTCAGAACATATACTGAGTAATAATGATTGCTTTGAACATTGGTGTAAAAGTTGTCAGGCAGGTAGTTAAATAGTCTGTATGAGAGCAGTCCTAAGGATACTTGACAAAAGTAATGACTGACATTCAAACATTGGAGCCAAAGTCATTATTGGAGTCACTTGACTCTGATGATGACTTCTGCTTAGGCTGTTAAAACTCCAGTCATTGTTACCCACAAGTCCTTTCTACACTTCTCTCACTCAGACAATCAGATTACCTTAAATCTATTGCTACTACTTTACATAAAGCTGTGCAAACTGTAGGGATGAATTGACATGTAAACTTTCTAAAATTATGCCATGTTAAACAAAATAATGTTATGCGGGAAGAGTTTTATACTGTACAGTTGTAATAAGATTAAGGAAAATCATTCTTTGAAGCAAACATACTTTTTGCACTTTTCACAGCTGTACATGTTATCTCCTGTAAAAAAAAAAACAGTGGTGAGCAATGAGATGGGATAAATTACCATATTAACTGAATTTTTTCTCTGAAAGGGAGCTCCCTTAAACTTTGGAATAGGAGATTATTTATTGTAAGGGTACAAAATACATTAAAAAGAAGACCACACAGACTTTTGAAATGCAAAATTTTGAGTAAGACATTTGAGCAAAATTTCAGAACACCAAGTTTGCAATGGTGCTACCTAGAGCTACTGTGAAGAATTTCAAATCAATGCAGAAGATGTTATTATATATGCGATTATGAAAACCCTCTTGTACATCAAACACATCTGGTTAATAACTGAGATAGGATGCAGTAAGATTTTGGAAATTTGTGAACAAAACTGACAACAAACTGACATAATAAAGATGAGAACTTTATTATTGGGTCCAAATCGCCAGCATACAATGTACACTAAATGTAACCATAATTAATTATCTAGCAATTAATGAGAATATGAGGCATGTGTCCATGTGTAGACAAACCTTTTAATTCGTCTGCTGAAAAAAATGCTGACAAGCAGTCTGAAAGTGTGACTTGTGGACCTAAAAACCAGCTACAGATAACAAACAGCACAAATTTGTCAGATAATAACTTACTAGGAGTGAGTCACTACTGGCACAGTTAGTAGTAAACATTTAACAGAGGCGAAACAATTTTATAACCCGGTAAACTTTGAATTTTCAATGTTCCTTGGTCCTGGTAATTAAACATCGGGGTTACATGACGAAGAAAAATGGTTATTAATCTACTGGGGAAATATTTAGGGAAATTGGCTGTCAGTACATCAGTCAGTCAGTCAGTCAGTCAGTCAGTCAGTCAGACAATTTATTTGTCAGACAGTCCTTGATACATGGTGTAGCATACAATTAGGAGGTGATGGCCAATTCTACAATTCTCTCTACTGCACCTTCTCAGCCATTCAAGTAATGTTGACATCCAGCTTTTATCCTGATCTCTGTCTATAACAGATGAGCATGATGCTAAAGGTGTGCATTGTGAAGCATGAAGAACTGTCAGCTCATCTTTGCCTGTGAAAAAATAAGTGTTTCTTAGACTTAGAACAACCTTGTACATGCACATCTGCATGTTACAACATGAATACTTATTAATTAATTGTTGTGTGATTTAAAAACAAAAAGAAGGGAACTTAAAATATTTCTTCTTGTGGATATGATAGGGAAAATGTTTTGTTACCTGGAATTGGTAGTGAAACATCTTGAAATGTTTCTGCCCTTGATGAAACCTATAAATATAAGATTACTCAGTGAGCTTTGTCTCAATCATTTCTCCTCCTTCTCATCTGCCAAAAAGCCACTGCAAGACCTCCCCCCTCCTCCTTGCCCAGTGAAGTTCTGCCCATGCAAACTTACAGAATAGAAAATGGCAAGTTGCCTTCCTAAGTGATCAAAAATTGATTCCCAACCTTGTCTAATAAAAACATTTTGCAGCAATGTAGACATAAACACAGAATTTGTACAACACATAAAAAAGTGTGCTCCTCGATAGAACACGGACATCATAATACAAGTAATGCTCTAATATCAATACACATTTTTAATCAAGTTACTGTAAAATATTAGAGAAATGCACTTTAGTACCCTGTGACAGGTAAGGCACTGCACTGAACTCTGTATTGTGCCATCAAATAGGTCAGTCACTATACTGCTGTAGTTCAAAGGTACTTTCTTCTTTTTCTTCCCTATGATAAAAAAAGAGTTTGATAAGTCTATAGAATTTTACTTCAAATATTCCATTAGTATTAAGATTTAAAAATTAAAAGAAGACATATCTTAGGCCTTAAGAGATTAACAATGCATCTTATAGAACTATTTCTCTAAGCATAGAAGGGGTACGTTTCTCAGAAACTGTGATGCTGCATCAGTGGGTGACAAGATAGTTTGTATCTTAATCTTTAGAAACTCACACTAACATTATACCTCCACAAAGGTTGAATAAAAAGCCATTTCTAGGGGCTAGTAATTACATAGTGCAAAGTCACTCCAAGTACAGGAGCTAACATCTCAGTATCGTGAGCTGTATTACATTTAATGAACACATATGCTATGAACTTGCCAAACCAGACCAGACCAGACCAGATCAAGGGGACACTGCACATATTGAATATCTTACTTCTTTCAGCTATTTGCTCCCTTTTGGCTCTTTCCTGATGAGATGGCTGCTTCATATGCTCCTTTGTGCCTGAATCTACAGGCTTTTCTTCTTTGATTAATGCAACATCCTCACTGTCCATGTTTTCATCAACTTGATCAGGATGCTCTGTTTCACCATTACTCATTGTTTCACCCTCGACAGACACGGTCACATCATTATCATCCACAGGATCTGTGTTAGTCTTCCTGCGCTTGGATTTGGAGGCCCCATTAGACTCCATATCCTGGTCAGCCTGCTCTTCTGCTGTGTCAACATGAAGTGGTTTGTCATTCATGACATCATCACCACTGTCTGAATACATGTCTACATCACCATCATCTATAAGAAATAGCACTATACCCTTAGTTTGAGCTCAGAAAAGAAAATTAATCCTTCCCCCCCAAATTCTCATTAGCAATTCTCCTTAATATCTTCCATAAAATTCTCATCATGTTAGTTCTGAGAATTTGGTATTGGATCAACCAATAATTCCCTAATTGAGTTTTTTCCTAAATCCTCAATAAGTGTCTGTTGACTTTTTATTGATATTGTTAGGAGAAATTCTGTCTGGGTCACTAAAGGGAGTTAAATGATTAAGAGAAGATAGTGCTGCCAATGAAGACAGATTAAGAGATTATACAAGTTTGTTGTAATGAAATATTTGTCCAAATTTTCTGTGTTTCTTGCTTACAGTCTATTTTTATCTTTTATAACACTCTTAAACTCTCTCAGTCTATCATTTTTTTGTTTTTCTGTCTCCACAGACAGATACTGTACAATCATATTTGCAAATCTCTTCCACAAATGAACATGACCCTTTGATTGCAGTGACTGACTAGCATCTAATCCTCCTCGAAATATCACCCCTGCCTCACACATTAAGGTCACAAGAAAAATGGAAATCATCACCAACCAAAGAAGCTCTTGATTGTTATACAAAGTCTCTTTGGTTAGCACCTCAGGAAACGTATAGTGAACAGTTAATAGAATAAGCATACTGATGTTATGTGTAAAAGGTTAAGCATCATGTACCATCTTGCAGGTTTTCAGTGTGAGACAGGCTTGTTCCCCCTAGCAATCTTTTGTTCTGATGGTTTGGTTCTTCATCATCACTTTCTGAGGAATCTGGGTCAGTTGTCAGTGACAGCAAAGGCTGCCTCATCTCCTCATGCAACTGATCCATTATGCAGCGTAGGAATTCCTGAGCATCCTAAGATAAACAAACAAAAGATCTTGGTCTCACCCATAAAAAAAATTAACAACTCTGAGTACTTGTGGTTGATACAACTATGGTATAATCCTTCCAGTAACAACTGTAGGAGACAAAGGTAAGTTAAAAGTTCCTAGGAAGTTTTTTTATCAGTCTTTGATCCTCAAAAGAATCAAGGATCAAAACTTACAAGTGCATCCAGTATTGAAACATTACAGATTTGTTGGAGAATTTTCAAGGCTATACATAAAATTTTGAGTACAGTTCTGAGACTTTGAACAGCAAGAAAAATTAAAGGAACTATAAAAGTAATTAATTTTTTAAAAACACAGATCTCACCTGTTGCCCATAACCTCTGAACTGTGAGTTGATCAGCCGAACACTACGAAGCAGCTGGGATGGCACAACATATCTTGGTCTAGATAAAGTAAAATGTTTGTTGCAGAGAGCAGTCATAAAACAAACACAAAAAGACCTATACATTAATCTTCAATTTCAGCAATTATCACCAACTTCATCTACTTGATGAGTGAGCTAAAAATTAAACAAAATATCAGCATTTCACTTCCTACAATATTCTGAATTTATATGAACTAAATAATAATACCTTTTCCTAGACCATAATTCATCAACTAGAAGTGAATAATGTTTGCAGACAGAAGAGTTCTTTGTTTCTTTCGCAAAGCTGCCACATTCCAAGAAGTATTGAGTTAGGGGTGGACTGCAAAAAAAAAAGAAAATCCTCATCTTCAAATAGTAAATACAAAATGAAAAAAAAGTGCATTAGTTTTGATAAATGTGACCAGAACCTAGTATACATGAGAACACACACCTAAGGGAAAAGCCTCTAAACAATTATTAAGCCTTCATAACAGAATGGAGAGCATGTTTTTAAATATTTTTTCCATAAATAACAACAAAGTCACACCTCTTAAGAGCACACAACCTCAGGAACAATTTGAAGAGAGAGTCTTTGATAAAAAGTGTAAGGAAAAGCCTCCTTTGGGTCAAATTGACCCAAATTGTTTAATATCTCATTTTGAAAGATTGTGTGAGTTAAGTTATAATAGAAAATCAAGTTGCTCATAAAATTCTTATTCATGACTGTGTCTAATCATCTGCAGAGGCCCTAAACTATAAAAATTATCCTGATGAAAACAGATAAAACTTAACCCTTTAAACTCTAAGAGTGACCAGCATCTAATTTCTCCATACAGTAACACTGCTAAACCATTCATTAAGATCATGAGAAAATAGAAAATGATCACCAACTTAAGCAGCTTTGATTTTCAAATAAATTCTCCTTGTCAATGGCAAAAATAACGTATGGAGGAGAGTATGGAGAATATGGATACTGATGTTAGGGTGTAAAGGATTAATTAAACTACATCATACACAACTTCATAAGAACACAACCATACCAGTTTGATAGAGCTTGAAGAGCCGCATTCATGTAACAAGTGTTTCCAAGGTTTGACAAGCCACATAACCCTGATAAAGCAGAATAATTAACAATTTGTTTAATCAAAGAATTTATCTAAGGCATAAGTACGGATGTACATAGCCTATGCAGACAAAGGTGTACATGTTTCTTTAAATCGACAGCAGAGTAGCATCCTCCATAAGAAATTGAGGGAAAACATTTTCTAGGCCAATTTTTCAATCTCCCCTGACATTATACCAGAACATCACATTCACTGTACATGAAGATGTGTTATTTATTTTATCCTACAGCTATAACTGTGACAAAAAAATTCCAAAAGAATAGTTTATTTCTTTCCCCTGGCTTATTCACAATAAAACTAGTTTGAATGAATTAAGTTGAATGTAACTTCACTGTTAAAAGCTCATATACTTTTTTTTACAAAAGGATATACTGTAACAACTTTTAGTACAAGCTGTTAATGACTCAAATGAGTCAGTGTCTTTAGACAGGTGTTTTTTGATTTGCACTCAAATAAAATATTAATAGTCTTCTCACCTCTTGGCTTTAAACCTTTCTCCAATTCTAGAGCATCTTCCATATCCAAAACCTCATGAGTCTAAAGCAAATAAAAGAAAAAAGCATTTTGGAACCCATAACAAATGGAATATGTTTTCAAAGAGTAAACTGCTGCCCTTATCTAGTGGAGGGTGTGTGCATCAGGTTTGCAACTTGTGCCATCTTCCAGACCAATAATCATGACTTGATCAATCCTTTATTCCCACTTGGCCAATTTTTTCAGTTTTATTTTGAATGTTCACCGCAATAAATTTCTCTCTACTACATGGTCATTCTCAGTGACAACTTTGATTTGATTTGACAGTCAATCAAAAAGTGTACTATATGATAAAAACAAAAAACCAACCTGCAGTTTCAAGAGTTAGAGCGTTAGCCCCTCATCAGAGAGATTGACAAAGGGCTAATGCTCGAAACATCAGCTTTTTAACTCTGTACCATAGCCAATTTATGTTATCAACTCAGTTAATAATAACAAATTACCCTGTTATACTCTCCCACCAATGCAACACCAGCAAGGCTATTACCCCCTTTATTCATATTTACAATACCTTTGGTCTTGAAGGACTAGCTCCATCGGTACTACCTGCAGAGCTATCAGATGGCTGCACTTCAGCCTGGCAGCTAAAACACCACATTTTAAAATCTTGAAGTTGTAAGCACAAGTGGTGATTGGTTTCCTGTAAATCACAAAAGATTGTCATTAAATATTAAGTAGTATCCTGGAAATGAAAAGCATGGCCTTGGGGCGTGTGATAGGCTGCTGGTGATCTTGTTGGAATCCATCAGAGAATCTAACAGCTGGTTTCACCATTTAAGCCCCTAGAGAGACCAATGCTTAATTTCTCCCTTCTGTGTCAGCATATTATCAAACAAATACCTAGAGGTTCAAGGAACTAGTCACTAAAGAGAATTTGTGTTGATCTTGAGCAAATTCTTGCTGTTGCAGTTGTTAGTGATGAGGATAATCATGTTAAAGGTGGGTCCTAAGGAGTTATATGAAATCTGCAACACCATAGGGCATTGTGGGAGGCTGTAGCCTTGCTGCTCTCAATCATTCATATATCAACAAAAGCCTCTATTTGGCACAAAAATATGTACAGATATTAAATATCTGTGCATATTTTTGTGGACAAATTTTGTCCGCATACATCATTTGTTCAAAGATGCAAACTGTGAGCTTCAAGGAACAGATAATATCCACTGAAGGACAAATATATGAGCATATTTTCCCACAAAATAGAGGCTATTGTGTTTATCATCCTTCAAATATTTTGCAACACACATTTGAAAATATTTACAAACAGCTCACTGTTTGCTTCGTGGGATGTTTTCTCGCTTCTTCTGTAACAACCGTGAAATGTTCTCTCTTTTTTAATTAAATTTTGAATGAAGACTTATAGCAGATGTAAGGTTTGAAAATCAGGGATCACAAATATTTGATGGATCATAAAGACCACTATCCTAAAGTGATCAGAATGAGTATTAACTGAAGTCACACATTTCTGTGAACTATTTCATCAAAATGCAGCACAACCCACAGCCATATTTGATCCACAACAGGAAGTAAAATGCCCATAGGAGGTTAGGTTGTTAAAGCATTTACATAGCCAATAAGGGAAGGGACTTTCATGTCAAAAGTATGATAAACAACCTCCATCCAGAATATAAAAGATGTGAGGTATTTCTCTTATTTTTTAAGCTAAGAGCTTTCAAAGCTCACTTTACCTGATTGTGAAGCTCAATGTGATTGCTACCAAATCGCCCACACCCTACAAAGGAACAACACTTCTGAAAGGAAAGAATAGTATGACACTAGTTAATAAATAACTAGGTACACATATTGTGATGCTAAGTACATAGATGGAGAAATTACAAATTTTTAGCGCTCTAGTTCTTCTGATTAATTCAAACTTTGAAAGCCCTTATTCCTAAAATTATAATTACCAGAACTTCTACAAACACTACCTAGTCTCTCAATGTTAATCAATCTTCTTAGTGAAATAATTTATAAAAAGGGCCAGTTCAACTGAGACCCTAATAAACGTATAAATAATATTGTTTGAAAGATTATTAACAAACCTGCAAGCAGACCCACAAATCTGATCCTGACTTTTCACAATTATCACAACTCCCCTGAGCAAACAGAAATACAGTAATATTAAAAAAAAAGAGTACATGACAGGCAGAGGTGTCAATAGACACAAGGGAATATGTTATTCAAGTGATGTGGTCCAAAACTTTAACTCACTAACTGGCACATGTAACTGAATGAATTGACCCTTTCACTCCCAGAGGTGACCAATGGAATTTTTCCACACAATACCACTACATTTCTCAGCAGAAAGGTGATGTGAAGAAACAAGAATGTTACAAGGGGGAATATTTTTATTTAAAACCAAACCAGTTGGAGTGCACATTCTAAGGAAAGTTCAGTGAACAATTGGTTCTTAGAACTTGGACATGAAAGGGTTAACTGACAGCTAATTGGCCAACCAACTGATAATATGACTAACTCACTCACTACACATCAAATGACTGACTAACCAATTATTTACCAATCATACCAGATCATTGCTTACAAATAAAAAAAATTGAAAAGCTTGTGTTACCCAGCCACATGTAGTTTTAAGTCCACATCCAATGGCTGACTTACTGATGATCTAAACTGCTTCTGATACACAGCAAATGGTACAGCTGCTTTAAAAAGTGTCTTTAAGATGTTTTAAACACCACAACTAGACACAATTTTGACAAAATATGTTTACATACATGTAGAGTCTATATAGAGAGATTCCATTCTAGTTTCTTGTGAACAGCTGCTTATAAAGATATGTTCAAGAGATCCAAACACAAAGTATAAATACACTGCTCATTGCATATAACAATTCAGCATCAGGATATGTCCCCTTTTGGAAAAAATTGTTGCTAAGTCATGTCATATATTTGTTAAAAACTTTAACAGACCAATTCACAAAATAAACTTAATAAATTGTATTTGAAATTTGTTACTAAGTTTTCCACTCTAAGCTAACCATGTCATCATTGTCATGATTATAACTGAAATTTATGAAACCAAAAATAAATTATCTCACAAAACACAGAACAAATATTTGTTGAAAACGTTTCCTCAAAATTTCAATATCCTCTAAATCCTTTCCTTTAGTTGTCTTAACTTTTTTATGAAACTTCCTGTATGCAAATTCTAAGTGACTCTTGCAGTGTGTAATAGATTTCAAAATGAAAAAATTACTTCACATTCAACTTAGCAGATATAATATCTACCTTATGTTAAGGGAGAATTTCCTAATAGACAAATTTTCTCTCCTCAAAATGAGTATAAAAGTATATCAAATTTGAGCACAAACTTCTTTTGCCCACATGTGTAAGTAATGTAAACAACTATTACACACAAGCAGTGAAAAAAAGCCTCTGTAACTGAATGTTATGAAAATAGCTTTGCCTTCTTCTTAAAAAACTGCATCACCTTCCATTAAATCAATTAATCCATTGTATTTTTAAGCTACTTTGTGCTCGTAGACTGCAAACATCTCCATGATTTGTTTTTCCAAAAAAATTATTGATGCAAAATACTCTTCATACATTGTTAACAAAGCTTTAACTGTTCTCTACCAGATGGGCCTTAACAAATAGCAAAGAAACATTCTATTTCAAATTTGCATTCTCTACAAACATTGTTAACAAAGCTTTTACCATTCTCTACCAGATGGGCCTTAACAAACAGCAAAGAAAAATTCTAATTCATACTTGCATTGTACTATTAAGTAAGTTACTCGTTGATTCTTTGATTTTCATTTTGTTGCTGATTCAAAATGATGAAGAGTTCCCCATAACGCTTAAACTGTGTATGACATTAGCCTTGAATAATGTATCTGCACAGCAGATAATTCCTTGTAAACAGCTTAAGAGTAAGTAGCCATCCAAACAGCTGCATTCATCCCAACAAAAAATAAGACCTATTCATCAAAATCCATGACATATTTCTTTGGACAGAGTAGAAAAACTCACCGTTTTTTTCAAATATTTACTTTAATAACAAATGACACGAGAAGTTCTTCATTTTATAATGGACTTCATATTTGCAAAATAACAGGAACACACATTTTATCAAAAATAGATTACTCGTAAACGGATTAACTTAAATCCACGCATAAGATATTTCTTTTGCAGTTTCTTAACAACTAAGTAAGAATCCGTTTCTAAAAAAAACTTTTGTTATTTACCCAGACGAAGCATAAATTACCACATCGATCCGTACTCTTAAGTGATAAACATCCATTCATAATAAGTATGAGAGCTTCCTTACCTCTTTCATTTTCCTTTTAATCGCTTCCACATTTACTTCATCGGTAGAGTTCAAATGAAGACAAGACGGCATCTTCTTGAAAGCTACAGCCACAAAATGTCTTCCAAAGAGGAAAGTTTGCAGAGCATGAATCGGCGCGTGAAGAATACGGGTCAAGAGAACAGGAAGTATGAACAACACTTTGCCTGTGTCGCGTTGAAAACTCTTCAACAAACCAAGCCTACCCCTCTTGGTTTCGATTTGCTGTCCCAAAAGTCTCAATGCCCCCAAAGAGCCAGCTTTTTCTATTTTTTCCTCACATATTGTCTTATTCAATCGAAACCGTCTCGCTTTGAGTACGTAGTGACAACAGAACCGAACAGAAATAGCTAGTTTCTTATGGATGTTCACGTCCTACATCAGAAGATCAGAATTTCTTAATGTCTTAAAAACTATTCAAATTAATGTACGACAGGACTCTAACGTTTACAGCTCACCCGACGACAAGTTTTGATCAGGAAGATCACTGACTCAGAGAGAAATTTGGTCCGCCATGTTTTTTTTCGACTGACTCATGGATCCCACAATACACTTCGGTATTTTGGTTTTTCTTGGCAATATACCCTGGGTCACCCACGCCCCCTCTCCCCGGGATAAAAAGATCACCAGCCCAGCTCTCTTTGGAGGGGAGCCTATTCTAAGCCCTCGGTTGGTGAAAACGAGTGAGAACGCGGGCACACACAAACCGGCATGGGTTGAACAAAGGAAAATGATTGAGTTTTTTTCCTTTGCAATTGTCATAACCCATTTGCCCCTAGGCCGCTCTCTTGTTCGTCTCCATAGTCTGGGAGATAGTAGATAATATTCTCTAGCTAATAATTAACATGAAGTCAATAAATCCTTCAAACCTCTCTTAAGGGTGATAAATCTTTTTTCAAAAGATATAAAAAAATCGATCTCCCTGATCAGCTGCCTCTATACTACGCTGTAGTCTTGTATCCAAATCCGCAGAAGTAATGGAGAAGGATGATTACCAACTCGCAAAAGTATTTGTCCTATCGGTTTATTTTGATGAATCTGTTTCTGATCTCGTTTCTTATTCATTAGCTCTGATGTTGTTTCTGTTATGTCCTTGGGCCTGTTTACGACATAAGAAGTTACGGTGAAGTAGTGTGTATCAAGGGATATGGAGGGTATCCCCTGAATTCAGACGGAACCGTCCGAAAAAAGACGGAATAATCGGAAATCGGACAGAAGAACCTGATATCAGACGAAACCATGTAACAAGGTCGAAACCGTCTGAAATTGGACAGAATCATCCGCAAGTTCACGGTACCATCGAGACATTTTATGGATTCATCCGGACGGAGCCCATTTCGTTTTAAGAAAATTAGAAAATCATTAGGAAACAAATTATAATTTTTTTCGCTTTACGTTGAAATACTCTACAATGAAATTTCGTCAATCATCATTTTCTTCGAGTGTCTTAAAGCACCTTTTATTGAAGCATTTGTCCATTATTATAATTTTTTCTCTATAAAAGTAATAAAAGTATTTCGCTTGAAGTGCATACTTACATATAAAAGAGCTTTTCCACGATAAACAAACTTTACATCTCAAATAATTTCACATAGAATATTTCCTTCACTATAAGTTGGTTAAAACTTTAAATACGTTCATATTATAGTTTTGAACTGTTTTGAAATATTTAACTCTGAATTTATTGGAATATAGCGACAAGAAGAGATGGTAGATTACTCCAAAAGTCTTCCTTAGGTAACTAATATAAATAAAAGCAGAGTCAACTCATCATGAGTAAAACTCAGATGGGGAAGGATAGGATAAAAGAAGGAGGATTTTCGAATTTCTCAAGTTGTACCAATACGTAATTTTGTTTCAATTTTCTACGAGGGGAGTATTTTTCGCAAGGTCTTTAGCAAGCAATTTTCATCCAGAGGACAACGTTTAGAAGAGAATCCAATGATTTTCTCTGTCTAACTATGTTACTTTATATGGAGGTTTCCACGCAATTTTCCCCTTACATCAATCGTTTTGGGTTTCGTTTAGCATCCTTGACTAACTTAATTAAAATTCCTAGTGGTCCCACCACACCCCCACCACTACCACTGACAGTACAGTTAGCGTTTCCAGAAATGTCTTTTTACTCTTCTTGTGGCTGACATTCGTCTTGTGTTACGTCTGAGTTGTCGTCTTTTTCGATAGTTTCCTTTTCTTCCCAGCGAGGTACAACTTCTACCTCCACCCGATCGTCTTTCTCCTCAAATTCTTTCCGCGGTACTTTGTTCCAGTAATTTCGTCGTCTCCCCTGATGTTTTCGGTCAAGAAGACGTTTCTGTCTCGCCAGCTCCGGGAAATAGTCTACCACAAAAGAAAAAAAAAACAAAACACACACACACATCAGGGATCATTTTAGTGAAATATTACCCTATGCCATCGTTTCTTATGTACACGAAGTGGAATGAGCACTTTGAAGGTGCTCGTTTCTTTTATCCTTGTGTCATGTAGCCATGTTACCTTTAAATTGTTTTTGCGCTATCATATTTTCATAATCGTCGTAACTTAATCATAGCAACTTTGTACCACGTGATGGTGTTATGGACGTTATTATTGTATCGTTTTGCCTTCTTACCAGTATCATCATGTCTCAGAACACTATCGTGTTATCTCATGACCATTTTATCACGTTATCATATAAATTATTAAAAACTGGATTATTGGATAATGCAATTCAAGAGTTTTCGTTGGCTTAGCCATCAAGGGTTAGGAGTCAAACCTGATTTATATTTGGGGCGTTTTTAACAAAACAATTGTTCCGCTCGCACTTGTTGGACATGAGGTAATAATAGCCAACTCAGCCCTACAGGCCTCATTGGCTATCTATCATCTCATATCCAAAGCGCGCTTGTGGAATAATTGTTTATTATAATGTGAACAGGTCATCTTCATTTTACTACGTTACCATGCTAATTTTCTACAATGCCATCGCCATCATGTTATTATGCTACAATGTTACCATTTCATCAAGTAACAATTTTTATCATGTTATCAAATGACGATATTCATTAAAAGTACTCACGAGATGTCAAAGCATCTTTTGCTGCCGCCATTTCTGCTTGTTGAATACTAAAGGGAGATGAAGAGAACACGTGTCAGAGTTTACCAAAAATTCGGTAAAATATATGTGAGATTTGAAAAAGAGCTTATGTGTTGGACTGAAAATTAAGATAAGTTCAACATTCAAGACGTGTAATGATGATTCGTCTCTCAGAAGGAGGAAATTAAATGATGGAACATCCGAAATGGAACACTTCTCTAAGTTGGGGCAAATAAACAATTAAACAAGGGTAAACAAATTCTAAAAAAGGAACGAGACAAGGTTGAAGAGATTTATAGATGTACAGCATAATCGTGTCGGTAACTTAAGCAGATCCGGTTACATTCAGAGTGAAAAAAAGAAAATTCTCTCTAAGCTGTTGATATGTTTTGAAAAAGAAGCGAGAAGTGAAGAATTTACCAAAAGATGTTTCTCAACTGAAAATCCCACGAAACCACTGGAAGACCTATAACACTACTTGTCAACGAAAGCTGTACAGATTGGCTGGAAACAGTTAAATTATACTACGAATACCTCTTGCCTTCGCCAGACCCCATTCTTCTTCCTTTGTAGTAAACAGCAACTGAGGAAGAAGACAAAAAAAAATTCCGCTTTTTTAAAGAAAGGTATGCTGTTTGCAAAATTAACACTAGCAATTTTCGATTAACCAGCAATTAATCACATTATAAGACCTGTTTGATCAATCATCAATAAAGAAAACCTTCTGGTCTACAATCTATTTGAGAAACAATGAGGCGCCACAACGCCGTTGTTTTCATCTACATTATACTGATTCTATTCCATAAGAATTAAGTGCGAATCACTCACTAAACATTACGAATAGATCAGAAATTCCTAAAACAATATAGCCTTCCGAATTTTCTCGTTCTAGAGGGGTGGAAAATGGGTAATAGCTCTTTCCATAAATCGATAAGCTGACACGTTAGATTTTTCATTCCACGATCAACGCCCAAAATTTTAGTTTTTTTCCCATACAAAGGGGTTTGTTTGAGGTGGTTTTACTGTTAAAAGGTGATTTGTAATTTAGGCTATTCTATTTTTGACCTACCTAAATGATATCATGGCTACGCGGTTGATGCGAATCCTTGTGTTTGTTAGAGTTTGCTGGATTTGATTTCAGTTCAAACTTACCTGTATAACGTTTATGATGAGCAGGACCCTTGTTCTGTAGAACTCTTCAAGGAGAAAAGGAAAAATATCAATAATCAAAACATGTTTCAAATTACAAATCTCATTTCCTCGGCTGAAAAACTCAAGCTTAATAAAACTCTGTAAGATTACTCTTCCAGCTCTCGGTTAGTTGAGACAAAACAGGCTTACAAAAGAGGTGGTTGTCTGATCTTCTTAGCATCCTACTACTTTCATTGACACTATCAATAATTTTCCGCTTGCATCCATCGACTGAAATAATGGTAGAGCCTAAGAATGCTCATTCAGCGGTGGTCATGGTTTTAATACTAGGTCACCGATTTCGAGAAAGGTCTACCCAAGGAGCCCAAAGAAACGGTGCGACTGTTCTCATATTTAGAGATAGAATTTTATGGAAAAGCTTTGTGTTATTGTACTAAATTGCGGCGAAAATTCTCATTCAACATAAAAATAAACCTACCGAGTATGTTGCATATCGTCGGGTTTTTTTGGTTTAAGAGGGCAAATTTTTAGTGGTTCAGTACTCGACACTCATCAGAGAGTATAGAGGAACCCTTCATAACTTCCGTTAAGGAAAAGTCAGTATACAACATACTTGTGGATTCTATCAAAGAAAATCCTCCATGGGAATGTTTCACTCACTTGTATTGTGGAAGATCAGGTGTTTTTCCTAGCTCGCGAGAAGTCAGACAACACTGCTGCAACTGTGATTTGGCATCCATCCAGTCTTGATTAATGATAGACTCCTAGAGGAACAACAGAATGGATTGGCTGCACAGTTACATTTTGCGAATAAAATACGAGAAACAAAGCGTAAGAACAAGGTTCCATGTTTTTTCTTTAGAACCCTAAATTAAGTTGATTTCTTTAAGCCACACTATAAAGCCACTATATAGCCGCGGTGAACTACAAATCCAACGATGATAAAAGGTTCTGTAGCAAGACACCAAAGGTGGGTTAAAAAAGGGCACTCGAGCCAAGTAGACCACAAGGCGCCGCAGGTTACTCCGGTCTTTGTAGCACGAGGTGACAAGTAACATGACGTTAGGTACTTTCATTTAGCCATTCGTGGATGTCACCAATAGTTGGTTGACACGTTTTTCATCCCTAGAACGAGGCTGTTTACAACTGCCAAGCAGACCAGAGATAAATATCACAAGGAGCCAACCGAAAGTGGAGTAAAATAGGCAATCTACCTCAAATACGGGTTGGTTTAGTTTTGGATTTGATTGGTTGTGAGAGTGTCGCGAGTTTTTCTGGACTAATCACAGAGCAAAGTCGTGTAAAAACCAATGCACTCCCGCGTCAAATTCAATAGCCAATCAGAATCTGCAATAATTTTAACAACTACACCGCTTATTCTAATCCTCAGGAAATCATCAAATACCAGAAAGCGCTATTGATCTCATTTTCAGGGAAGATGTCGTAGGAAAACCTGAGCCAAAATGGCTCTCGAGCAAAACAAGACTGGAAAGTTTGTTTACCTCGAGCCGTGGGAAGAGACAGACATAGCAAAACGTTTCCACGTATCTTAAACCTTTATCCACGTACAGGGCAGCAACAAAAGCTATAAAAAAAAATTTAAAAAAAACAAGAAAGTAGTGTAAGAAAAGACTGGAACAATACCTTGTTGAATAAATCTGAAAATAATTTACCTTCCAGTATATCTGCAAGAAGCTTCTCCCGAAAAGACTTCATTCCCTGGTGTTTGAAACACAGTAATAGGACATTAAACAAGACGAGAAACATCCTCGGTTGGAATGTTTTTACAGCAAGGACAGGTGAAACAAAAACGGATCACCTTAACAGGTAATTTCATGCTCGGAGCTGAAAAGGGAAATTTTAGCAACTTTGAGTCTAAACGCTCAAAGATACCTCAACTTAAAATCAAAGCCGTAACACAATTATTTTCATGTATAACATAAACATGAGATCCTTGCACATTAAGAGAGTCTTGAGGAGCAACACATGACCATCATTTTGCTAATTCACTGAAGTGAACAAAGTGTGCCACTAATGGAATAAGGAAACACTGTTAAGTCTTATAGACACCTGGTTTCCAAAGTTTATCAGCTTGTCCAGTCCCAGCTCACGCGCGATCGCTGCTTGTATTCGATGATTGACGAGAGAGCTGCGCAGCAACTGAAAAGAAAGAAAGAAATAGCAAATTTTCAACGAAAAAAATAAACTGGAGAGCAGTTAGGTCAAGTTTAACTTGAGATTTTTGACCTTGATGGTATGATCAGAAACATTTTCTCGTGATTTTGCGGATCGACACCTTCGCATGTTCAGTTGTAACGTTTTGGTAAAGAGTAGTCCCTAAGTGCCTCTTCTGTTCAAGCCCTACCGTTAGATGTCCCTCGTGGTGTTCAGGGAAGTGCTTGAAGAGATACACAGACACGACGAACTGCAAAACAGAGTCACCCAAGAATTCCATACGCTGGTTGCTGCCACTGAAAACAAACCATAAATGTGTTACAAAACGATTACAACACTGCCTAAAAACAACGGTGCAAGGTCTCCCAGAGCTGTCACGTTATCGAGTTCCTTTGCTATCAGTCTCAAAGGAAATTATTCTGAGGCAAACCTGGTTTGGGGGCGACGATAAGATCGATCCAGCACAAAGAGAAAGATTTATGATTATTCCGGGCGTAAAAATATTAGAATGATATTGGCGATGTAGATACAACTGAACTGCACGGGCAATTTACGCTACTCTAAGTAGATACAACTGAACTGAACAGGCAATTTACTCTACTCTAAGGTCATATAAACATAACAAGGTACCCTGTTTTTTTGCGTCTAGCTTTGTTTAGCTTTCACTTATGCTAGGCGATTAAGGAACTCTTTCCATAAAAAGTCAGGACAAAGCTTATTTCGGGCGAAAAGCAGCGCGATGAAGATTTAAGAGTATGATCTCGGCAGGCTGATTTATGCTCAATTTAGGCTTCTCCTTGTAACGGCTGACTGCTCTGGTATCTGACATAGTTTGATACTACTCTGGTTTAAAGATTTAATGAATGTAACCGAGAAATTACAGTTCATAGACCCAACGTTTTGACACTCCTGTCTAGTGCCTTCATCAGGGGTGATCTGAACGCTGTAACAAGAGGTCTTTTTAAACGCTCACTAATTAGCTGTTTTTTTTTTCTGACGAGGTGTAAATAGGTGTCAGGAAGTAAGCCGCCATCATCACGATTTAAAGGAGCGTGCTCTGGTATCTCTTTGGATGCCACTTACAGTGTGAGATTATTGAAACCGACTTGTGGATGGGTAAAGGCACGCGCCAGCAACCGAATGTGGTTAAACTCAATTCCACTTGCTTTCTCAAACTCCTCCAGTTTCTGACAACAAAAAGAAAAACAAAGTCAACAACAAGAACCCCTTTTCATACAGCTATACTATGCTGCTGCAATTTCAACTGCAGCTGCTGAACACAATAGAGCCTGAAGGAACACTAAAAAACGAGCAGAAACATTTCAACCCTTAACCCAAAACAACCCAAACAAAAAAATAAATAAGCAAACAAAAAAAAAAAAATGGGTAAGTGTCTGCTCACAAAGTTTAATTTCGTTTCTATGGTCTCTCTTTTGCCCGCCCCTGGTGCAAGAGACTCTAGGAAGGACTCATAGCCAAGAAATAGCACAAAAGCTGTTACACTTCTACAAGGAAACGAAACAAGAACACTAAGAAGGAAATTTGTACTCGGCAAGTCAAAGTAACCGGCGCAGGCTACAATTGGCCAAGCTGCGCGAAATGAACCGCTGTTTTCTAAGTGTACACCTACGACATAAGATGTTTTAAAGCCTATTGTGAATACTTATATAAACATACAAAAAGCTTCTCAGTCAATTTTTACACTAAAAGTATAAGACAATATTCCTTATCCATGAAAAAAGTCACAAAATGGCAAAAAAAAGGAACGAGATGAACCTGAAGAATCGGGGATGACGCTATCAAGTGTCTATCACCGTCTGGTTGTTGAGCCTGTTTAGAAAACGATATTTGGGTTAGTCCCCTCATTCAATTCCAAGTTAACCTACTGAACACCTAGAACAAACTACGGTGATCAAGATATATATATATATATGCCTTACAACTCTATATTCCTTACTGAAAAGAATCCACTTTTACGCCGCTAGAAAAGATAATTTCCAGCACAAAACGGTAATTAAAAAAAAGGTACATTATAGTGACAGTGGTCATGTCGTTTATTCACCTGTAAAGGATGCTTAGGCAAGTTTGTCCAGACATCTCTGAGTTCCTAAAAATAAAACGTATCAACAATAGGGCAGTGAGAAGATTGAAGACACACACACAAAAATCGAAAAACCGCAAGAATAAAGCAAAGCGAACCTGTTCTTCAAAGGCCACGTTTGTGAACAGAACCTTAGTTGATGTTAAACCACTCTCCAAATACATAGCCCCTACGAAAACAACAGCACGTAAGAAAAATGTTCCATATATTCGATTTTCTTTTTCATTTTATTTACCATGACATATAGAATTGCAGCTGCCAAATATTTGCTCTACTGGTACACTCATAGGTACACCTGCTGTTGAGGAACTGTTGTATAACCCTTACACAACCAAGATTTCATTACCATTTTCCTTGCTATCTGCCGGACATTTCGGATCAATATCAGTATCTGGGCAACTGCCCACCTACCCCTCCCTTAACCCAACATTAACCCTTATTTATTATCAATTGACTGTTGTTGAGTTAGGGGAGGGGTAGGTGGGCAGTTGCCCAGATACTGATATTGATCCGATATTTCTATGTCAGCCTCTCTAATTCCTCAGAGCGAACCACTCAGGACGAGAACACAAGAGACTGGGAGTCGGCAGATGGCCTCCCATTGCTTCACCCCCTGAGTTTCAGTTGGTCCTTTTTTCAATCTCTCTCGCGATTCCTTTCAACATTTCAAATATCGAAAAACAAAACAAAAACAACAACAACAACAACAAAACAACCGGTAACAAAACAACAAGAAGAAAATAAGGGAACAAACGTCTCAGCACTTACCAAGGAGGGCTTCAAAGCAGTTTGCCATGGCATGATTGAGATCTTCTTCCACGCACAAATCAGGACTGAAAAATAAAATTACCAAATGAAAGTGAAATCCCAGTTAAAAGTAACTTTCTATTTCAGTAGCGTAGGTGACATACCCGTGCGAAAACTGCATGTAGTCGGACAAACCCAGTTTCTAGGGAATATAAAGATAAGACAAATGAATGTAGATCAGAAGAAAACATACGCTCAAAATAATGATTTTGAAAATACAAATTTCGTTAATGTAAAAAGACAAATTACCAATTCAGAAAATTTCTCATCGAATATCTCTCGGCAAGTTTAAGCTCAAGGTCGTGATAAACCTCCACCAACTTCGTTGCCTTTTCCATTACGTGCTATGATTTACACGTACCTTGGCGAGTTGTGCCAGATGTTTGTTTTGCACTAAAGCTGAGCGGTACATGGCTAAACCTCCTTCAGGCTTTGACGGAAACATAAAATATAGGTGAACACTAGAGAGGAGTAGAAAAGAAAAGAGTCAGAGAAGCTTCTTATGAGACAAAACTATCGCACAGATGAGAGGGCTATTTTGTACTAAATTGCTGTGATTTCCCAAATTTACCCACGTCAAATCCAAACCTGACTTCCATATGTTTAGACGTGTTTTGCCCAGAGATCTGAAATGAATACGTTCAGTGAAGGCTTTTTATTTTTTCCGGCAAATTTACCAGCATGCCCCGACTTGACGTACTCGACCCAGTTTTCCTGGTTTGCGTCTCCACATCTAACCACGGTGAGCTTCAGCACAGAAATACTCCGAGGAGAAATTCACAAAATTCACCAGAGGATAAAATGGGTTCTTTGAGGAACACAAGTCGAAATGTTTGTGTATTAATTTATCCGAGAGTAAGAGCTTTCCAGTAAATCTCACCTGCTAATCAACTCCAGAACAGCATCTCCAAGGAATTCAAGCCTCTCGTTATGTCGTATCCTGGAGAAAATGGGAAAGAGTACATACAATAAATACTGCTCAAGAGGCCAAAATGGCCCACCTTGTAATTACCTCATACAACGCTGATACCAGTCGCCTTCTAAGGCTTCAAGTATGTTCTCCTCAATTAATTAAATTACGCTAAAACTACGGCATATTAAAATTTCGCAAGTCACTCTGTCTGGTGTGTCGATCTATCTGCCTGACTTTCTGCACGGTCTGTCAGTCTGTTTCTTCGAGTGTGTCTGTCAGTCAGTTTGTCAGTTTGCCTGCTTGTCGGTTTATGTGCATAGTAAGTCTTTCCGTCCGTCTTTCAGTTTGTCTGTCTGTCAGTTTATCTGTCTGCACGGTCTGTCTATCAGTTAGTCTGTCTGCACGGTCTGTTTGTCTGTCTACACGGTCTGCCTGTCTCTGTCTGACTCCTAACTGACTCCACCTACTCTACCTGTCTAACCAATGCGTTATCTTGCCTCCAATTATTCTCCTTCTCGCTTTACTGAGGGATTTAGATTTATCAAGAGTGCCAGAATCATCAGCAAAACTAGAGAGAGTTTGGAAGCCAAGGTCAGAACTCTGTAATACCAGGATTACATTAGGAAGCTGAGAGCACATTAAACCATATTCCGTTCAGAAGGGTTTTTGGGGCAACGTGGTATTCAATTTAGGTGATTTAGTTTCTATAGAAACTGTTCTGTTGGGTCGACGTGCTTGTGAAAGCAATGATCAAAATATTGGACACCAACGTCATAAGCGTTCTCATCGCCACTTGGAATAATCAGGATAAGGGAAAATCTCTGATGTCTGTAAGCACCCTGTCCCACTCAAGTCCAGTTTTATAGCGTTCCACCACCACCTGGGTGGCCGAATGGTTAGTATGCTGAACAACAGATCCAGAGGCCTGGGTTCCATCACTGGCGGTCAATGTACTGTATGTTCTTTCCACTCAAGAGTGTCAGTTGGTATGGACCACTCGAATTACTTACGGACTTTCCTATTGATTTTCGTTGCTGTACTTCATTTTTAACAATAGGGCTTTCCATGGACATAATATTTTCTAGTTCTCCACTAGTTAAACCTGTATTAAATGACTGTCTGTCGCTTACAGGTGATACAAGAAAATAATAGTGCCTAAATTTAACATAACAGAGCTGTAGATGAGAATGGCGATAGGAACGTTAGTTGTTAGAATTATTTGAGGTGCTTACATAGACTGGTGTTCCTCCATCTTGCCGAGGTTAGACATGACACGTATCAGCTGGGTAATACCTTAACAAAACAGACAATTTTAAACTGAGTAACAACTAAAGTACTATCATGTAGACGAATAAGAATTTGCCAAAAAAAAAGAAACTGAAACAAAACCCCAGTTCTTAAAAAACTATCTCCAAATCCAAGGCCAGAAAATATTGTTCTAATTGGCCATTGCAATTACAGTGGTTTTGGTTTAACGACGCTCAGTCGAAAAGCGCTATATAGACTCAAGGTATCTTATATCCTGTGAGTAAATGTGACGTGTCTCTAACGAGTTAATTGAAGGTTTTTTAGAGGATGAATGGATAGTCAAGGCATATCCAAGGGTCCGTCACTCGAAAGTCCCGGTACAAATCAGTTCTAAAGAGCTGATTTTGTTGATCATGTATAGCATTTAAATTCAAACGATAAAGATAAAGAACGTATTCGTTGTTAATTTTTTTTAGTTAAGACTCGCTCTACTATTCCTTAGATTGAGATATCAAAACATGGCCTCAGGCCCGTTAAGGTATTAGCACCTTAGAGAAATGGGCCTTTGGTGGAAGAAAAAATATCGCGAAACAGGATTTGTTCCGGAATCTCCTAAAATGGGAGGGATCTAAAAATAACTGAAGAAAGAACATAAAAGTCCATCATGTGAGTTCGGTCTCTATACTTGACCATCTCTTGTTATCAATGGGTATTCTCTCCCCCTACCTTTCTTACGCGTGTGCAGATGTCGGATTTTTCTGTCGCCGTATCTCGGTTGCTTCACTCCACAGTTTGACAATGAGTTACGGGCGTGGTCTGGGTTCATACCAAAGTTGAGGTGATAGGAAGGGTGAGTCAGGGCAAGCTTTGGATCAAAACAAACACGAGAAAGCACATTAAATTTTAAACAAAACACTCTTAACTAATTGTAAATGCAAATCGACTTGAATTTGCCTCGCGCAATATAAAATACCTGTAATAAAGATCGGTCTTTGAATATGTACCCCATCTTCTCGTCCAGCGTTTTCAGACACATGTGATAGCGTACATGGTGTACGAGTACAGGAAGGAGTAGAGCATGCTGGGAAAGAACAAGTATCACCGTCAATGCCTCAGCTAATTGTGAACTCACCCAGGGTCTATGATGATGTAAATAAAGACTAAACACAAGCCTTTACTGAAGGTTAACGTTAATTACATGACTATTTCCGCTATCCTAGTTACTTATCTTCACCATGTGAGGAGAATGATTACTTGTAAAAGTTGCATGCTCAACCCTTTATATCCTAGCATCAATATGCATATTCTCCATACTGCTTTCCATACATGGCCTAAGGTGCGGACATGGAGAAATTATCTAACAATCTACAGCTTCTTTAGTTAGTGATCATTTCCTTTATTCTCATGACCGTAATGAGTGATTCAAGGACGATATTGCAAGGAGAGAATAGATGCTAGTCACTCTTAGAGGCCAAAGAGTTAACAAACCTGGCAGATATCAGACTTGAGGCCAGTTTTGATCATTCCTTTGCTGCTGACTTCTGCTAATATATCACGGCGCATAGCGCTGAAAAAATAAGCACGAGATAAAGGCAGGTTAACATAAGTTTATTGGATCAATATCAGTATCCGGGCAACTGCCCACGTACCCCTCCCCAAACCCAACATTAACCTTCACTTATTGTCAATTGACTGTTGTTGAGTTAGGAGAGGGGTAGGTGGGCAGTTGCCTAGATACTGATATTGATCAAGTTTATCCTTATGAAATGCACACATGGAAGTGGTTTAATCGAGGTTTGAAAGAAATCAAGCATTGTATTGTTTTTTCTTTACTTTTTTCTGTGACTGGACCACAGACTCACACCACCTTACGACCGATCATATGCGCAAAGTCAGCCGCTGACTTTTCGCATGTGATCGGTCGCAAGGTGGCGTTAGTCTGTGCCCAAATTACGTTATCAACTCAGTTGATAATGACAAATTACCCTGTTATACTCTTCCACCGACGCAGCACCACAGTTTCTTGAGAAACTTTCTCCCTTTATTCTTAGTGATAGACTTTCGTTTCAGAGTGTGGCTCAGATTAATTTTAACCTCACCTTTTTACGCGCATATGCTCCAAGTCAGTCTAGAGGGAGAACAAAAGAAATAAAATGGTCGCTCAAAATACTTAACAGACAAAATAAAAAGGTAACACTTTTTCCACGAGCTATCCAATTACCTTGAGTTTGACGAGCTTATCTTGGTCTTTTCGACTCGGTACTGGCCTGGGAAAAAATGTCTCGATTAGAATGAATGTGAAACATGGAGTGTGTAGAACTAATAGAGCGCTGTTCGACTGAGTGTGGTGAAACCAAAACCAAAGCAACTACAGTGGCCAATCAGAAGAAAGGGAAATACCTTTAAGAACCAATGAGAATTCAAAGTAAATAAAAGTTAATCGCCTAAAGCGCGGGAAAACGCGGGCCACAAAGTCGTGATCGATGTTAGCTTTGGTTGAGAGAGTGGCGCAAAAACAATGCAATTCTGTATTGCTTTTGACACCCAATTAAAATTTTCTCTGACACTCAGGTTTAACTAAAAATGCTCTTAATGAATGAATCGTAACTACCAATCCTTCCGACGAAGTAGGATAGCAGACATGAAATAATACAATCGATTGCGCTGAATTGAATTGAAAGTGTATCGTAACAAGTAAAGAATGTCCACTTTCAGTTCACAATGCGAAATTTATGTGAGAAATTTATAAAGGAAACAGTGGGCCTTTAAAAATTCCTCGACTAGAGAGCTAGGTATGGATTGAAGGATAACTACACGAGGTTTGAAAAGTGAACTATATTCAAGCAAGTAGCACTCAAATTTAGCAAACTTGCCCACATTAATACGCTTTTTCTTGTGCCTGGGATATTTTCGGTTCAGTTGATTAAAAGAAGGTTAAGAACGTGTTTAAAGTGAAACACTTTCACTTACGTGTTTGATATCAGGGTTCTTAACTTGACGTATGACTTGTATAGCTTTTGATACCTGGAAAACAGAAAAATGGTATGGGTTATGCATTCCACGTACATTTATATATAAGCGTGCAATGATAAAATGATGTTAGCTTTAACCAACACTCAAGAGAGACAAGTTAAGAAAGATATATGTATCCACGCGAGGTAAAATAAGACGAATAGAGGCTTAAAATAGCGAATGCACGATATCTATCTTCCCTCCACCTGGGTGTGAGCTCTATTATATAAAACAATACTTACCTAGGATCTCCAGCAAAACTCATCTGCACTGGCCTGATACCGTGGTGCATAATGTAAGGATACATCTGTTTTCCATTTGTACAAGAAAAAGCATAAAGTGATTTTGAATGATAGGTCAGAATATTTCCAGAGAAAACTCACAATACCCATGAAAGAAAAACAAAATAAGATAGTATGCTCCTTTGCTTCCTTTCAGGAAAAGTTATTTTCAATGACTATTGGCCGACAACCACAAAGAAACGTACCTTGCGTTTGGTCAATCGCTTATCATCTGTATGAAATTGTAGGTCGTCAACTCTGATGGCTGCTGGCTTCTAAGACAACAGTGAAAACACTAAATGCGTATAGGACAGGATTTGGATTACTTACATTGAATAGGATAATGACAAATAATCAAATCTTTGGTTGTCGGCAGAAGATAAATGTTACGTGACATGACTACATGTAAGGTAGTGTGGGCAATAATAGTAATGTTCAAAAAGATCATCAAAACTTTGAATAGTATATCTTTTTTTAACTACAGTTCAAAATGACACTGAAATGCATATCAACTTTCTCTCCCACATACATGTATAGTGCAAAATCTGACAAAACAATTTGTTTTCTTTTTTGCATCTAAACAATATCACATTGTGACTCACCTTGTTTGGGTTCATGACAAGAGAATTGACACATAACTTTGAATATTCCCCCAATTTGTCAGCATTAAGGGCAAAATCACTTGGCTGTTAGAGAAAATCAAAGAAATTATTGTTCTGAAAAACACAAACAAAAGTTATACAAGTCTAAACATTACTGCTATGGCCGCAGATCAAAATTATTAGGTCAAAGCTCTGTTGAGAGTAAATTTTCTTCCAATGCCTCTCCACCTGTGGGTATGACCAGGTACCTGAGAAATTGCTGGAAATAACCTGCAATAACTACTCAGGAAAGATTGGCAATACTAACAATTACTTCAAGCCAGAGAAACCAGGACATGCTGCCATAGATATGATGTCCAATTAGTCTTAATTTAGATCTATATACAATCATATAGAACCCAGTGACACTATAAGTAGCAATAAGCAATATGTCCCCAAAGAGGTAATTAATGCTGCAATCTCTGAATGGTACACTCCCTCCGTCAGCATCTATTTTGACCTCAGCTTTTTCAAGGCCACCTACATTAGTTTAGGTCTAGTGTTAAGATACCCAATTTCTTACCTGAACAAGAGGTTCAGCAGAGTCTAAAATATGGGACAACACATGGCTCATTGGAAGAAGTTCATGGTTTGCAGCTGATTTATTCTCATCTAGAGAGAGGAAGAAAGAAAAACAAGGTAAAAGGAATTTTCCACCACTTCAGTGACTAAATACCTTATACTGACAAAATCCAAGGTCCATACTGTTAATAATGGACCATGTTTTTAACACCAAAACCACATACACAGACCATAAATTAGAAGGGAAAAAAACAAGCTTCCATAACTTAAAGTAAGGACCAAGAAAACAAGTTTTTAAGATATTTACTATATGATCTCTGGGTTCAAAGGGGAAAGATTTTAATTCAAACAAACTTTTGAAATTAGAGGGCCAAACAGTGAGCCATGGTCTGCATATTGACTAATCATAGCACACATACTACAGTAAGGAAGATATGTAATAATTGTTAAGTGTGCTTATAATGATGGAAAATTGAGACACCCATAGTTGATCATTAACCCACTATGAATTTGGAACGGCAAACTTAAAAGCAGAGGAACTAATGGTAAGAATTGTCAGAACCTTCACTAAACATTGATGATCAACTTATTAAGTATTAAAATTCACTTTAAAAAGTCATGTACATGTAATCAGCTATATCAGATTTCAACACAAATTAAGAAAAAATGATAACTTGGTTGTTGACTAACTTGAAGATCTGTGAACAAATCTTGGCATAAAGTGAAATCTCTGACAGGAATCTTGAATATTTCCTGCAAAAAGCATCATACAAAAGTTGCATGATTTAACATGGATGGCAAATGTTTTGCTAATTGCTCTTTGCTGTAAATGTTAAGTTTACTTTCACTAGTATTTACCATTTATGTCCCAATCTGCCAGTTCAAGCACTTTGTAGAAGAAAAACTCTGTAAACAAGTCTAGATCTCTGACACAAAAATTCTGAAATTGAAACAAGCCAGTTGGATGAGAAAATATAATAAATACTCTTGACATGCACTGATGCATCAACCTATTCAAAGCTTCAACCTCCCCCTTGACATTCTAACTTTTGAAGATTGGCTTGTTCAAATTCCCCCCCCCCACCCATGGGTTGCCTTTGGGGGGAGAAGTTGAAGCTTCAAATTAATAGGCCCATAATCACATAATCATATAAGAATTCTGTACAAGAAGTTAAAATTGGCATTTGTGCCCACTGATTTAAGGGCCCAAGCACAAAGCATCCAGACCATTAATCAAATAAGAGAAAAGGGGAAGATGAGGAAAATAAGAAGTTAATTATTAGCCAACTGTGTGTGTGTGTGTGTGTGTGTGTGTGTGTGTGTGTGTGTGTGTGTGTGTGTGTGTGTGTGTGTGTGTGTGTGTGTGTGTGTGTGTGTGTGTGTGTGTGTGTGTGTGTGACAAGTTAGAGAATTGATTTCTAGTCATAAAAAGGGATTCAAATAGCTGACCCATGTCCAAAGAAGGCAAAGTCAATTTGAAGTCATTGTTAAGAGTTGTTAAAGCACATTTAAAAAAGTAAAAAAATGACAAAAAAACATGTCAACTTTCCCTTTGTGATGAACATCAAGAGATTGTGGCAACAAAAACAGCTTTAAAGTTTGGTTGGCTGACTGTATAACAGAGTATGGTGTGCTTAACTGATCACAGACCATGTAGTTATTAAGGAACACAATTTACAATAACATTGTCATTTTTTACTCCAACAATTTTTATTACCATTTCAGTATCCTGGTTTATAATGTGTAAAAAATGTTTTTTCATAAGAAGTGTAATTCAATTAACTAGGGTTGTCTGAGTTGAAAACTAAAAGAAATTTAAGATAAATAAAATTAAAGCTTGTGACCCATTATTGACTCACAGACCTCTGGAACTGGTTGAGTGATGAAATGAAGAGTGTATTCAATGTTGAATCTTATCACAGAACAACTTGGTATCTAGGAAATCAATAGACATTTACAGTCATTATCAATAAAGTATACAATTATAACAAGATAAAGGTGTATATAAAAAATTTGTAATAAGCACCCTGGCTCTGTTATGTTAACGTCATACTTTTGTGCTGTTTAACCCTTTAACTCCCAGCAGTGATCAATATGCAACTTCTCCCAATAATATCCATACATTATCCATCAAACAGGTAATGAGAATATTCAAATTTATCAGGTAGAAGTTGTCATCTGCATCTAACACCAAATTCTTGTAACTAATTTACAAGGAAATGTGTAGCAGCTAGAGGGGAGAATTAACAATCAGATCTTGGGAGTTCAAGGCTTAGGATCAGAACTCAAGAAATCTGCCCTATGCTTGCCTTTGGTAACTCACTGTAAACCTCTTATGTAAGCAATCAACTCTTTTTGTGCTCAACCCAATTATTCTTGGTTCTTACAAGCTGAGTGTGTGTTGACACTCTATATTGCTTTATAAGCAAAAGCCAATCATGCTTTTAATACCTCAGCTATGATTTTTTTTAACAGTATTGGGAATCTTACCAATAAGAATGTTAAGGACATGGAAAGAATACCAGAATTTGCTAAGGCCTACTGGATCTTCTGGGAATCTTTCCAGGGGCCTTAGACAACTTTAAGAACAATATACGGGATAGTTGAGGACCACTGATGAGTAAGATATCCAATTAAGATCCTCAAACATTGTTACACAAATCTGTGAGTATCATCAACAATCTTGATGGTGAAATTTGTGACAACAGGGAAACTCACATCTTTAAGTGGCTGATGGGAAAACAATGAAAACCCCTCAAATGTGTAATCCTTTCCATCAAACTGGATGACACTTGGATTCTCTGTCTGAAAAGTAGAGATTTGACACAATAAAGCTTAGTTATGGAACAGAACAGCAACAATAACTGAACAGTGACAGATAAAATGATTCATCAGATAGGAAATTAAAACAATCAAATTGAAAAACGTGACCATGTAGTAAGTGACTCAGACAGCAATGGATTGTAGACTCTATAATTCGGCTATTTCTACTAAATATTTCTATTCATAACTTACACAAGTTAAAGTAGCAACACATAAGTTGGTGGGTTTATAATATTGTCTAAAAAAAGCAGTGGGAACATGAATGGGCAAAACATAAAAACCATAACTCTGTCAATCCTAAGCCATGATGTGCATAACATACCATGAAGTTGGTGTGTGGTGTAACAGTCACCCAATAATGGTCCAACTTGTCTGCATTGTTTGTTAAAGGGTCGCAGGCTGGAATGACCTGCGAAAAATTGTATGGAGTAGAGAATGTGATTGAGCAGCAACAAAATAAAATTCGTTGATAATTAATTAGGTTAACATCATTTTATGTAAATATTTAGTGTTGTTTGATTTCATTAATTTCCAACTACAGGTAAATAGTTTCTGTCAATTTTGTAATACTCTCTCAATCAGATCAATGTTTATGGAGAAGATACTTTTCTTAGACGGGGCCTCTCTTCTCCCATGAGTATAAATGGATAATGACACACTGTTAGGAAAAGTGGAAGAAATGCTGGGGGTTAAGCTATGATGGTTCGGCATCCCATCCAGGAGGGAGTAGCAATATTCCCAGTTATTTCCTGTACAGATACCAGGATCAGCTCAGCCCTAATGGGCCACAGGCTCTGTTGTAATAAACAAACAATAATCTAGATTATACTTACAGTTTCACCAGGGTAGATACCATGACGTATTCCATGCTGCCTGTCACTTAAACTACATCGGCAGACTGGACCATCATTTGTCTAAGTAAAGTAAAAGCTGTTCAACAAGGAGCTCATAGAAATTTTAATAAAAATTGAACAATAACTTTTTTCTAGGACTCAGATTATATTACAAATCAGGGGCAACATTTCTAAATGAAAGCACAAAAAATTGCAAGGGTGGTATGGGCATTTCATTTCTTGATCAGATTAATGGAAAACATTAAAACAGGTATCATTGAGCCTGTCATCTGTTAAGATAGAGTGGAAAAGTTTGAGTTAAACTATAATTTACAAACTGTACACTCTCTTGCAGAACTGTTAGGCAAACAACCTGTGATGGTGTGTTACTACAAAGTTCAACCAATTAGGTTAATATGTTTGAGTCAACTCAATTTTAAACTTTGACCCTTAAAGTTAATTTGACCCTCAATTTGACCCCTTATCTACAGTACACTCAACTGTTCCAAAACTCTTTGAAAAAGGAATTCTACTTTAATTATCATTTAGTTGAGCTGACCACTGCTATACACTACTCTCCAAAAGTGTCATCTAACTACACCCACCTCTCCTTTTTCATTGAACCAAAGTTCTGGATGAAGGCGACAAGGATCTTCTATCTTTCTCTTCCTGGTCTCTGCCACAAAAGAACCTTTGGGGTCTTGTTCATGCAAGTTCTTGTCATTATCAAAGCTCCCACTTTCCTCGTCATCCTCATTCTCATCACTGTCATCTGATTCAGAGCTGCTGCTGCCCAACCTTTTGCTTCCAATCTCACTATCATCTTCATCGATGTTAGATTCCTCATCACTGAGGAATTCTGTAGAATTACTAACCCCTGACCCTAGTCTGATCCATGATTTAGAAGAGCTGTCATTGGCTTCACAGTCCATCAGCAACTCTACATCACCAACATCTGTTTCAGTGTGGTTACTTTGCTCACTGTCAACACTCTCCTCATCATCATCACCAATCACAGCTGTCATATTAACTATTTCCTTATGAAATTTGTTCTGAAGTTCACTAAGCTTTTCTGTTCCCTGAACAATAGAAATATCACCCTAAGCAAAAAAAAAACACAAATAAAACTAAAATAAATCTAATAAAGACAAAGAATTATCACATCACCAATCAATTACTACATAAGCTAGAAAACTGAATATATGAATACTGTGGTTAGATTCCTTTCTTGGTTCAATTAGTTTTTAATAAGCCAGTAGATCTGCAAAGTCACTCACTGTGCTGAACACCTAAAGGTTTTTTTTTTAATTATCCAGTTAAGATGGAAATAAAATGAATAACTTTTAGTCATTTTAACCCTTTAACTCCCATGAGTGACCAAGACAGAATTTCTCCTCACAGTATCAGTACAATATCAAGCAGACAAGTGATGAGAATAAAGAAAAATATCAATTAGGGATTATAAGTTGATCCAATACCAAATTCTCCAAACTAACCTCACAAGAACTGAATGGCAGACAGTTAGAAGAATTAATAAGGAGATTTTGGGAGTTAAAGGGTTAATCAGTGGATGGATCACAGCAAAGTGCATTGAAGGTAGTCCCTGATCATTTACACCCTATTCTCCATTCACTTCCCTGTACATTTCCTGAAGGTGCTGACAAGGAGAATTTGTATAATAATCAAGAGGATTTTTAGTTGGTGATCATTTCCTTTATTCTTGTGACCTTACTCTTGGATTCAAGGGAGACATTGTAAGGAGAAAGTAGAAGTTAGTCACTTCTAAAGTTCAAAGGGTTAAAATAACCAGTAGCTAGAAACAGGAGTTTTGACAACTTTTGACTCTGAACAAATACTGTCAGCTATTCAGGTTGCCAAGATGACAGTCACCAACAAAGATTTAACTGTAATTTTAAGTACTACTGTCATTTGGATAATCACAGTTCTCCAAAGCATGCAATGGAATGACATACCTCATTACTCTGCTTTTTAATGTAAAAATCTTCTGATACCAGATATGTTATCACTCTCTCAATATCTGGGGGTGGTGGAGAATAACAACGATCAACTCGAGGACTACCTCTGCCACCTGCACCTGGAATATAGCTCCTTAAAAGAAGAAAAAGACCAAAATGACAATTGTTTCAGAGAAGAGCTACAGAAATATTTGTGAACAATTTTTGCATTTAAGTATCTCCAAGACCTACAGGTGTCTGTAGATAAATTTTTGCATCTGGACTTTCAATGCCAATCATTGGGATATCTCTACCAGCAGGATGTTCATTACAAACATGTTAATTGTCCTTTCTAGTTTTTTCTTACCCGATTGGTTCCAAAATTCTTTTAAGATACAATATCCAGGTCTGGAGTACCTCAGACTTTCTTCATTTAAAAAGTTTTTTCAGTAACTTTGAAATCTTATGCCTGTAATTTCAAATTTTGAAATCACCCATTCAAGAACTTTAGTCAAATTGTACTTTTACTTATATCTCAACCTTCTTTTTCCAGGCTCTCTTCCCCTTTGTCCATCTCTGTAAGAACCTGTCCTTCGATAAAGAGGTCTACCATCAGGACTGAATTCAGAATTTTTCTTTTTGCTAGGAATGGGCTGTTGCATTTCAGAGGACTGGTTCTCATTTTTACTATGAATACTTCTTTTTCCAAAATGAGAAGGAACTGAGTTTTCTCTACCAATAAAGTGTTGAATATTGGGCACTGCATTGCTCCAGTGTGGCTCAGGCAAGTGTCTGTCAAAGCCTGCTGCAAAAGAAAGCCTTGGGTTAAAACTTGGAACAGATTGAGGATTTCTAGCCTGCCAAGCTGAACTGATCAAAGGTGATGACTGCAGTCCTTGATGTAGAACTCCCTCTGTAGATGGCATCCCTCTGGGCACAGGTGACATCCCCCTGGGCCTAGGCAGCATCCCTCTGGGCACAGCTGACACTGAAGATGTGTATGGTCTAGGGTGTGATGTCAGAACTGGAGGTCTAAAGGTTGGCTGTGGGTGCTTCATCTGCAAAAGTGGACTACTGAATACTGAAGATGGAGGAGCTTGGACCCCTCTCATTATAGGGACTGATGGAGATGTTAATGGCTGATGGATTGGGCCAGCAACTTTGTTAAAAGAATTTGAAGTAGATGACTGAAGAAATCCCTGCATTGGAGATGGAGGATTTGTTACTGGAGGAGAATAAGCAAAATTCACAGGTAAATGCTGTATTGGAAGTGGGGTGCCTCTTTGAGGAACTGTAGGAGAAGACACAAACACCTGCTGGGTTGAAGGTGTGATTCTGTTGACAGAAGGAGGAGTAGATACTATAAAAGAAGGTGGCTGGTTTAAATTTAGTCCAGTTGGTTGGGGGCTCCTCACTTGCCATGAAGGGCCCTTGAAAGGTGAAGACGGTATGGCTGGAGATGGAACTGTAACAGGTGAGGGCAAAGTCGTGGGTCTATGTGGCTGGAGTTGGGTCACAGTCATTCCTCTGGCTGAAATCATCGGAGAGGGCTGCTGTAAAGGTAAGGAGGAGTTTGGAGCAGGTGCTATTGAGGGTTGTATAATACTCCTTGGTGGATTGATACCAGCTATTGCTGGGTGAAATGGACCATGTAATCTGGGAGGAGAACCCAAATGCCGTACTGGTGCTACTACCCCAGGGTTGGTTACTGGACTCTGTCTGATAGCTGGTTGTTGTAAGTGTGTCTGAAATCTGGGATGGATGTGTTGCTGATTTGCCTGAAAAATAGAACATTGAACAGTTGTGGTTAAGAATGACGAAACTCTGCTGGAGTTTGTTCGGTGTGGCAAATAACGATATGTAACAATAGATTAACATATACATAATAAACAATCGTGAGGGTTAAAATAATTGATCAAGTACAATGCTTACCGGAGGCGCTGAAGCGAACGTTTGCGCGCTCGGTATGGAAGAAGATGGAGGTCTCCACATATTCAATAGACCTCAGCTACGCGATCTCAAAGAATCATCTGTGAGATACTCACGTGCATAACACGAAGAGATATGGAAATTATAAAATACCAAAGCTTCATCTAAAAGTAGAGGTAAGATATTTTGAAAGTCTGTCAAGATGCCGCGGCCGCACATTCGCCATCTTTCGTTCAAAGTTGTTTTCTAGTTTCCAGGTTTTGTCATTATAATAGGTTAAGGGCCTGGACACTGGCAGGAAAAAAAATTATTTCAAGATGGCTTCTGGCGGAGGCGAATGGTGTTTGATTGAGAGCGATCCTGGTGTATTCACTGAATTAATTCGAGGTTTTGGTACGTACTGAGATTATAGTTGACCATGTAGCATTCTCTTGTAATACGAATAATCTCGTTTTCTATTGGGAACAGAGTCGAGATCATCCTGTTATCGTTCGATTTTGACCTTCCAGCGGGGAAAAAATTATCACCATGATGGTATAAGATTACGTTGCAGCCATTCCTTGATATTTAAGACGTTTCTCAACCTAACAGGCACTATCAATCGCTATGAACTTGGTGATGATTAACCCGATCGCAGTGAGATGGAATCGCTTTTATTGCACGTTTCTGTTCCCTCTCAGAGCTCTTGTATTTTTCTTTGCATTTAATTTATTCCGCTGTCAAATTAAACACGTGTCGTTGTTTCACATGCAACCATTCACTTGCAAAAGAAATCAGGGAATAGAGAGGGAGGCCCTTAGTCCAGGCTTTGTGATTTCTCAACATTCAAACTTGATATATTTATATTAATTTTATATTTATGCCATTTTCATGGATAGTTTCCCAGAATACAAGTCTTTTCTTTGAGTCGTCCACATGAGGGTTTACATTGTACCTTATTCTAATTGAAAGCAGTACACTGTTGGATAGCGTGGAAGTTAGTTTGTTGATGAAAAAAGTGAGGAAAATGTAGGAAATGTAATGTTCATTATAGAGCAACAGCTTTGTAGGATTTTTGCACTATGACAGGAAATGCTTCACAGCACTTACACCTAATCGTCATATGTGGTGCAAAAAAATTGTGCCCAAGGTTTAATACTTTTTTTTTAGTTCCTCTTTTTAAATATAGTATTTGAAAACATGCCTATCATGACCATGGATATCATAGCTACTGCTTGTCACATAGCCTAACTCTTCCTGTCTTTTCTTTATTTTCTCACCAACTTACTGTACATGTAACTCTAAAATACATTGAAACTTTCTTTGGGGTACCCCTCTCTTGAGCCTCTTTTCCTGAAAAAAGATCCCCACAGGATTACAGAAGGGCATGCACTGGACCCACTTTGGTCAATATCTAGATTCTATAGAAATGGTACATGTATATCCTTTGTGAAAATGCCCAATGGAACAACTTGTAGTCAATCATTCATTCATTTTCCCTCTTTAGATAAAAGTATCTCGATTTCCCATTACCAAACTGCTGTTACTGTATAATAATGTTTGCTATTTGATATTTTACTGAAGGATGTTCTGGCATTCAAGTGGAAGAGATTTACAGCCTTGATGAGGCATCTCTCGATGAGTTAAGGTAATACTGAGACAGCTGTTCTGCTATCTTTTCAATTTGATAGATGATTTATGAGCAATCTTCACAAGCTTTTTTCACTTGTTGCGTTAGTCTCTTGTGCTTAGAGTCTCAGGGAGAATACAACCTATACATTTTGAGTTATTTTAACTGGAAATAAATGTTTTTTTTTCCATTATCAGGGGTTTAAAAAAAAACTGGTCTACAGCTATCTGTTAGACCTCTAACCACGGTTTGATTAGCCTGCAGGCAGGCTCTTGTGTTTAGGTTTGGCCTTATGGCTTTAGGCTTAGCAGCCTATAACACAATCTCCCCTCTACCTGCTACACATTTCCTTATAAATTAATTATGAGAACTTGACTTTAGATCAAGATGACAACTTCTACTCAATTAGTTTGTATATTCTCATTACCTGTTTGCAGGATAATGTAAAGATATTATGGGAGGAAGTTTTATGTTGATCACTTCTGGGAGTTAAAGGGTTAAAAACCTTTCTGTTCTTTTTAATTTCAGACCAGTTCATGGTTTAATATTTCTTTTCAAATGGAAGCCTGGTGAAGAGCCTGCAGGGCCTATTGTGCATGAAAGTCGATCTCTTGGCATATTCTTTGCAAAGCAAGTAAGTTCACCTTTTTAAACCACATTTCTTAAATTTCCTCACTGTCAGTACTAGATAGAGCTCATGGTGCATATCTACCTTAAATTATGTTTTTAGGTTATCACAAATGCCTGTGCAACACAAGCAATTTTAAGTGTGCTTCTCAACTGCAATCATCCAGACATGGATCTTGGACCAACCCTGTCAAGCTTTAAAGAATTTTCAGCAACATTTGATTCATCAGTAAGTTCAATTTCTAGAGTTATGCATCACACTCTTGTAAACTGAAATGACCAGGGTTCAACTCTCTGTAAAGTAGGATTTACACCAAGAGTCCAGTAAGATAATTTTTTGGTCTTTTTAGGCTTTAAGCCAATTACTGAATGCCCACACATTTATGAATGTCTTGTTCACTGAAATAAAAAATGTGCTCTTATCAGTTTTTCTGTTAAATTTTTACAATTATGTTTTTTTTAAGCTCTAATATTTCATTCATTCATGTAGACTTCTCTTAAATAAGTAATCTCCTAACATTCCTTTCCAACTTTTAGCTAGTCCTGAGATCATGCTGCCATGTCAAATTCCAAAGTATGACCCTAAGTTTGATGATTTACTCAATTCTCACTCCTTACAGAATGTATATGCATTACTAGCATTGTGGTGAGAATCTAAAGAATGATCTCTTCTGGGAGTCAAAGGGTTAAGAACATCATGCAGACATGGGTTCAACTCTCTCTAGAGTAAGATTTTCACCCAGAGTACAATACAATTGTGATTTGGCCTTCCTAGGCCTTAAGCCAATTACTGCATGCACACACATCTATAGATGAAATGAATAAAATAATAAATTGTTAATGATCATTTTGATCTTTTATTGATCACAGTTAAAGGGGCTCAGTCTCAGTAACTCTGATGTTATAAGACAAGTTCATAATGGTTTTGCCAGGTTTGTATCAATATTTACAAAGTGTGCAACTTATTCTTAATACTTTGAAGCATCTCAAAGTAAGTCACAATAAGTATAAGTTACAAGTGGATTTATGGTCATGATAGAGATGAGGTGGTAGCAAGATGCTGAAGAGTGTGTTAGAAATCCTAAACTACAAATTGTTTGGTTTCAAGCTCTAATTCTGCATTTAACTCATGTACTGAAGGTATTGATTGACTTACTGCTTCACAGACAGATTGTCAGATGTACTGAGCTACTAACTGATTGACTGACACTAACAGACACACTGACTGACAAACTGACTTACTGTTGAAGGGCTAACACTCAGAATGTCAGCTTTAAAACTCCAATTGACATCATCAACTCAATTGATAAGACCAAATTGTCTTGAATTACTGACTGATTGATTGACTAACTTACTGTATAACTGACTTACAAAGTGACTGATGCATCAACTAATTCCTGACTGACTAACGTACTGACTACTGTCTTATCAACTGAAGGATTGATTGACTGACTGGCTCACTGACAGACTTACATTGTGTACTGATTGAATGATGCACTGACTGGTTACTGACAGGTGTACTTAATGACTAACTGATTGAATGAATGAGTGACTAATTGATTGATTGACGCAATAATTCAAAAGGCTTCTCCAATTACCATAGTAACACTATTCAAAGGAAATGTTCAAGTATCCCTAACAAGTTTCACAAAATGTCATTCCTCATCCATTTTCTTGTTACTTCAGGCAACAGATGTTTGAATTTGATGCCAAACTTCCTCCAAAAGACGACAATGTATATCACTTTGTTGCATATGTTCCAATTCTTGGTAAACTTTATGAGCTGGATGGCTTAAGAGATGGGCCTATTGACCTTGGTAATGCTCTTATTGAACTGTACTGTCAAATTTAATCCAATTTATAATGGTAATAGGAATGAGTGAAGTCCAGTTTGGTCTGTGATCATACAGCTGTCCGAGTGATTGTCAAAATTGGACAACTGCAAAGCAAGAGTCTAATTTCTTAATCACGACTATGATTACCGAGAGAATTGGACAACGCAAAGTCATCATACCCAGTAATCAAAACCATAACAAAATTTGAAAAAGAAACCAGACATCTGTTATACGTTAAAAAAAAAACCCGTCAACTTGGCAAAATGCATGAGAACAGCACACGCACATTAAGCTTACTGTCCATTTACCCAAGCATGACATGTTAACTGTCCTTGTAACTGTTCTACTACACAGTCCAATAGCAAGCCCAATGCACACACTGTCCTATTAGTGCTCTTATTTGGCTGGTGATAACCAATCGCATTCCAGAATAATTTTGTCATGTACATTATGTACAGCTGTTTGCAATACATATTGAAACACAAATCATGTTATCTATAGATATGAGCCTCTCATTCAGTTCTAACATTTTTTGTATCCATCTCACAGAACTGAACATAAGTTGTTCTCAGTCAACTTGTCACACAGTACAACTTCCAAACATTGATTAGTGTTTCAACATCTTCTGAAAGTTAGACATTTCAATCTGTACTAGGCAAACAATTGAGTCAGAGGGAGGTTTAAGTCAGTTGAATTTTTTAAAATTTTCTGTGGGTGCAAATTTAAACACTAACTCATTTATTTGCATCTTGTTAGGACCATGTACTCCTGAAAACTGGCTCGCCACATGCAAACCAATCATTGAAACAAGAATGCAGAAGTATGTAGTCCTACAAAGCATTTATTTTCCCAGTTATAGTTCCTGTTATTTTCAGGAAGTTATTTCTGTTTTTCTGCACAACCAGGAGGTTCTTTAAAAACAACTTTTTACAAAATAAGGTGGGATACTTTAGGGACAGTAACAAATGAAGCTGTTTGAACATGGAGAAGCTCTAACATGGCTTTGTTTGCTTAACCCTTTAACTCCCGTGAGTGACCAATATCATGCAGACAAGTGGTGAGAATTTAAAAAAATATATCAATTTGGGGATTAGTTGATCCAATACTAAATTCTCTGAACTAACATAAAGATTGTATGGTTGACAGTAAGGAGAATTACAAATTTGATCTGGGAAATTAAGGGTAAACTATCTCATTGTGAATACTGAGCAGAGGTAATGCATTTCAACCTGATGGCGACTGTTTGATTGAGGAAAACTATGCACTAAAACCCAACTTTGTTTTATGATTTTACTAATCTCAGATACTCAGCAGAGGAAATTCACTTCAATCTCATGGCAATTGTTTCATCAAGGAAAGCTCTTCACCTTAAAGACATTGACAGACTAAACCAGAGGAAGCAACATATTCTGGATCAGGTCTGAGCACATTTTATTTCTAACAATTGGTCAGATGAGTATGGATTTTTTTCCTCTGAATTTGACTTTTTCAATCCATCATCAAGTGATAACAAGTTAATTATTTTTTCTAATGCTAATTTTTCAGCTGGAAGAATTAAAAAGCCGGACTTCAGCTGAGGTAATTTTTCAAAACCATAGCTTTCTGTTCTATTCTGTTAAAATTGATGTAAAGTTTTGTCAAGATAATGAGACCAGTTGAAATACAGCCTACTTTTTTAATTTTTGCAGGGAGGGGAGGGAATGGAGACAGACCAGATGGCAACATCGGTCAATGATTGTCAGGCTATTTTAAAGAATATCGATGGTGAACTTTCTCGGCTACAGACACTTATTGCTGGAGAAGATGACAAAATGTTGCGATATAAGGTAGGAATTGAATCTTGTTGAAGGTGGATGAAGTAAGAATTTTCAATTGTGCATTACAATTAAATGTTAAAAATTCAACCCTACATAGATACTAAAAACTGAAAAAGGAAGGAGTAAGCTGTCATTGGAACGTAAATCATATCTTCTGGTGTCTCTAACAGAAATCTGGTGTCTCTAACAGCAGTTAGCTCACTTTTTTCATAAGTGAGGTCATCACTCAATGATGCATATCATAAACACAATTTCATGCATAACTGATACATTATAAATGGCTCCTTTTTCCTTTACATTGGTAAGGTAATGTTTCACAATGAGTAAATGTGACCCCCCCCCCCTTTAAGTTCCTTATCTCTCCTGTTTGAACAGGAAAGATTGAACTCTTCTGTTTAAACAGAAATATCCAATTTTTTTAAATCAAAAACTTTCTCTTGAATTCTTGAAATTTTCAGGTTGAAAACATAAGAAGAAAACACAACTATCTACCACTGATTATGGAACTTCTAAAAGTTCTGGCCAAACAAGGAAACCTGGTGCCATTGGTGGAGAAAGTATGTTAACCTTGTGAGGCATTTTTATGACCTATTTTATCTCACTCTGGCTGCAAAAGGAAATGCAGCTTCCTCACAAAGAGATGTTAATGCCCTGGAAAAAGAAATCTTTTTACAGAATTTGTGTGCACTGAGTCAGATTGAGATCCACATTCACTTTACATCTTGCAAGTTGTAGTTGCATTCTTGGTCAAGACAAGTTTTTCATATTAGTTTTTATCCCATACCAAACTTGTATGGCCAGCGTACAAAGGAGGCAAAGCATATGAACAGGAGGCAAAGTGTGATTGTCAGGATCTGGGAGGGAATTAGTTAATTAATTAATTCCACTTCATGCTAATTTATTACAACAGTGTTTTGTGTTTCACAAACTGGACAAGTTTTGGTAGTCTTGTTGTTCATTGCCATGTGAAAGCTCCTCAGCATCTTTATAATGACTTGGCTCATTTTTCAAGATTTGAGGGATTGTGGTCATCTTCCTTTGGTGATTTTTAGGTAATAAAATGTTGGAAGTCTCTTCACTTGTTCAGATATACTTTGTTTTTCTTTCAGGCAAAAGAGGAAGTACAGGCCAAGAAGGCAGAACAGGCTAAATAAAGCAATGAGATGTTTCTTTTGTTTCATAAGCAACAACTGTACAGCAGCAATTTATGAGTTATTAAAAAGTTTCTGTATATGTTTTGTACACACCTGTTATTCCAGGGATAATATTAAACTAAATTTCCCTCATTAATGAAAACAATGTTTCCTTGTTTATTTGTCCAGCAGACAATTCCTTAACAATACCAAGCTTGCAATTCCTTGCTATGCTTTCTCAACCGCTAAAACGATATCTACTTATAAAACAAACAGTGAAGACCGGGCGCTGTATGCTGGTTGTCTTTGGATGATTTCACAGCACTCAGCTGCACAGGCATTTCTCTCGATGGTGAAACCCAGCTCATCGTATATCCTCGCCTAAGAAAAGTGAAAAACGGTCATTTTAAGTAATAAATGCCAAGAAAAAGTTTAGCAGGGACTAATCCTCAGAAAGAGCTCCCTGTTCTTTGTCTCCTGTTAATGAGTAAGTTACAAACGTTCTGAGACTCTGGGGCCTTCTTTAGAGGATAGCTAGAATAGAAGACGCCGAGTTAATTTTAAAACCTTTTGACGTGGTGTTCACGCAGAAGTAGGAAAGTGACACCCATCTTCGCCATAGCAAACTTCCCTAAACACCGCGCCGACTAATACACACATTTTAAATCAAATTCCGTAAGTAATCTGGAATGGCTTTGGGTTTGCCTTTACATGGCCCTGTCGTTGGTCTACAAGCTCGAGCCGCTCTCTCAACCAATCAGATGCAAAACTAAACACCATCGCATGGTGGTTACTCGTGTTCCTCTAAGCGCGAGGTCGGTCACGTGTTTGCTTTGTTCTCATTGGTTCCGTATTCCAAAACTTTTTATGGCTTTAATTTATGACCCCTAAATCATCAGACGCGACTCTTGGCTTAATCGTCACCTGAAAGTATAAGACATCTCTGGTTTTGTCGGCAGCCCCTAACTTCCTAAATCCTTTCACGATCCTTTCCAGCGTCGGCAAAGCAGAACGCAAGTCTAATGAATAAAGAAACAAGAAATGTAAGTAACTTTTCTTTCTGACTTGAGTTGCAATGCGTTTCAAGACACTAGCAACATTTTTAAGGTATCACGGACGTTATCGAGTAAACGAGGACACGACAGCACTCTTACAATAGCGACAGCTGTCTATTGGCTTTACTGTTGCAACAGAGGTAATTAAAAAGCACCCATGGAAGAAGCTACACCAGCCCCTCCCCACCCCCCCCCCCCATTCTCCTCCTTCTGCTTTTTAAAAGCTGTAAAAGCCCACCAGGATGAAAGCTAAATACGAATACATTACGACACCCAAATACAATTGGTGTGAGAAATGAAAAAAAGGTAGAGAATAAACAAAGAAAAATATGGAATACAATATTTAATGTCCTTCAGACATCCTAATTTGCTCGTGTTCCTTAAATTCACCGTAAACAGTCCATTGCTTTTGGTTTCCAGCTTCTTTGTGCGCTGTTTTCCTGCCACCAGTACAAGGGGAATTCGCATCATTTTTAAAGTAAAATGCCCGCGCCATAATTTCACTCGCAAGGTTTCGCGGGAGCCGGTTTCGCGGGTGCAAATTTCTCTTCGATCAACCAAAACTCCTACGTCAAGTTATCCACAGACGCAATTTTTTTAAAACAAATTCCTTGTTCGAAACCCGGAACTTATTAAAGAGGAATTTGTTAACATCCTTCATCGACATTACCCAGGATAAATTACTACTGCGAGTGCGACATTATGCATTATTCGATAAAATACTATTCTCGTTGCTCTAGTTACCAGTTTCACGGCGGCTCTTATCCTGATTTTGCGATGAGGCAGTCAGCTGACACTTGACCAACAAAAACCGAGCACAGCACTGCACGTACAAAGAACCTGGGGATAAGGAATGACCGACGTAACATTGCTTTGTCATGTGAATGACTGCAATTTGTAAACTGAATCACTTTACAAAGAGAACGTAACTTCGTTGGAGATGATTGTGATCCAGTAATTCTTGGGTTGTAATTCGGGTGACATTTTTACGCTGCATGCCTACAATCAGTTATTTTTGAGCTCTTGCAAAAATGACAGAAACCTTTAATCTTTGAATGTTCGTTTTTAAGTACCTGACACTGTCATGGTAAAACGTAAGTTAAGTCTATATTTGAGTACAGTGGCCCAACCATCACCCAGCCGGAGCTTATTCCGGTTTCCTTTGCATGAAGAGACGAAGAGTATCACTACCCCTCCATGGATGGGATGCAAATCCATCGCAAGGTTACCCCCTAGTAATTGCTTCCCTGGCTTTTTGCCACTACCCATTTATACTCCTGTGTGGAGAGGGGCACTGTGACAGTAACATGTTTAGCTTTAAAACACAACACATTGACCCAGATCTCTCGACCCGGAGTCCAGCGCACTGACCACTAGGTCACCACGCCTCCTCTTCACATTGACATACCATGGTCAGTGTGGGAATTTACATATCAAGAGCTCTTAACTCACCATGTGATAGGATCTGAACCATGGTTCTCTTGATCAGAGCCACAGCTTTTTCTGGTAAACCTAAAGATAGCTGAAAGAGACAGTGTGGTGTTTTACGTTACTGCTACAGTTAGAGTGAATGATGATAGTTTATGATGTTCGATAATACCGTAAAACTAATTTTTATTCAGTATATAAAGAATTTGTTTGCGCTACTAGACTGTGATTGGCCAAGAAATGATTGTACTGTTCTCACAAACAATAGAATGCAGAATTGAAACTAATCCTGACTTAATTACTCGCGTTTTCCCGTGCTAAAGATCGTCTCTTCACTTTGAGCTCTGATTGGCTACTTATGATATTTTACTTTCCTCTGATTGGCCGTTGTGATGGTATTGAGGTCACGTTAAGGTTGCGCAACTAAAAGTACTATTCCTTATTCAACAAGGGATATTGATCCCAAGTTAATGACAAGAAAAGTTGTATCAAACAAATGCCAGACTACTCAAGAGCTTGTGGACGTGCAACCGTAAGCGAACTTGTTCCAAAGGAGGTTTTAACCCACCTAAAAACATATATACCTTTGATAGTTGTCTAAGTGACTGATGCGATGCATTACATTCACGAATACAAACGAAAAAAACGCGGATGCCGAACAGATGCATCCAAAATTGAACAAAGCTTTTCACTTGAACGCTCCTTTGGCTCACTGAAAACTGAATCCGAATTAAATCAAAACTCAACTTGTATCAATATCTGAGTTTAACAACAAGAAAATACCTTGTAATACAGTTAATAGTTTTCTCGCCATTGTAAGTCAAATACCTGGATTTGCGCAATGTAAAGTGAGGCTAAGGCAGCGGAGTTGTCCATGTAGTGTGAGCATGAGGTGGTCAAGCAGTCAAGAGCGTGAGGCAATGCAGATACTGGGTCACTCAGCAACAAAAAGAGCTGCGTTAGGGCTAAAAGAATTCTGAGGGTAAATGAAAACAATACAGACATGAATACTCATTACCGGTAACTTGTCAAACTGCGGTAGGTGCGGTTGTTTGGTGACAAGCACACTGTTCATGTACGATTAAGAAGTTTGTAACAGTCTTGAGTACATGAAGAGAGCATGACATTGGAGTGGTCCAAAAACGATATTTCAGTAACAGCTCATTAACAAGTCAACAAATTTCGGAGATCTGTTTTTTGAGTTTACATTTAAATTCTACCAAGGTCATCATGGCTCTTGAAAAGGAATATCTCACAATACCTTGCTTTGTATTCAGCAGCTGATTTCTTCTCATCATTAAGGAACACCTTGTCTCTGGAATAAGCCAAACATATAAACCATCATTTTGTGAGTCAAAAGGATTTTCAAAAATCAAAGAAGTCGCATTTAAATGTAAAAACTTATACTTAGAATAAAGGGGGTAAGTTCCTAAAGAAACTGTGTTTCTGCATAGTTGGGGTATAACAAGATAATTTGGTTTTATCAACTGAGTTGTTAATAGTTCGTATAGTGTGATTGTCCGGGTGAGTGTAGTTCTGAAAAGAACTGTTGTTGGTGACTCACCCGGACGATCACACTATACGAACTACTGATACTCCTGGGTTCAAACCATTTACTTTACTGAGTTGTTAATGCAAAATTCCCACCGCAAAAAGTTTCTAAAGCTGACGTTTCGAGGTTAGCCCTTTATCAGAGTAAATGAAGAATGATAGACTGCTTTAAACTTCCCTTAGTGACGGCCCTACAAAGACCCTTCTTTAACGCATGAGAGTGACTAGAAACCAATTTCTCCTAACGGCAACATTGCTAAATCAATGATATAAGTCATGGAGATAAAGGAGATGATCTCCAACTTAACACGCTTTTGATTAAACGGATGTGAATATATGAAAGTCATATATTTGAACTGCGGATAAAGACGTGAATTCAAACCATTTCGCACTAATGAACACTAATTGTTAATGAAAAATTCCTTAACAAAAAAAGTTTCTAAAGCCTGAATTTTTTTCAAGCCTTCTTTTCACTACTGCCTATGTAGTGTTCATTACTGCGAAGATCGCTTTCATATTCACGCTTTTGATTGTTACACAAATTCTCCTTGTCAGCTCTGTAGGAAATATATGGAGAAGAGTGTAAAGAATATACATACTGATGTTAGCTTGTAAAGGTTAACTCTTTCAATCCAGGGAGACACCAAAATGGATGTTAAATGTTCCCTTTTTTAGGTCATTTTCAGAAGGTTGTATGACATGACCCCTGAAAATTACCAATAAGTACCCGCTTAGATATGTAACACTTCCAACTATCCTCTACACAACAGGTTGTGTAAGTTTCATGTAAATTGTTACCTTGAGCTTTCAAGTAGCTTCTCTAACCTAGGAAATGCTGTGGTGTAATCTCCTAAGTGAAGTAAATTCAAAGCGGACCTAAAAGAGAGAAAGATAACTTTTATCATGGCCTAATTCATTTCTCTTCTTTTTACTGGCCAGGGGCCCTCAAATGATCTGTAAATAACCGCCTACAATACTCAGAAGTTGTACCGTCCGTCACACTGTGTTTTGATTCCAACAATCATGATTCTGCTCAAGCGCAGTTTGTGCCCTCGCTCTCCGGCCAAAAATGACAATTCACTTCCCTATGCTGTAAGAGAGTGGTTCTCAGTTGTCCCACACGAACGTGATGTGTCAGTACCGAGCAGTTCAATGATCTACCGAAGCCGAAGGCTTAAAATAGTTTTAGCGAGAAAAAAAAATTCAGATTGTTGGGATTTCAGCAAAATGTAAAAGCTCCCAAAATGTCTAATTTCCAGAGGCCCCTTACGCTCGTAAACGGACTCATTCATATCGCTAAAAGGAAGTTTCTCTTTCACAGGTTTACCATAACTTAAACACGGGTGAAACTTAACCATAAATTATCAGTACGTGATCCATCAAAAACTTGAAGACAACAGACAAAAGTTTCAGCCAGAAGAATCATGTTGCAGTGAGAAGGGAGAACAAAAGTAAGTATTCAGATCTTTGGAAGTCAAAAGTGAGAACTTTAACGCGTGATAAGTAAGAAAAAAACCGTATTCCCTCAGTGTATGGTACACTCCCTAAAAACAGCCCTATGGCAAGTGTAATAATTAACTAAAACTTATTTACCTATACTCGGCCTCAGGTTCATCTAGCGCTGCTAATTGTTCAACACACGCTTTTGCTCTCTCCATGTTACCTTGAAGTAAAGCTTTATTGTGATCTATGATAGCTCCTGTTGTCATCCATAGCTGTTCACACAATCACAGAGAAAAGACATAAAAGAGGAAGGTGTAGAAATGAAAAGTTTTGCACTCCAATTTCTTGTTGGTCTGCTGCTAAAATGATATCACTGATGGAAAAAAGACCAAAGATTCTCAATCTTGATTTTTGGGCTTCAAGTGTGAAGTTTCAAAGACTAACAACCATTCTGATCTCTGAGTGCTTTAATGAACAAATATGGGCTAATTTTACTATCAGCAAGTTGACGAGATTCTGCTCACCTGAGATAACCTAGAATGTTCAGGAAACTTTGTTCTGCAAAATGATAGGATATCTGAGGCCTCTTGAAACATTCCCTGCAACAACAAACAGATGGATTATGAGGTTAACTAAAATTTCAGTACTTTCTTCATTTTGTTTGAAAAAAAAGGTAATTGGAAGAGCACATATGGAATATTTTAGCTTCTTTTTACCTGTCAGTGGATGACTTACTAAGACATGTTGGTTGTTGTGCCTGTTTGTTGGCTGGCTATTTTTCAAGCACTAAACATTCACATAGTTGTATAAAGGACCATGCTCTGTACAAGGAGAGAGCCAAAGGTCAATAGTCCAAAAGCCTTTTCCAGATGTCACAGAGCCCCCATGAAAATTATCTGAAGAAATTATTGGAAGGCCATCTCAACATGTATAAGTTTCCTCTGTAGTAGTAAATGGGTATCAAATATAAATGTTTCCTTATCTTTGGCTCTTTTTTCCTCGCATGTGCTTTGAGCATGAACTTTCAGCCTTGTTCAGGTTGGCAGATTTTTCCAGGCAGTTTTCCCCACCCCTTCCCTCCCTCTTTCCAGTGTTTGTTCAGTGTGATGGGTGCTTGTTTCTCTTTCCAGCCATAAGAGCAGTCTCCATCTAGGAGCTGGCTGCTAATGGTGGAAGCTTCTGGATGTCTCAGGCACCCAACCTCCACTTAGCTTGCAGTTGTTGACACAGTTAAAAAAGGAAATTTTATAAAAATCTCTTCAGTATAGCTTACTCTGTCAGCATGTTGTTCTGCAAGACTACACAATGACAGACATGTGGCTTCTGCACTTTGTATACCAGCTGCACCTCTACTAACAGATGTCATTAAGTCACTGCTGGCTGAAGCATTTTGATGAAGTGCAAACTGGGTGAAGATACTCGCAATACAACTGAAAAAAGAAAATGAGAGTATCAACAAAGAGAATGACAAGATGTGTTTGTTCATGAAGGTTACGATTATCAATTAAAGTTTAGTTGTCAAGGGTTACTCTCAACTGTAGAGTCAAGGTACTTTCTCAGATAATGAAGTTGAATGCCTAGGCATTGGTATATGACATGTAGCATGATAGTTAGCTGCTATTGGTGCATTTTGACATTCTCTTATTGGTGTGTATCATATAACCTTTAGTGCCCTACACCTGCTTTTCCTGAAAAACATTAGATGCAAATCCCCCCCCCCCCCCCCCCCCAATGAGGACTGTATATGATAGAACAATAAAACTATCCTAAAGTCAAAAGTGGTCCATGTGGCACTCAGTTAAAGAATCTATTCTACAAAAACTCAAACTAACCCTTCTCTAGACAAAAATGGTAAATATTGCAATTTCAAGTAACTTTCCTGTACTGCCAATAGAGTTTTAAAAAGAAGCTAATTAAATGAGTTTTTATCCTGTGAGATAGAAACTTTTAATATAACTGAGTAAAACTTACTTTTTACCATAGATCTGCCAAATAGCTGCCTGTTGGACATGTGCTGCAGAGTTCAAGTCACCTAATGCCTTCTGAGAGTTGATGATATTGATTTGGGTAAGGTTTTGTAGAACTCTGATGAAAAAAAAAGTGATGTACACAAATACAAAGCTTTGATATTGTATGTCTTGATAGTTTGTACATGAAATCAAAAATATCAATGAGGTAAAAAATTGACCAAGTTTTAAAGCTATCTCAGGAAATAGAGCAGATTGCAATTTGAAAGTCCAGATGTAGAGAAAGACCTATTCTGTCTTGTCACAAGTGTGGGACAAGGAAAAAATTCTGAGTTCCCATAAGGAATCAAACCTCAAACCTTGAGATAAATGCAAAGCTTTGATCTTTCTTCATTTCTTTTTACAAGTTCAAAATACACCATCTTTCATATTCTATTTACAGATGCTTAAAGTATCTCAAGAAAAATTTGTATCTTCACATCCACAAAAATAAGATAAAATTATTCTTGAAGCTTAAAGCCAAGTTTTAAGTCATTGTCATGCGCATCCAAAATTCTAACACCTAAAATTACATAATGCCATATCTTACTTAGGGGGTGGTACTCCAGCCATGGCATCATACTGACAGTGATTCAACATTCCAAGAGAAGTCAAGTACTGAACAATAAAAGTGATTAAAAACAAATAAGGTGAAGTATACATTTAAGAAATACAAAGCAAACACTAACAACAATATACCTGAGTGTAGGAATCTCAAAATGCAGTTTTATTTTTAACAAGTCTCAATGCTGGTGTTTCTCAAAGATCTAATTAAAAGTAACTTTGTGTCTCTGAATGCATAAGAAAGACTGGTTCTCCTTTTTTGTGACTGTCTGTAAGTTGTATTTCACACAGCATTTCTTCAATATAATTTTATAAACTGGGAGGTATATACCACTTCAAGATAAAGGATGAAAAATAATTCCAAAATACGCCTTAATTCTACTTACAGGAATTTTGAGCTCAGCAGCCCTTGCAACAAATCTGTCCAACAAAAGCTTTGCTTGAGAACTGCCATCCATTTCTAACCGATAAAGCCATCCCTGAAGAAGCCAGAAATCATCATATCTCATGAAATAAAAAAAGTATTATAATACTGAAAATCATACTCCTGTCAAAAGTCTAGTATACAACATTGTATAAAAAACTTTCTTTTCTATATGGAAAATTTGATTGTTCCTACAAACCCAAGCTATGAACCATGATTTTTACTATGTAGTCAGTAAACATTTGGCAAATAAACTGCTTGATTTTTGGCTTTAATATTACTGAACAGAACTAAACAATGGTGAAATGTAACTTGCCAAACAATGCTCCAAACAAACATGATCATTGGTTTCCTGTGCAATTTGAATGGCTTCCTTCAAAGCTGCTAGTGCTTCTTCCCTGAAAAACAGTTTGGAATTCCAATCATCTCACCAAATAGTAACAATATTTAACCATCCTTACAGAAATAGAAAGTCTTGTGTAAACGTTTGTTCCAAGGGTTCTGTTCATTACATTAATTTGTTTAATAGCCTTACATGATAAGTATAAAAACAAGCCTGACTCATGATCACATAGCTACAGACTGAGGTGTATCCCAGTTTCTATTAATAGCATTGAGTGTCTGGGTGTATCTCCATTCTCTCTCTAGATGGGATGCTACTTTATCTCAGGTTGCCCCAAGTATTTTGCTGGAGGTTTACTTATTGATCCTCTCACTCCCAGTAGTGACCAACAATCGATTTCTACTTACAGTAACCATAATTTTTTAAGCAGAGAGGTCAAGGGAAGAAAGAAAAACACCAACAAGGTGATACTCCTTGATTAAACATCAAGTTCTCAGAACTAAAATCATAAGCAATATATGGAGAAGCTACAAAGAATTACTATTTAGATATTTGTGGGAAAAAGGGTTAATACTCCAAGGTGGATAGGCACAATGACAGCAGCATTGCACCCAAGGTCTTGAACTATCTCTTTCTCAATCCAGAGTCCATTGCCCCAATAATTAGTCCTCCCTCTAACCAAATGCTTCTCCTGTACACTCAGTAGGAGACTATATTGTAGGTTCAAAAAGGACTGAAAAGAGATTTCACAAGAATTGACAGCAGAGGAGGGTTGGCTAAATTATTTCCAGATGCAACATGACCACAGAAAGTCTTCCACATGACTGACACTTACAATATATAAAATCTGTGTTACATGACACCCCAGTCTACATACCTGTGACCAAATTGGCAGTGGAGTGCAGCCAGGTTCAAGGCAGCATATCTGAATCTGTGGCACCTCTCAGGCTCTGTTCCTTCCGAACTTGAGGCTATTTTTATGGCTGACTCCCTGTGCCATTGTTGTTGATCAAAATAATGATAGAGACTGTCAAGTGCTCCCTTAAATTCCTTGGCTCTTAGACAGTTGAGAAAAGTTGCATAGTGCTGTTGATAGAGAAACACATAACTAGATGATTTTACCAATTGTTTTATAATCAGTTCCAAGGATCTTGCTCATGATAAAAAAGTATAAGTATGCAAGACACATCTGATAAAATTATGAATCCATCATAAGGACTGGCTCACCAACAAGTTCTCTCTAGCTCACCTAGTAAAGGATCTAACAACAACTTCAGAGCTGTAGTTCTGTCTCTATTGTTTCTTTAAAAGATTTATAGATGAACATAAAAGACTTACAGTCTCAGCAATGTCAGGAGAAGCTGTTAAAATATCTGCTATCCTTAACTGCAATTCATGGGGTGGTAAGGCTTCTTGTTCAGTGGTCTGTATCAGAGACACCTTGAAAAAGAAAAAAATAAATGTGACTTGTGGTGGGTAATAATCCCTTTCCCTATGCTCAAATGCCCCACAAACATCTAGAATCTGAGAAAAAACATAACTTTTATTGCAGTTTACTTATTATTATGTATTGTACAGTAGTAAGTGTTGTGATTCAATTTTATCCCTGGTTGAAAGTTTATTTTCAATTGATTGTACAAGCAAAAAGCCTAAACACTAATAAAAGTCAATAAAATTTAAACCCCCAAAAAATTTTTATAATTAAAAACCAAAATGAGGTTTAACCACAACAAATACACATGAAACCCATGCAGCCCTAATATGAGTTCCCTCTTACTAACTAAAAAAACATATTTCATAAACATCTCAGAATTCATCTCTTGACAAACACTTCCCTAACAGCTTCACTAACCTTGCATTTTTTTTTCATATTTGAGATATTGTAAACTCAATAGGTAATTTTGTGAAGAATAAATTGCATGTTCCATTGGACTAATTACACCAAAGAAATCTATTAATCATTTGAATTGATCACCCTCAAATGTTTCATCAATTTGAGATTTCCAATTTACTAGTTTATATATACTTTACAAAATTCAACTAATGGATCTCCACTTTCCATCAAAGGCTAAGTGACAATAAATGTATTATGTTACCTGATTTGCCAGAAAAAACTCTGCTTGCCTGTTTGTAACTGGACCATGGAGGACAGGATTTCTAAAAGCATCCAGAGAAATTACACATCCTTATTCAATAAGTAAATAGTATACTAGTCTAATAAGCATGGCTAAAGATATGAAGTTTTAGACACATCTATTCTGACATAGGGACTACTCTATCATTTCATCACTGACACAAACTGAACCAGTAAATAAAATGTAAATATGTAATATGCTCTTGTGGTGTGTCATTCCCATTTCTTGTGCTGGTAAATACAACTCCTAGATTATAAAAGATGTATATCAGAAACTAGAATCTAAAATGCTAGAAATGTTTTGAAAATGACAAAATTATTACTTCTAAAACTTTTCTGCACTGCATCAGTTGCAATCTCAAAACAGCAAGAGATCCTCAGACTTTCTTATACACCCTACTCCCCTCCTCACCCCCCAAAAAATAAGAAGCTTTTCTTGATGATGATGATGAAAACTTGGCTATCCTAACAATTCTGATATTCCAATCAAGCAATAAAATGGAAAGATTTGTTGAACACCAGAAATGATGATAGTTCTCTTTAGAAACATGCTTCTGTTATATAAGTACCCAAGCATAGTCTTTTCTATTCAGTTGATATACCCCCCCTTCCATCTGTTTCTACCCTATAATAACAAGGGAAATCACTCAGCAGCCAAGAAACACCAAAACCATTTAGCTAACCTAGACATGTTGATAACTTTTCCTTCATCTTCGGTTTCTGTACTCTGCATGCTAACATCTAAACTGGTATCCAATGCCTCCTCATCTGCACTATGTTTAAATGTTTCCGTCCCCATATAAACTTTCATCTGATCCACAAAATGACTCACTTGACCAAATGTCATCTTGTTAAATGATAAAGTCATCCTTCTCGTGAAAAGACCTTCAGATCAAAGTCAAATAGTCATCATAAACTGAAATTATCTTGGAGGAATAAAATAGGTAATAAATTTAAAGAAATACAGTGATTCTTAAGTTTAATAAGATCACATTTTTTTTTCTCTGTACCAGTAGGATCCTCACCATATCCTGTGATAGATCTTGACTCTCAAAATTTTGTCATTGACATCAAATGTACCAATTTCAATTTTTAAGCACAATACATACCAAACAGGCTCTTCTTATGCAAAGCAGGCTCTTGTCCAGTTAACAGGTCCTCCAGTGACTGAAAGAATTCTGAAAGGCCAGACACTCCAGTCTTCACACAGTTTTGTAAACTACATGGTATAAAGCAGAAGTAGAATATTGTTAAAAAAGGTTGCTGTAAGTCATCATAGAGAATAAAATTGTAGTATAGTATAAAAATTTTACCCTTTATGTCCCACCAATGACTGAGACCAAGTAATGAGAATAAAGAAAAATAAAATATCAATTAGGGGATTATTGGTAGATCCAATTCCAAATTCTCCAAACTAACATCATATGAATTGTATGACAGACTAATGAGATCTTGAGAGTTAAAGGGTTAAGTCATGATAAAGTCACTTTCAATATAGACTGAAAAGTACGAAATAAAACCAGTTCCTTGTTCATACACATGTAAACAACTGGGAGAAATTAAGAAAACGATGAAAACACTTGACTACAACCCAGAGAGGGTTGTATATAGGAGCAATGAATAAAGTGGGTAGAGGGTAAGTTTCTAAATAAACTGTTGGTGGTGCTGCAAAGCTAGAAGAGTATAATAAGGCTTTATCGCCTCAGTTGATAAATAATTATGTAAATTGGTCACCATAACAAGTTTCAAAGCTTATTTTTTTTCAGCATTAGCCCTTCCTCAAAGAAAATGGAGACTTGTGGGCTGTGTGTATGTTTATACAGTTATTTCAATTTACGTTGTCGGATCAAAGCTTCAAGGGTACGATAGTTCTTGGTGACATCCATAAAGCAGCTGCAACCTCATCCACTTGAAACCCCAACATTTCTTTCATCCAAATGGCTCGCCATCGGAGATCTTCGCTGTATGGAGGCATTGTTAATTTTGCTGATAATTATTCATTAAGATCCCATATTCCCCTTCGGTCTTGTCTTGTAGGCTTGAGGCTTTGATCTGACAACGTAAATTGAAATAGCTGTATGTATCTAAAGGGTAAACACTTGAAATGTGTGCTTTGATACTCTTTGCAGTGGCCAATTTATATCATCAACTCAGTTGATAAAACCTTAATTATCTGTTTGTAGAAGCAGACAGCTTCCTTGATGCCTGAAGTTTTCTGTTTTTGTTCAGCTAAATTTTCTTGGTAACTGTTACCAGGGTCACAACTCAAAACTGAACTGACAAGAATCTTTGAGAATCCCAAAGTGAAACTTGATACTCAGTCCCACTAACCACTACCTGATTAAAAACTTCAAGAAATCCATTTTCAGGTTTACAAATCTTTTTTTCAATCAGCAATGCAAAGGGTGGAGAGGGTGGGAGGAACAAAAGACTCCCTGTAAAGCCTCTGATTGTAACCTGCATTAAGTCATTGCAGAGCCTTTTACCTACAGACAGGTGTTTTTCAGTTCAGGAAACACTCTTCAATAAGATTCTTTCATAACCACGACATTTTACAAGCCCCAAGAAGTGGTTGTTTCCCTGATGACAAGGTCTCAACCTTCCCAAAAAGTCAAGGTAACTAAGGAGAGGCTTCATTTCCACCTTCATCCCTTAAACCTTTGATCTCTTGGAGTGACTGGCAAATGATATGTCCTTATAATATAAACCCTGCATCACACATTAGGGTCACAAAATTAGAGGAAATGATCCCAAAAGATAGAATCTCTGATTGTTAAACATATTCTCCATGTCAGCACCTTAACCTTTTGGCTCTCAGGAGTGATTGACATGTAACTTCTCCCTATAATATCCATACCTTATCCAGCAAAGAGATAGTGAGAATTGTCAAACTTATCAGGTGCAGGTTGTTGTCTTGATCTAACACCAAATTCTCATAACTAAGTTACAGGGAAATGTGTAGCAGCTAGAGGGGAGAATTGACAATCAGATCTTGGGAGTTAAAGGGTTAACAAATGTATGGAGAACATATAAACCCTGCATACACATTTGGGTCACAAAATTAGAGGAATATGATGCTCTACAAGATAAAATCAGTCTGATTGTTAAACATATTCTCCATGTAAAAACGAATCTATAAAACGCAAGCTCACGTCTGCATGAAGCTTTATTAAAAAATAACTAAATTAATTAATAGTGTAGTTTGATCGTCCGGGTGAGTGTAGTCCTGAGAAGGATTGTTGTCGGTAGTGGTGACTGACGTTTCGACAACCTGAGCGGAAGTCATCATCAGAGTCAAGTGAAAGGTTGTTGTTCGACTGACTCATTCGACTGACAACAACTATTACATGTTACCCCCGGGTTCAAACCATTTACTGTATTAAATTAATTAAGTCGTCTGACCTTTTCAGAAGCAGATCCTTAAGGCCAACATCCACCGCAGTAAGCCGCTTGCACAACTCGTTTAATTCCAAATCTGGAGTCTGAAAGCGAAAAATAGTGGTTGCACAGTATTAACACTTACCACTGCGATAGTTAGATCAAGCAACCTCTCATAACATAGTTACAAAGGTAGATGAAGTACATGCATCTACGTGTACTATACCTCAAACAATTCCAATAAAAGCAAGGATAGTTTATATCTGCATCTTTTCATACATTCTAAATCTTCTTCGTCTTCCTCATCGGTGGAGCCCATGAGCTTGATGAAAATCAAAAGAGATACCTTGTGAGGAGAAACCCAGTCTTTTTGTGACTTTGTCGCCATTTTGAAAGTTCTCCTATTTGAACATTAGCGCCAACCTCTCGAGCTCAACTATTTAGGGAGGGGTAGGTAAAAAAAAACCTCTTACATTGCCTAGAGGGGTAAAAGACTGACCCTTTCTCATTCAAACAAATACTTACCCATAAGTTCAATTTTAATTTGAATATTGTAAAGGGAATGGTGAAAAAAAAACTTAATTCTATATTTGAATCAAGGTGAGTTTCATTTGAGATAGTTTTACCTACCTCCTTCCTACTGAGTCAAATATGAAACTACCCAGAAGCCCTGGCGAGTAGCGTTCAAAACGACAATGAAAATGGCGGCTGAATCATGGAAAAGAGTTGGTACATGACATCAAGCACGAATTTGTGGCTTGTCTATCAACGAAAACGATTTTCGTAGAATGATTTTTACGCTCAAAGAAGTCATAAAATGGCTGGGACTATCGATCTTCGAGCTGTGGCTTCATATAGTGGCAATTTTTGTATTTTCAGTTCTGGTTGCCGTGAAATTGGAAGGCGGAACTTTATCATGGTGGACAGTGTTTGTTCCTTTGTTTGTGTGCGATGGATGCGTGGCTTACTTCACAGCTATCGTTTTCATAAGACTCTGTTTGATAGGTGATCGACGTTTAGCGGGAAAAAGAACGGCGTGGAGCTTATTACTGTTAACTTTGTTGTTAAGTTATAAGATACTTCTCTGTCATCGACTTGAAAACTACATTGTTAGAGATTATGCTGTTATACACGTTCCCCTGTTCCTTCTCTTATTGGTCCTCGCTGTACGAGCTTGTCAAGTCGACTGCTAATGATCGAAGTGAAATACTCCAAGTCAGCATGATCATACGTTCGAACTTCATATTACTAGCACAGCCACATCACGTGATGAAATACAGAGGGCAACACGGCGATCTATTGACATTCGTAGATGTAGAAGTTGAAGTCAAGGTACCATCCATGCATGCGATCTCGACAAATACAAATATCTGATTCGCGCATTTAAGTAATTGTGACCACATTACTCTGTACATTGAAACGCGTTAAACGGAAAATTGTCATTAGAAAACAATGTATAGGTTACCGGCTATGGATTTATTTGACAGCTGTCCATTTAGAAAGCTGAAATCGAGGAAATGCGTTGTTTCCATTTAAAGTTAGTCGTGTACATTTGCCAAAATAGAGTTAAATTGAATTAATAAAATTTTCAACACAGGAAAGTAACAAATAAAGTTTGTAAATAGATCATTTTGACATGATTGACCTTACATAGTCTGATCAGAATTAATTTCTTCTTTCATAAAGAAAAGAAATAGCAGAAGAGACTGGGGTTTCTTTCTGTGGGCAAGCTAGTCGTGGCATGGTGATGCAGTGTTAGTTAAGAGTCAGCCCAGATCAGTTTTGTCTGTGTGAAGTCCCAGGAAAATACTTTAAACAACTATGTCTATGGTGAATTGGTTATTGTTATGATCCCTTTTACAAATTGATTTCATGTTGCTGTGAGTCTGTTCAGTAATACATCACAGATTATGTCAAAGTGTGGTAAGAACAAAAAAAGAGGCACACTTGATGCAGCAGAGTGTGTCACTCATGTTCTTACCATATTTTGGTGTCTTTAGTGGTCTATTACTGTACAGACCCTTGGTAACATGGAATGTATTTGTTCTTTATGATAAGGAAGCAAATTATTGTTAATGGTTAAGTCAATTATTCGTCCATTCTGTTATAAATCATGAGTAAGAGCCAATCAAAACAAGTGTATCATACAGCTTATCATATCAGTTTTTATCACCACTGGCTGCTTTCCACATCATTATTACTATCATTATTGTAACAGAAAGAGAGGCATTACATCATCATGTCATATATTCTTATTTGCAGAAAAAAGGACACCTTGACAGCATGAACCATAAACAGTGTACACCAATGGATTTATTGGCAATGTTCACACATATACACAATATGTGATTTAATTTTTCCATTCATTTATGAGGATTATTTCTCCCAGGAAGGCATGGCCAACTACCTGTTATTATCATGTACCTGCACAAGGTCATCATATCTCATCTCATATTGTTAATACTTTCTGGGTGTAAAATTTTTTCAGCAGGGTGTATTTTCCAACCTATGCTGAGCTACTGTACTGTACAGCTTCTTTCCCTAACCCTTTAACTCCCATGCATGACCAAGACAGAATTTCTCCTTACAATATCAATTCAATATCAACAGATGAGTGATGAGAATAAAGAGAAATATCAATTTGGGGATATTTCGCTGATCCAATACTAAACTCTCTGAACTAATATTATAAGAATTGTATGGTAGACAGTAAGGAGAATTACAAATTTGATCTGGGAGTGAAAGGGTTAACACTGACCCTTGATCAGAAATGGTGTACAGTTAAGTGTGCACAATGACATATTTTTCTTTAAGGTTTCCATTTTGGAAAGTCGGAATCATTGGATCTAGTAAGTATAAAGGGCACACTCAGGCCAAGTAAAAATTTCCCTTGATTGGAAGCGATCTCTCCATTAAGGTTATAGAAGCATTTTCTTTGGCTAGGATCAAACCTTTTGCCCCTGAAGGAAGATCTGTCTCTAAAGAGGTAAATTTTAGCTCAAAAGCAGATGGCTCATGCAGTCAGAACCAGTTTCAGTATAACCACTCCTGATAATGCAGGATATCAATCAATCACAGGGTGACCCAATCAATCACAGGCTTCATAGGTTCCCAGACAGATAGCTTGTGCCCATTTATAATCCTGAGTAGATAAAGGTACCGGTACTGAGAAAATAAAGGATGTCTTGGGGTGGAATACACCAGCAAAATGACCCATGCTAGTCTCAAGACAGAACCTTTTGATCACTAACCTTAAGCACTAACCCATAGGTCTTCATGTCTTCCTGAAACGTAACGGAAAATGAAAAAAATGTATCCCAAATAATAGGTTCGGCTATAACGTGATATTTTACATTCCCTGCAACCTCATTTTGCCACCTGGAAAACTAAAAAGGGAGTGTGTAGCCTAATAACCAAATTCAAGTCACTATAGAGGCTCTCCTTGCACACAACAGTATCATTTAATTAAGTACGATAGGGACGACTGAGCTAACATACAGTACTAGCTTTTTTTTCTGTTTCAAATTGGTTTAAAGGTAAAGCTAGCTTATGATCTAGAATTAATGTTAGGTCTTGATCCAGGTAAATGATTAACTGGAATGAAATGGCTGATCAGGAATTCCTTTTCGGCAGACCGTGGAATCTGTTTTCTCGCACCATCGGGAAAGACGCACGACTTCAAAGCATCTAGTTGCGGACAAAAAAGAAATAGAGAGCAAGAAAAAGTTAACTAATCTCAAGTCATAAAACATCGAAATTGAAACTTATGAGATCAAACAAATAACTAAATATAGATGAATGTCTACGAATGATAAAATGTCCCAAGTTTACCGACAAATTAACGGAAGTTGAAGTTTACACGTTGATTCCTGAGGTTTAAGTTGTCAATTTTTTTTTTCTTGGAAATGACAGAAAATTGTCAGTATCCAGCTCTACGAAGTAGTTCGTTGTTACTCAGGTCATCACATTCAGAGGATTCCCAGTAAACCGAAAAAACCCTGATATGCCCGCTCCCTTATCCACTCCGAACAATTCAATTTCCCGATGAACACGGAGTTTACACAACGGAAAACCATCATACTCTGGTAATACGAAGCGAAGGCGGTGGTTAAGGTTGGGGAAATTTGTTTGTTCGGCCTCCCATCGGAAGCGCTGCTTTAAAATGAACATGAATAACTTAAACAAAAATGACAGAGATAGTAGGCGGATGTGACTCTATATTTCATGATTTTAGTAGTGACTAGAAGGAGAGCCAGGAACAAACGTAATGCCTGAACGCCACGCACTCAGAGAATATAACACTCGCGAGAGTCTCGTGTAGCGCGCAGACACGGGCTTAAGTCCACACAAAATCCACGCTTCTCAGAGGCTAATGAGTGACAGAGTGTCAGTTTCCTTGACCTAGAGACACAAGAAGGAAAAAGATATGTAATATTTTACAAGTGGCTCACTTACAATTTCCAGGAAACAGAGAAAAGTTCCTGGCTAATCGCGTATTATATGATCATGTCCCTTTTTCTTCGTTAGATGGGACGTAACGATACTTAATGTTAAAAGGGTAAAGTTTCCAAAGAAACTGTGGTGCTACGTCGGTGGGGAATATACCAGGGTAATTCAGCATTATCAACAGCGTTGATAACGCAAGTTGGCCACCATAAAGAGACATTTCGAGCGTTAGCCCTTCGTCGGAACGATATACTTAACGTTAGGCTTAGAAAGATCGTTACGTCTGTGATGTCTATATAGCTACTAATGTGCATACCGTGTACGATTTTGCATTTTGGACCCTAGTAACCGATTTTGGATTGTGGACCCAAGTGGCCGATTTTGCATCTTGAACACTAGTGTCCGATTTTGCATTTGAGACACCAGTGGCCAATTGTGGATTTTCGACACTAGTGTCCGATTTGGGATTTTGGACCCTTGTGGCCCATTTTGGATTTTAAACACTGGTGGCCGATTTTGAATTTTGGACACTAGTGGCCAATTTAAGATTTTAGACAGTAGTGTCTGATTTGGAATTTGAACACTAGCGGCCGATTTTGGATTTAGTGGCCTATTTTGGATTTCGGACCCTGGTGTCCAATTTCAGATTTTGAACCCCTGTGGCCGATTTTGGATTTGGACACTAGTGTCCTATTCGGAATTTTGGACCCAAGTGTCCCATTTGGAATTTGGACACTAGTGGCCGATTTGGGATTTTGGACCCTAGTGGCCAATTTGGGATTTTGGACACTAGCGTCCAATTTGGAATTTTGGACCCTAGTTTTCATTTAATCGCCAGATTGAGGAGTTATGCAAAAAGTTGGCGAAACATATTGGACTCCTTCGTCACATAAGTCCATATTTAAAACGCAGTCAACGAGACATATACTACTCTAAGATCATTAAACCTATAATGCTTTACAGCAGTAAGATCTGGACTTCTTGCAGTAAAGAAAATCTTTTGAAATTTCTGCGTCTTCAAAAACGCGCGGCTAGAAAAATTCTCGATGGCCAAAGAACAACACCTTCTGTCGGCTTATTTAACTCCCTAAAGTGGATTCCCTTTTATGCTGAATCATATTTAAATCGAAGCGATTTAACCTACAAAAGGCTGAATGGCAATACCCTGAATATATAAATGATTTACATATCAGAAACTCTGACACAAATATAATAGATCAACCCGTTTCTGCAATCTTAACTTAGGTTGCCCTCGATATAAGAGAAGTAAGGAAGGTGGTCGAACGTTCGCTGTGAGAGCAACAAAGGAATGGAAAAAACTAAGTGTGGACCTCAAACGGAGTACTAGTGTCCCAAACGTAAAGCGTTTCCTTTTTAAAATAGTTTCAAATAATCAAATTCTTACGCAATTATTCATGTAAATTTTATAATCTGTATATAACCACATTTTATAATCTTATTATGCGATGTACAAAGGCTTATATACTATTTTAATTACAATTTATATTGTTACAACTATTGCTATCAGTTTGTTTTGTTTTTTGAGGGCCATTAGGTTATCAGTTTTATTACTGTCAAATGTTACCCTCAAGGGGGACGCATAAGGGACGCAAGTGGCGATTTTGGATATGGCACACTAGTGGCCGATTTTGAATTTTGGAGACTAGTGGCCGATTATGAATTTTGGACACTAGTGGCCGACTTTGGACTTTGGATTTTGGACCTAAGTGTTCGATTTTGGATTTTGTTCACTAGTGCACCATTTTTAGATTTTGGACACTAGCGTTTAATTTTGGATTGTGGACCCAAATTTTGGACACTGGTGTCTTATTTTGCGTTTCGGACACTAGTGGCTGATTTTGCATTTCGGACGCACGTGTCCGATTTTAGATTTTACACACTAGTGGCCGATTTTGAATTTGGACACTAATGGCCAATTTTAGATTTTAGCCATTAGTGGCCGATTTGGTATTTTGGCCAACAGTGGCCGATTTGGTATTTTGGCCACTAGTGGTCGATTTTGCATTTTGAACGTTAGTGGCTGATTTCCTATTTCGGCCACTAATGACCGATTTTGTATTTTGGCCACTAGTGGCTGGTTTTGCATTTTGGTCCTTAATGGCCGATTTCCCATTTTGGCCACTAGTGGCCGATTTGGTATTTTTGCCACTAGTGACCGATTTGGTATTTTGGCCAACATTGGCCGATTTGGTATTTTGGCCAACAGTGGCCGATTTTCCATTTTGGCCACTAGTGGTCGACTTCGTATTTTAGCTAACAGTGGCCAATTTGGTGGTTTGGCCACTAGCGGCCGATTTTGCATGTTAGCCACTAGTTGCCAATCTGGTATTTTGGCCAGTAGTGGCCGATTTTGTATCATGGCCAGTAGTGGCCGATTTTTTATTTTGGCCACTATTGGCTGATTTTGTATTTTCGCCTTAAGTGGCCGATATGGTATTTTGGCCACTAGTGGCAGATTTTGTATTTTGGCCACTAGTGGCTGATATGGTATCTTGGCCACTAGTGTCCGATTTCGTATTTTGGCCACTAGTGGCCGATTTTTTATTTTGGCCACTAGTGGCCGATTTTGTATTTTGGCCACTAGTGGCCGATTTGGTATTTTGGCCACTAGTGTCTGATTCTGTATTTTGGCCACTAGTGGCCGATTTTGTATTTTGGCCACTAGTGGCCAATTTTGTATTTTGGCCACTAGTGTCTGATTTTGTATTTTGGCCACTAGTGGCCGATTTGGTATTTTGGCCACTAGTGTCTGATTTTGTATTTTGGCCACTAGTTGCCGATTTTGTATTTTGGCCACTAGTGGCCGATTTTGTATTTTGGCCACTAGTGTCTGATTTTGTATTTTGGCCACTAGTGTCTGATTTTGTATTTTGGCTACTAGTGTCTGATTTTGTATTTTGGCCACTAGTGTCTGATTTTGTATTTTGGCCACCTGATTTTGTATTTTGGACAGTGGCCTAGCATTTTGGCCCTATTTTGGATTTTGGACGATGATGTCCGATTTTGGCCACTACTGATTTTGTATTTTGGCCGATAGTGTCTGATTTTGTGGACTAGTGTCTGATTTAGTGGCCGATTTTTTATTTTGGCCACTAGTGTCTGATTTTGTATTTTGGCCACTAGTGTCTGATTTTGTATTTTGGCCACTAGTGGCCGTTTTTGCATTTTGGCCACTAGTGGCCGATTTGGTATTTTGGCCACTACTGCGTATATACTGGCTGATTTTGTATTTTGGCCACTAGTGTCTGATTTTGTATTTTGGCCACTAGTGGCCGATTTTGTATTTTGGCCACTAGTGGCCGATTTTGTATTTTGGCCACTAGTGGCCGATTTGGTATTTTGGCCACTACTGGCTGATTTTGTATTTTGGCCACTAGTGTCTGATTTTGTATTTTGGCCACTAGTGGCCGATTTTTTATTTTGGCCACTAGTGTCTGATTTTGTATTTTGGCCACTAGTGTCTGATTTTGTATTTTGGCCACTAGTGGCTGATTTTGCATTTTGGCCACTAGTGGCCGATTTGGTATTTTGGCCACTACTGGCTGATTTTGTATTTTGACAGAGCCCCATGGGGTCCTTTTTATATTTGTCTTAAGTTTACCACTATTCTGGATTGTTACGAGTCGATATTCTTTAGCGCAGTTCTTCCTTAGATTTTTTTTTAAAATACACGCTATTGGAGAGGACGTTTTCCTTTTCTAGATAAGCCTCTCCGATACTTGGCCTGGGTTAGTAAAAGTAGAATATTAGGCTACAAGCATGATTGCACGATTTTTTCTAAGTTATACTGAAAATAATTTTAACTATAACACCAATTTTCTTAAAGTACGCTTTTCAAGAAACAACCACAAAACATATCCAAATTGTATATATTTATTTTTGATAAAGCGTTTCTTCTCCTTGTCCCTAATAAAACACAACTAGCTACTGCTATTTTAATTTGTTGCCTGTGAAATTGAGAACTGGGACGTACCGACACAATCCACACTTCCCGCTGTACGTAGCCCTCTGGACGACGGCGACCGACCCTAAGACATTGCAAAATTGAAAGTAGACTAAACAATGGACTAAACTTGAAATTAATCAATCATAGAGACCAAGCAAATCATGAATCTAGTAAAAATTTCCATTTAAAAAAAAAATTGCTGATTATCCTAGCAGTGCTAGTCTTATAAGAAGAGCCAAAATCATGCTCATTGTCTCAAATTATGCCAAATATTATACCAGCACAAGTTATAAGGGCCTGCACACATTCCATCAGGGAAGATTATGGAATCTGTTTGTTTGCTCGGTAGTTTGTGACAGCCATCCCGTCAGTGGCTGACTTCTATTTGCGTCATTTTGCCTTGACTCGTTCACATGCAGTGACCCAAATTTCCTTTCCTTCTTGGGTGAAGTTTTATTGTTTTGACTTTGCATTTTTTATTAGGTTGGCTGTATTCCTTGACATGGACCCAGTGATCAACAGATTGTAAATTTCGTCTTCAAATATATTTGTTGGTTTGGTTCGTAGACGTCCATTTTATATCTATTATTATTATTATCTTTTTTTCATTTTTTGATCAGATGATTTCTTTTATTTTTTAACTTTTTACTCATGACCTGAGATCAGTTTTTTTTTCTTTACCTCATTCCTTTGTCCGATAATAGAAATTTAAAACTGTGGTCTGACAGGACAATAAACTCAATTACTTAGAGACATTTTTGAGATTAATTTATTGAAATACTATACCACATCTTTAAGAACATATTAAGAACGTTTTCAGGCTCAAATAGTGATAAGAAATTAAGAACGTTCAGCCTCAGCCCCAAAATTAGACATCCTGACAAAAAAATAGGGGTTTTTTTCATACCATGACGATTATTTTTTTAAACCATGATTGTCGAAGTTTTTTTTTTTGGTACAAAAAACTGTTTAAATCTTCCATTTTCTTTTTGTCCAGAACGAACGCCACACAAAAGAAAAAGTTGGCTGATCTGGCAAATTCTATAGTGCTTTCGTTTTTCGTTGGATTAAATCTTAATCCACCCCAGCCCGTACCGAACTCTATTCGTCCACGCAAACTCTACCCCTGTCTCATTTGAGATAACTCACGCTTCTAGGATGTCGCAAAAATATTTTAAGAATAAATCAGGCAACACGACAGCTCACATCTTGGGTGCAGGGGTGCTCTCTGGAACATTCTAAAGGCCCCTCATCACATTCTACTTAAAACGTGATCGTTCTCACTTTCCTCACTCGACGTGGTCAGTCAAGTAGAACGTCACTTTGTTTGTCAAATAATATTTCGAGGGAATCTCGGGTAAAATCTCCCTTGCTTTCGTAGCTGTCGCTCATCAATGACAATATTCGTTCAAAAATTTTTGCTTTTGTTTTAAAAATGCTTTTTTTCCGCAACAGAATCGTTCGGGAAAATTATTGTTAGCAACGCGGCTTAAGTACGTGACGTAGGCTATATTTGTTAATGTCAACAGTTGTAAAATTGACAATTCATGATGATACCTATTGTCTGTGAAAACCAATGGTAAGCGGTAACGAGTTCCCAGGTTCTTCGGGCTTCAGGCATTGCACCACGTGAAAAGCAAGGAAGTCTTTCGCTGAGTTGTAATTGTGTGAATGGTGACGAATGGTGAGTTCTGGGTGCCGAAGATTTCTCACATGCAGAGATCTGCTTCTCCTAGAGGTGTTCGTGTTGGGAAATCGTTTTTCGAACTGTGGGCTGTCTTTTTGAGGAGGAACAGCGAACGAAACGCTTCGTGCAGATATCGTAATGAAATCAGCTCAGACGAAGGTAAATTTCTTGAATTAGTTAATGTCTAATTCTGTTTTATTAGTTTGGTCCTAGTATTCGACCAGCAATTATACAAAAAACGTTGGAAAACTTGAGTCTCTTACGGAAAGGGTTTTCAACTAGTTTCCTCTATGGTGGTATACCCTAATAGTTTTAATGTCTTCTTTCGAAAGTATTACTGTTGCTGTTGTAATGATAAAAAAAACATTCAAGCTGTTCTTTCTAAGACTTATATGACAAGCGATGTCTGACACGATCGTTCAGATTTGCTTTCCTTCCCCAGTGTAAAACGTGGAGAAAAAGGAAAAGAACGTTTAAGTTTTAATTAACAGTCTGCTTACATGTAGTTTCGTTTCCCGTTTGCCAATTCATGGCCAGCGCGTACGCGCGCTTTCCCGTAAATCTTCAAAAACCTCTATCAAATTTTGGCAAAAGCGTGGGCCTAACTGTAGTTGTTAATTGCATCGATTTTATGAAATTAGGGCTCCACTCGCTCTAGACCGAGAATTTTATTGAGAAACAAATTGAAGCCATATTTCTTCACGACTTTTTTCTACTACAGCTTAGATTGCGAAACCCTATTTGTTTGTTATTAGTATTTGTCTTTTCATTTTCCGAGCGAAATTACATTTGAAGTCTGGTTTTTATTTCTCAGATCACCGATGAAAAGGAGGAGAATCAGAACATCACGGTCGATGGAAAGTTTTCATTCGAAAACGATAGCCATCTTCGAACAGTCTTCGATGCTCTAAACGAACAACGAAACAGCACGCGCTTTTGTGATGCAGTGTTGAAGGTTGGCGAACGAGAGATTAGGGGCCACCGATCTATTTTGGTCGCAGCCGTACCTAAAATCCTCGATAGACAAGTCAAGAAAGGTGATACCGAGTTTATAGTCGATTTGGAAGGGTTAGATCCTAACGCTGTGGAAGTTTTGGTGGAATTTGTGTACACGGGCAAGCTCCTTGTCACTTCAGACGGCGTTCTGAACTTATTCCAAGCCGCCAAAAGTCTTGGCATGAAACAAGTTCAGGACTCATCGGAGAAGTTTATTCTCGAGAAAATTCTTCCGCTGAATTGGATTGCTCTGAGATCGTTCGCGGAGGGAAACGACTGCCCTAATTTGATGACGGCAATCGACGAATTTATAGCGCACAACGTGGAGGACATCTTCCATAAGAAGGACTTTTTCCAGTTACCTCGGCTGCAGATCGAACTTGCAACTACAAATAACAGACCAGAAGAAAACATTGATCCGGTAAATCTTTGCCAAATGGCCTTAACGTGGGCACAGAAGCAGCTAGAGGTGAGGAATAAATCTTGTAGGCGTTTCTATATTTACTTGTGAGCACTTCCTTCACCTGCCGCTTTTTGACAGCAACGTTCATTCTTGTTATGGACGTTTATTGACAATTTGAATTCTGCCTTGTAGTTTAATCTGGGCAAGAATAAAAAATAAAAATAAAGGAACGATCAGTCAGTTGTTGTAAAAGTGTTGAAAGCCCTTACACTCAAAATTCCACAACGAAAGCAGAACTTAGGAGAGTTTTGGCGCTTTTTGCTCGCTACGCGCCAATTTTCATGTTTCGCGGGAAGATAAATTAAGCGCCAGGTCTTGAAATCCAATATCTTGACTAATCAAGGATTAGGGTAAAATGTTTCAGCAGCTTTCGTGCCTGCCCCTTAGATCTTACAGTGACCTCTTAAAATCTGTTCTTTGTTAATTTTACTTTTTACCTGGATTTTTGTCATTATTGCCATGCCCAAATCGGAAACTACTCTAGCTATTTTATGATATTTTTATGCAAAGTTAGCATAAATTACTACATCAGAACTTGTGAAAATGAAACTCTTTGGAGTAGAATTTTCCCTAACCCCACAAAAATCTTTATAAAGTCAATAAATTATAGCAAATTTTTCCCTTGAAAATACTTTCCTTGAAAATTGTTGTTCCAAAATTTGTACGTCAATGTTTGGATATGGGACAAGCCTCTTCTTTCCAGACACTGGCATGGACTGATTGTAAATTACTGATGATCTGTTTTAGCGAATTAGTAACCTAGGCAATGTATCAGGAAAGAAGGGATTCAAGCCGGAAAAAAAAAGAGAGAATAATGATGAAAATGGAGTAAACTTAATGAAGCAAAATAATATAAAAAACCCCCAAATAGTCAAATACCCTAATTGTTATCCAGAGATCTTTCAACCAGATTTTTTTTTTGATGAGCTGCAGCAGGGCACTCAAAAGAGAAAGACATTGTGTTAATGATTTACATCTGTCAAAGGTTTTATCTTTCTTGCAATTTGCATAACATCAACTATCAAGGCCTCCAGCAGACTTGGTCTTATTTTGAAGAAGCTGCAGCACTTCCTGATTTGTTTTTGTAGGGATCAGTGAACCTGTATGTGTAGCACAAGTTCATGTTTTATGTTTTTGTGGCTTTAAATTGTGGGACATTTCATTAACTTTAAACTCAACAATAATATTATTGAATGACTCCCTTTAAAAACTATATGAAGTTGTTAAATTATTCATGGCATTGAAAACTTTCCTCGAGGCAGTGACATTTTGTGGTATTAGTCTATGTGTGATTAAGCCCTTGCAGTTTTCTTCCAGAGATTAAGAGTTATTTCAGTGATTTTTTATGCTGTTTGAAATGACCAATAGAAAAATTTTAGTATAAGCTGACATCCTCTTAATGCCATTTTCTATCAACTCATCTGAGGAAAATGTAAATTTCTTTCCTATGTCAAACATCACTTTTCCTCTCTGATGATGGGTTGTAAAGTGTACCATGAGATCCATATATTTGACTAACTTTTCCCTATGTAAATGCCTTGGTCAAATTACAAAATTGGATCATTGTGAGAGACAAAATCCTCACTCCTTCTTGTTTTGTGAGAGTGCAATGTTTATTTTTCTTTTAAAGTAGTGAAGTCTGCTTTTATTACCATAAATGTTACTCTTTTTATAGAGCTGGAGTACATTTTCTGCACAGTAGACAATACCAAATGAGAAAGTGGATGTGATAATAACTAAATATGTGAGACTAGACTTTCAGACTTATTTTTGTTTTGTTTTTATTGTCTTATTAAGCATATTGTTTTAGTCTCTCTAAAATAAAGCTTTCTGTTTTGGTTACGTACTATTTCACATAATAGTTGGGTTATTTTACCATTTGCTCTCTAACAGGGCACATAGGTTACCATCTTTTGATGGTTACCTATGTACCTAAATAACCATCTTTCGATCTTTTGCTGCTGCTGCTCCTCAACTATGGAATTCATTGCCCTATGCAATTAGGAGTAGGCCTTCAATAGCATCTTAAAAAAGACACTCTACATTTTTATTTCAGAAAGCTTTTTTGTGATTTTATGTGCCTTTTAATCTTGTTTTTACTAGGTTTTTATGCAGTTTATTGTTACGATTTAAGTAGTCAAGGTAATTTTGAAATATTTTTATTTTTAAGGGCTGATGAAAATAGCAGTATTGATATCGGCACTATATAAGAATTATTATATTATTGTTATTATAAAATCTGACCCTTCTGAACTGATCGACATGTAATAACATACAAACCTGTACTGTTTTTTTTTTTTTTGGTTTATTTTTTTGTGCTAAAAATGAGACATTGGTTTATCAATTGCTATGATGTTTTTGTTTGGCAGCAAGGAAATATCAGCTTGAGAGAACTATTGGAGAAAACCCACATTATGTTCCTGACAGCCAATGAGGAATTAAAAGAGTGCACTATAGAAGATCTTGACTCTGGAGATGAAAAATCCAAGCTTATCATCACAGAGGCTCAACGTGAATACATCCGCTACACGTCACTTGAGCAGCTGGCTAAAGCTGAGGCAAGCACCAGTGAAGATGAAGAGGAATTGATTGTTTTGATGGAAAACAACAACAACAAAAGAAACAGAAACACTCATATGATTCAGGATTTCAATGTGATTGGTGCCACTCAAACCAGTGACAGTGGCTGTGTGGGTGTTGCTCATGTCGAAGGGATGCTGGTAGCCATATCCATTCATAGTCAAGCCCCAACATGTGCTAACATGTCAGACTCTGGTGACTCCTGCTGCTCCGGAGAAGAATGGGTGCTCATAGCCCCAATGAGCAGAGGTGTGTAACAGTGTAAATTCTCTTGTCCAATTAACAAGGATGTATTGAGTAGTGGAAGGGAGAATTGTTTATTTAATCATGGGAGTGATGGTAAATGATTAAGAATTTGAAATGAGAGCATAAAAATTTGTCCCATCCACATTAAAACATTTTTTTTTCAATAAAATTCAGCTATTTTCTGCTTTTTAATTAGTAACCATGCTAAATGAATGTAACTGGCTTTCATGAACAGTAACATAATCTGTTGTTGGATTAGTTTCTGCTAGGAACTCACAAAACTCTTTTTAATTGAATTTACAGGAATAAAGCATTCAGATTGGCTCAGCTACTGGTAGTGCTTAAAATGAAAGTCAAATATAAACTACGGCCACATTGAAGAAAATCTAGTTACAAACAACAAAACTTATTTGTTATCTGGAACAATTCAAAACCTGGATCTAAGTGTTGGTTTGTACCCTGTTAAATTTTTAATGAATATGTGAAGTACATGAAGGTTAACCAAGAAGCTGTTGTGCTGCATTGGTAGGTAATTGGAACAAAAGGAAAGTGGGAAGAAGACTGATGACAGGTGTAACTGTTTTTTTTTTTTTATCAGGTCGCTGTAGTGTGGGAGCAGTCGAACTAAATGGAAAGCTGTATGCCATTGGTGGTTATGATAGGGGCGACTGTCTAAACACAGTGGAACAGTATGATTGTGAGACAAATGAGTGGATGCCTGTCACAAGCATGAACTCGCATAGGGGACGGCTGGAGTCAGAAGTGGTGAATGGGAAGATATTTGCCATAGGAGGCTCCAATGGAAACACTGAACTCAACACCATGGAAACTTACGATGAATCTACCAACATTTGGAGCTTTGGACCCCCCATGATACAAAGCCGATGCAGTTTTGGAACAGGAGTTGTTGATGGATGCATTTATGCAGTTGGGGGCTACCAAGGTCCCAGAAACCTGAAAAGTGTTGAAGTTTATAGTCCAGAGAAAGGGGAGTGGGCCAGGGTGTCCCCAATGAACACAGAGAGAAACAACCTGTGTGTGGAAGCCTTGAATGGAAAGCTATATGCAATTGGGGGGTACAATGGATGGACTTGTTTCAATACTGTGGAGTGCTATGACCCTGAAGAAGATCGATGGTATTTGGTTCCACCCATGAAGACAGCCCGTCGGGGGGCTGGTGCAGCAGCACTTCATGGTAAATTGTTTGTGATTGGTGGATCTGATGGCACGAATTTCCTCAACAGCGTAGAGTGCTATGATCCCTCAACTGATGAGTGGAAAACAGTGGCTAGTTTGAACATTCCCCGCCATAATGTTGGAACTGTGGTCATTAAAGACCACATCTACACTGTGGGAGGTTTTGGTGGCACGTCATTTCTGAAGAGCATTGAATGTTATGACGCAAAAAATGACAAATGGAACTGTTTTGTTAGTTCCGATTGAGAGATTAGTTCATTCAGAAACTGCAGCATCGGCATCTATCTTGATTACAAAACAATTATAAAAGAGTGGACTTCATTTTAATCCTGGAAAGGATATTGATTTAGTTTTTCATTGTATTTGTATTTGAGCTTCCTGGATAGGTTTTGGAAGTATATTATTTTTAATATTAATTTATTAATTTATTAGAGGTAGATTTTATAAGATTTTGTATTTTAGAGTTGATGAACATAGTTTAGTCCACCACTTTTCCAAAAAAAGTACAAACCATGAGTGATGCAATCCTCCTTCATTAACATCAGTGATTTTTCAGCCTTTGTATTTTCAACCATACCTATAATACATTTATCCTTGCAGATTTGGTGCTTGCTCCTGACAATATTTTATTTTAAAGTGACTCATTTTCAGTCACATTAAAATTGAGGCTTTAGTGGAACTGAACTGAGTTTTTCACATTTAGCCTGGAAAAGATTACAGAAATGTGAAACCTGTACTTAATATATAAATACTGTTAGAAAAAGGCAAACAAGCTCAGCTCAACTTAAAACATGAGCTGTTAGTTGTTGATTTGTACCTTTGTGGTGATGCAGAATGTTACAGTAGATTCCATAATTTAACCTCTGTTATGTCTGGTTATCAGAGTTTTTGTTGGAAAACACATTGGAGTTTGGAACTCATGAAAGTTGACATAATTTATTTAAATTGGCAGAATTTTAGCAGTAATCTGGGATCTGTCAGTGAACCCAAAGACAAATTTGTGATTTGATTTTAGAGTTACATTAAGGTTTTAAGTTATTTGATGTTAGTTGTTGATTAGTTGACTGCTTAAAATTTTCTTGCCAATCAAAAACAATTTACAGAGTGTTTCTAATTTAAGTCGTGTTTTGAAACGAGAAAGAAAGAGAAGAGAAAGTTATTTAGAGTTAATGACTGGTCAAAAGTCAACAAATATTGAATGGCATGGACTTGATTCAATTTTTTCCTGCAGTTTCTTGTTTACTATTATGCTTAACTTAAAAACCTTAAAAACATTGGCATGTTAGGGAGCAGCTGAATTATGTAATTTTTAGTAAACAATGTGACGTGAATTTTATTCAGCTTGCTTTAGCTTAATCACGTCATCTTGAAGGGAGAGGATATGCCCTCTAGTGTACAACTACTGATATTTATTAACACATTGGTTGAGATGCTCTGTGTTTTGGGGACGAAGTGTTGAAGAGCCAGAGTGACTGCTGAAAAATGATATTTGAAGACTTTCACAGTAAATGTAACACTATTTAAATAAGCATTGAGTAAACCCATCTATGTGGTTGCAAAAACTTTTTTAAACATTTTGACATGCAAGGACTTGTTTAAGATACTATGTCTTTGCATGAGTGTGAATAAAATATGATTAGTGAAATGCAGCATAATTTTTTCCAATATTGTCCTGTTGGATGTTCTTGGAAAACGTCATTACTCATTAATAAGTTTGCTGAGTAAGTTATGCAAAACAGGATTCCACCAGAAACAATACTTTTATTAAATAGCATTTTTATACAAGAGTCTGCAAATGAGTTCCCAAAACAACATATCTAACAGGCAATTGAAGATGGATGTATCACTAATATCATTCTGTTCAAAGCCTCCAACTTTACAAACTCGTATCTAGTTTACTGTAAAGTCATCATGAAAACAGAGCATAAATTAGCTGTCATTTTTCCCAAAAAAAGATATTTGAGAATTTATAACTTGTGTTACCTTCAATGGGCTTATAGATAAAAGCTTGTTAGAGTTTGCTTACTAGTAGCTTTTCATGCACAAGATCAATAATTGATTAACAATTATTGTTAAGATTACATTGCCTTTCAGAAACGTGTAAACTCTGAGACTGTTACTCACACTTACAATTTCCTTTGAAAGGAATCATTACTGTAAGAGTCATTGAAAGACAGAAACAAACAAAATGGATCTAACTCCTTTCATAACCTTTTGAAACATTGCACCAGCTTGCTGCAAGGTCCATAATGTGATTGAAGGCTGTTAAAAAAATGTCACCGATGTCATCCCAATTTCAGGAGTTTGCATGCTACTGAAAAGCACTGCAGTACGTTTTGCAACAAATAAAGGCATAGCTAGTGAAAGGTTCTGGAACTACTTTCCATAATATCTTATTCCCAGATGTTGAAATTCTCTTACTACTCTGATGCCATCTATTGAGACAGCTGGTGTTTAAGCACTTCTGAAACAACAGACATTTCTGTTTTTAAAGTTTTTTTTTTTTTTTCAACAAATATTAAAGAAGTCCTTTGGACACAATTTCCTCCAACTTCATACACCTATCATGGTTTTACATGAAGTTTTCATCATAATGTACAAGGTTTCTTCTCATTATATATTTTTCTAATAACTAAATAATTTTATTTTGCAAGTCTCTCATTGAGAAATTCTTCCACACTGTCAGTGTTCCACTTCTCAATGCTGAAAAAAAAAAAAAGAAAAAAAAGAAAGAAAAAAAAAAAGGAATCAGGACTACTTTTAGGCTTCCTAAATTTGATTCATCAAAATAAAATGATTAGTTATTTACTGAAGTTATTTACTGTGCAGAGCAAGATTATTATTTTTTTTACTTTGTTAGATTCAACATCAAAGGGAAAAAGAAAATCTTACAGCCAGAAGTTGCACCTTTCATCCCTGAAAAATGTTATCAGTATCTGAACCATCTGGTCAGAGTATAACATGATTTGGTATAATATGATTTGGCTTAACCCTTGTTCACTTGATTTAATACCAAATTCTTGTCACTAATTTACAAGGAAATGTCCAGCAGCTAGAAGGGAGAATTAACAAGCAGAACTTAGGAGTTAAAGGGTTTGCCCCAAGGTCCCAATCATGGTACTTCTCTCAACTATCTGCCATTTCCTTCCTATAACCTTGGTTCAGAGAATCTGGTGCTGAGTCAAGTATGAATTTGTAAGTTAATGGTTCCCAATATTCTCATCACCTGTCTGCATGATATTGTATCGATATTGTGAGGAGAAATTACATCTTGAACACCCCTGGAAATGAAAGGGTTAAGACCCTTGGATGCAATAAACTTAGCAACTTTTCAATAACACTTAAGTACTTCTACAACCTTCCTATTGTTGGTTGACAGTAAAATTACTATAACTAATCTAAAAATTAATCACAAATATCATTTACTCACCTTAGAACTTCTTTCACCTCGTTACTCTCATCATGAAGCTTTAGAACAGGGTCGGCTCCTCGTACGAACTACAGTTTAGAAAAATTCTATATCAAAACCATCCAATTTTTTATGGACTAGTGAACTAATTTCAATAAAGATGGGACAGTAAGTTCATCTGTACATTAGTATGGAATATTCTAAAAAGAGCTACCTAATTGGGCACATGCCTTAAATCTAAATGAACATTGATCGAGACAGTAAAATTGTGTTTCTCTTGATTTTCAATATTTCCTTTCCTTTGTTTTTTCCTCTCTTTATAACTCAACATATTCTCTCTGAGTTTGCTTTTTACAAAATTTAAGAGCTATTCTACTCACGTTTATCCTAAGATTAGGGAACTTCTCCGGCCTGTCACTACGGACGAAGGCTGTAAAAACAAACATACAATAATGATGCTGAGGCACAGGTATAAAATAATTTAAAACAATGTTAATACTGGTGAGTGAATTTCACCTTAAAGAGAAGAGATATTTTATAATTTCATGTTGAAAACTAATTCATACTAGTGGTTGACACTAAGTGCAAAAAAAGGTAAATTAAAAAAAGAACTTAAAATAAAAAAAAAATACAAAAGCAGATTTGAAAAATCACAAACTTATTTCTTTCTTAGATTCTTTGGGATTACCAAATAACATTTAGTAATATTTCCAAAAAAATACGAGATGACATCAATAAATTGTTTTCCTGTTAAACAATTGTAATAGAGTCTCAATAATAAAAATTTACAGTTTTAAATTGTATATTGGATATGTTTTTCTCACCCTGTATCTGAGGGAACCTCCCCAGCTTTCAGTTGCACACTTCAAGAGTACCAAAAGCGTATCTCTACAAATAATAACACAAACTGTCAAATTCTGTTATACCAATGACCTGTCTTTTACCAAGACAGCTTACTTCATTTAAAATAGGAAAGTGTTCAGTTTGTTACCATAATAATCCAACATATATTCAATGCAATGCATAAAAATGTGAAACACATTTAAATACAAAAGGACTTGAACCCTTCATCTCCCAGAAGTGATTTATATTTAACTTCTCCTTACAATATCCATACACTATCCAACAGACAGGTAATGAGATTAGTCAAACCTATCAGTTAGAGGTTGTTATCATGATATAACACCAAATTCTCATAACATTTTTACAAGGAAGTGTATAGAAGCTAGATGGGAGAGTTAGCAATCAGATCTTGGGAGTTAAAGGGTTAAAAAAAAAGTATCATATTCTGGATGCAAATTGGTTGGTTTTTAACTCTTAAACTTTTATGAGTAACCAAGACAGAATTTCTCCTTACATTATCAAATCAATATCAGGCAGGCAAGTAATGACAAAATACAAATGTCAATTAGGGGATTCTTAGTTGATCCTCTACCACATTCTCTCTGCACTAACACCATAAGAATTGTATGGCAAACAGTAAGGGGGAATTATTAATGATATCTTAGAAGTGAAAGGGTTAACTTAAATGATTTAAGCAATAAACTGCACTTTCCATTAACCAGCATTATACCAAATGCAGTGGAGGCATGGTGGCCTCATGGTTAGTGCACTGGACTCTGGATCGGGTGGTCCGGGTTTGAGCCTTGGCCAGTGCTTCTCTTCACCCAGGTGTACAAATGGGTATCAGCAAATGTGCTGGGGTAACCCTGCGATGGACTAGCATCCCATCCAGGGAGGAGTAGCAATACTCCTAGCCACTTCATGCTAAGGAAAATGGAGTTAATCACCAGCCCCATGGGCCACTTAAGCCCATATAAAGGCTTTACTTATACCAAATGCAGGATGTTGGGATAACAAGAGAATAGTTTGTACATCATGAGCCACAGGTGAATGATTTACAAACTTCTGCAAACCTTCAAGCTGGAGGAATGATGGTTTTTTTGGCCAGAGATTGGTTGCAAGTGACTTGTCAAATGACATCACCTGTTTAGTCCTATTTGTTAATTTTTATACCATAGATGCACAGTGTGCTAGACCACAAGGGTTATTGATTTGCTGATTTTCAGCACTGTAACAGTAGTAACACCTTGACATCGATAAAAACCCATCGTTGCCTTTGATTGATGGATCATCATCGACTGTCGATTGTATCAATTAAAACTGCTGGACCCCACGACCATGTGAAAATCGTTATGAGGCTTTCGGTCGGTAAAAATCTATCTTACACAAACCTTCGTGGCTTCTTCCTGGCCATCAGCTTGACAACATTTTCGACAATTCTGCTCTAACGAAGGTTCGGATGTGAGATTGAAAGGTTTTAGCTCGTCACATGAGCTACAGATGAGATTCACTGAAAATCCTAAGTCTCTGCATTCTTCTGGTGTTAATTCTGCAAGAGTTATCTGAATTAAGGTCAAGAAAATGGAGAGGAAAGGCGAAATATATATCTTCCAATCCATTTCTAACAGCTCACCAAACCGCCTGATGAGTGTACTCGGTCCAAGTCTCTTCTCGGTCTTATTTGATCGAGGTTGGAAAAAAATCAGTAATAAACACCAGTGTAAACCCTTAAATACAGTCAGCCAATCAGGAAAGACTGTTAGCTTGCTTTTTGAGCAAGAAATCCGACGCGAATGATGGACAAATCCTGATCAAGAAGCAGCCCACGTGGGAAATGTCATGGCACAGTTTGTTGAAGCGCGACCATCCAGTCGAGCAATGAAAGCAGTTTGTCAACTACATTCCGAGTGAGATAAAAGTTTTTCGGTTTGGTCTTACAAGTACAAAAAATTGGAAAAAATGTTTTAAACACAGAAGTATCAGCCGTTTCCGACGCAAATCAGTGGTAAACCCTTGTAATGGGTCGGCTGTTATAGTAAACCCTTGAAATTCTGCTAGCCAATCAGGAAAAAGTATGAGCTATTTGGTTCAGCATGAAACCTGGCGTAGTTTTCCAAAGTCTTCAATCGTCTTTCGACAACAAGAAGGCAAACATTTTTTTGTACGTTACACAAATTTATCTTTCTGCTATCACTCGTTTTGTTTATGACCAAAAAATATTAAGCAACGTCCCAAGCTCTTGGAATGGGAATGAAAAAGATTGACAAACAATGTAAGAGTTCTTTTAGCTCTTTAATGACTTCTGTCTAAAGTTATGTTGCGAGAACTTGTTCCCTTCCTTTTGTCATGTTTCAAGTTTTAAGTCCTATAACAATGGCTTAATTTTTTAAAATGATATTTATCCACAATTAAATATATATTTTTATTTTCAGACGTAACTTTCCGTGGAAAGCAAAGGAAACCTTAGCGAAAATTGAAGAATTCTCGCTCCGGAATCAAACAAATGGTTTCACTCTCAATGTCAACAATGCCCGCGATTTTTCAACAAGAGAAACGAAAACTTTTCCAGGTGAGCATCTATCTACTGTTTTGCATGTCATTATTTACTTATAACTAACTTTTCACCGGAGTTTCTTTTAACCTTAAATGCAAAAGCAACGTACGCTCGTCTCAAAAACTTTTTTATGCGGCGAACTTATAAACTGGAGGTCTCTCCCAAAAATTTTCAAACAGCACGATTGGTAAAATATAAATTATGTACTCAACCTAAATAGCAAGTTTTACTTCGTTTAGGAAATAAATTCACACTTTCAGAATCCAATTTCTACACAGAAAAAGCTTGCGAGGAACCGTGCTTAATTTTTGGCGGGAAATGGTTTTCTGACATTCTTATTAGTAAGGAAAATCCTTCCCTTCTCGTAAAAATAGCTATTTATCATTTCCTTTTTAAATAGCAAATTTGCTTCGTTGGGGATTAAATTCACTCTTTCAAAATCAAATTTTTGTACAGAAAAAGCTTGCGAAGGACCGTGCTAAAAATTTAGCGGGAAACGGTATTCTGACATTTTTTTAAGCAAGGAAAATCCTTCCCTCCTTGGAAAAATAGCTTCATTTATCATTTGCTTCGTTTTCTACGTTATTTTTCTCGTTTAGAATCAATGTTTTTCGCAAAGTGATTGAGGTTCTAATTTTTTTAATTTGGCGGGAAAGGTTTTCAGGTATCGAGGTTAAGAAAACAAAGCAAAATTAAGAGAACTGCGTATATGATTGAGGTTGGTTTACTGCTTCCTTGTTACGCTACGCGCTAAACATTTATTGGAAAAATTCCTCCACCAAACATATAATCCTCAGTTTAGTCTATGTGAAACTGTTGAAAACTATTTCAGCAAACCGTTCCTGAAAGTGATTATTTTTATCTGAAAAATTTTACAATGCAACTTTACTGAGTTACTTTCCTGAGTAAATGCGCCGCAAGGCATAACAGGGTCATACACTAACAGTTCTTTGTTTTTGACATTAAAATGGTTTATTTTATCTCTCTCTGCGTTGTTTACGACCATTACAAATGGTTTTTTTTTCGCACATAAGTGCTCATAAAAGATAATTCATCTGTAAAATTGGCCATTAATTTAGAGTGCGGCTATGCCACAACTAAAAAAATCTTTAAAACAGGTCTCTTACTCAGTCAATGGTGGTTAAAAAAACATTTTTGTCTACATTTACAGTCTCACTCCACTTGACTTGGAAGGCAGATCTTTACTGTGCCATCTTTAACAAGAAGCCGCTTTAACAAGAGGCCAATATACTATCTATCCACAGGATTGAACTAGCCAATGTGAATCAGAGTACTCAATCTAAGCCAATAGCTCCAGTACAGAATAAATCAACCCAACTCCTGGCGGAACAACCCATAGTTCACAGTGAAACAGATCAGTAATCCTGACCCAAGAGTCTACTTTAGTGCTGTCCGTTCCCGCTTGGGTTAAAGAGACACAACCCTGGTGAGAAATCAAGGCGGTGGTTAGTGAAATTGGGATGGGATGGGAGGGTAGATAGATCTCTGGTTGAGCCTTACACAGCATACATGCATACACTTTCGGTAGAGGTCTATGTACCTCTGATTCGGCTTAACATAACTTTAGTTAATTTAGTTAATATGCCCCTGGGGAAGGGATGGGTCCTTCCCTTTTCCCTTTCATAACTGGGTTGCTTTTCAGGTTCATTCGGCTGGCACATAATCATTTAGTCAACAGCAAATTCTATTCGGCTTCGATTTTACTTCGTTCCGGTTCAAGTCTGTCTTCACATCTAAATGGTTTCAACTTTCGCTGGAGCACATTTCGACTTCACAGGATACATGCCTATGTTTGATGATGCATTTGACTCCCTGCTCAGTTGCGCCCAGGTCAATTATTTATTTTTGACATTTCACTTAACAGTCTTAACACTGATAAGTGAAATATTGTCAGTAAGGTTCAACCAGATAATAACTTTTAATCTATACTACTCAATGGTTTTCACCACTCCTTTCTGGTTTAGAGGTCTATTCCAGGTATAAGCAATTGATCAGGTGTCATAGGTTAGGACTCTAAGTACATACATAACCTCGTGCCTTTATTTCTGCATTGCTTAGAATTGGCAAAGACATTTCAAAATTGAACCAAGAAATAATTAATAGAGGACTTTTTGTATTCATCCTGATTAATTGGGGGAAGTACTGAAGAAAAAAAAACCATGAAAAAAGAAATTCAAAGGCATGAGGGAGAGGGATCTTTGGGACAATGCACACGCCCTAGAATAGAATTTCTTTGTCATCATTAACAAAAATCATCCAGCCAAGAGAAGGAGGATAAGAAGTCAGGCAGTCGCCATAGAGACACAGGCAGTTAGCATACTGATAGTGGCAGGTAGTGGGGAGAATTCGGTCACTAAGGCAATGTTGACACTTAGTCCATCACCGGTGTCTTCTTGTCAATTTTGCCTGGTGGTAGGAATCTCTTCAATTCCAGGAAGTCAGTAGGTAGTCTTCAAAAACATAAACAGCCTATGAAAGACTGACAACAGGTACCACTACAAGGAGCTTCAAGACAACGACAAGCATGGATGCCTGGCAGAGAATCATTCTAGTCTTTTGGTGCCCAGAGAATTGTAGGATTTTGACAAGTATTGCTGTAGACTAAAGCTTCAATACAGGCATTAGTTGCCTTCCAGAAATGTCGACTACTGAGGTAACATGTCTCCATTGGCCTCTTTCCCTCGGAACCTTTCACCTCATGATGGTTACCTTGGAGAGGTTATTAACCTCAGGGCATGATCCCCTTTGCTATTATCTTCCAGTATGTACAGTTCAAAGCTGTTAATAGCAATTCATTTTATCCCAGCCTGATCCAATACAATCTTTTTCATATCATCGGTTATGCCCATTACTTCACTTCACTGTCTGTGTGAAGTGCTCATCACAAAAATTTCCCTCTGTCCCCAAAAACAACAGAATAGAAGATAAGTGCTTCTTCTGAGATCATGCATAAAATTCAACTTCCTAAAGACAGGAAGCATGGAAAATGGATCTCAACCTTTTCAGCTAAGATTAAAGGCCAAAGATGGAATGAAGACAGAAGATAGACAGCTGACAAAAGAAGACAAAAGGACCAAGAAAGAGTAAGGAAAGAAAATCAAAAACAGAAGACCCTGGAGTGAGGAAGATAAAGAAATGAAGAAAAATTACAGAACTAAGAAATGGGAAAAAAAGGAAGACAGATGACAGAATTAATTCTTTAGACTAGAGAATGAGGACATAAGTCTGAAGAAAAGAACAGTGATGAAACAGGACTTAAGGAAAGACAAAGAAGACTGAAGAAAGATCACAGAAGTCAAGACCAACAAAAGGAAAATGAGGAAAGAAAGAAGATGAAAAAGACCTAAGACAGAATATAGTTGAATGACTGAAAAATAAAGAAGATTTAATAGGGAAGAAAGAAGACTACAGTACAAGAGAGCAGAAAGAAAACTGAACAAAGAATAAAAAACAAAACAGATGGAAGATGGAAGAAAAAAAGACTAAATGATTGATAGACATAAACAAGAAATAAGACAATTGTAACAAGGCAGTAGAGAGGACACTGAATCAAAAGTAAGAAGACTAAAGACAGGAGAAAGACTGAGAATGGCAAAGAAGAAAACTGAGAACTTAAGAAGAGCAAACATAGTAGAAGACTGAACACAGAATACAGAGGACTGAGAAAACAAAACAATAAAAAAGAAGACTGAGAAAAGAAGAGAGAAGACTAGAGAGAGAAAAAGGAAGACTAAGATCTGCAGAAGGAAGACAGAAAAAAGATTACTGAAGACAGAGAAAGAAAACTGAAAACAAGAAAAAAGAGAGAAAACTAGAGAAAGATAAATAAGACAAGCAAAAGAAAAAAGAAGACTAGGGAGGGAGAAAAGAAGATTGAGAACAGAGAAAAAAGAACAATGAGAACTGGTTAAAGAAGACTTAACCTAGGAGGAGGCAAACTGAAAACAAACGAAAATAGACTAAAGAAAGGAGGAAGATGATTGAAGGCAGAAATGAAGAAGACTGAGAACTAGTGAAGGAAGACTTAATGCGTATGAAAGAAGACTAAAGACAAAAGAACGAAGACATGGAACATAAATCAATGGACTGAGAATGGACAAAAGAACACTGACGACAAAACAAAGAAGAAGTAGAAAAGATGAGAGAAGATGGGCAGAAAAAAAGGCTTGAATCAGAAGAATGGAGATAGGGGACAGAAAAAAAGAAGACTGTAAATAAAGATGAAAACAGGACAGAGGAAAGAGGACTGAGGACTAAGGACAGAGGAGTGAAAACAGAACAGAAATTGGAAGATTATGAACAAAAGAAAGAGGACCAAAGACAAACCAAAAAAGACATAGAAAAGAAGAGGACCGAGGACATAACAAAGAAGACTGAAATAAATGAAGACAGACCGGAGGAAAGAGGGCAGAAGACAGAAAACAGAAAACAGAGAAATGAGAACAGAAGAAAGAAGACTGAAGAAAAATAAAAAATACCTAGAAAACAAGAACAAAGACTGAGGAAAGACATAAGAACACTGGATGTAAAGAATGAAGACACGAAAGTGGAAAGAGGACTAAAGAATAAAGACACAAGAAAAAAGATGGAGAACAGAAAACAAAGGAATGAGAACAAAATGAAGAGGACTGAAGAAAAAACATAAGACATAGAAAAGAAGAAAGAAGACTATGGACAGACAAAAAAAAGCCCATGTCAGAAGAAGACTGAGGATAGAAAAACGAAGGCCAGAAATAAAGAATGAAGACAGGAATGTGAAAAGAGGGCTGAAGAATGGAGACTTATGACTGGAGAAAAAAGAAAGAAGACTGAAGATAGCGGAAAGAAAAATGACAACAAAAGACTAACAATTGAAGAAAGAAAACCAAAGACAGAAAAAATATGAATGAAAATAAAAAATGAAGATAGAAAAGTAGAAAAAAGACTGTTGACTGAAGATGGAGGACTGAAGACAAAAGATAGCAAACTGAAGACAGGAGGGAGAGGAATGAAGGTAGAATGAAGAAGGCTAAAGACAGAAAAAGAAGGAAAAAGAAAGAAGACTGAAGACAGAGGAAAGAAAACTGATAACAGAAAACTAAGAATTGAAGAAATAAAACTGAAAACAGAAGAAATATGGATGAAAATAAAAAAAAATTAAGACAGAAAAGTAGAAATAAAGACTGTTGACTGAAGACAGAGGACTGGAGACAAAAGATAGCAGACTGAAAAGAGGAGGGAGAGGCAGAAAGAAGGCAGAAAGAAGAAGGCCATGCAAAGACAGAAAAAGAAGACTGACGACAGAGGAAAGAAAACTGACAACAGAAGACTAAGAATTGAAGAAACAAAACCAAAGATAGAAGGAATACGAATGAAAATAAAAAATGAAGACAGAAAAGTAGAAAAAAGACTGTTGACTGAAGACAGAAGGGAGAAGAATGAAGGAAGAAGGAAGAAGACTGACAGAAGAAAGAAAAAGAAGACAGAAGGAAGAAGAAAGATGACTGAAGACAGGAGAAAGAAAACTGACAACAGAACACTGAGAATTGAAGAAAGAAAAGCAAAGACAGAAGAAAATAGGCATAAATATAAAAAATGAAGACAGAAAGAAGACTGAAGACAGAGGGCAGAAGGAAGAAAAATAAAGAGAGAAGACTGAAAACAAAAGAAAGAAGATTAGACAAAGAGGAAGACTGAGAACAATACCAGAAAACTGAGAACAAAGGAAAGAAGACTGAAGACTGAAGAAGAAACATTAAAGACAAAAGAGAGAAGACAGAGAGCAGAACAGGAGACTGAGAATAGAAAGAGGAGGAAGAACTGATTAAAGACTGGACACAAAAGAAGAACACTGATAATGATGACTGAAGAATGGAGACTGAAGACAGAAGGAATAAAATTGAGGACAGAAGGCAAAAGGGAGCACTTAAAGGATCACTGAAGACAAGTCAGATGAAAAAACAGGAAGAGGACTGGGGGCAAAGAAAAAAGAGTGACTACCTCAGAGAGAAGACTGAAGACAGAAGGAAGATAGCAATGAAACCTAAAGACTGAAAAGAGGAAGACTGACAGAAGATACAAGAGAGGCAAAAGAAGAGAGAATAGTATAAAATGAAGACAGACAAACAAAAAATGAAGAATGAAAGGAAGAAACTAGAGACACAAGAAAAGCATACTGAAGAAAGTTGACAACAGACAACTCAGATGAAGGAAGACTGAAGAAACAAAAAATAATGTAAAAAGAGGAAAGAAGACTGAAGGATATAAAGACAGAAAATGGAAGAGTAAGTTGACTGATGAAGACTGACAAAAACAGGAAAAAAATGGCAATGCTCATCATCACCTGCTATCCTCCTTTAACAAATAACACAATAACACTGGATTGAAATAACCCTCCAGAAGATAAAAGCTACTCATTGGTTTAATCTAACATTCAGGTGTACGACTTCCAGAGGAATTAATTCATGGCCCAAGTATTTTCCCTCTTATTGATTCACTATTCTCTGATTTTGCTCGGGAGATTTGAATTTGAGGTCAAACTACCCAGGGTACTTGAGAAGTCAATAATTTGAGTTAGGACTAATTTTTTGTTTATACAACAAGATCATTTCCTCTCTTGATAAGACTGTCAACTTATGCAGTCAGTTCTTATAGTGGCTTGTTTTGACCTACTGTTCACTGAAACAGTTCCAATTAGTCCAAAGGTTGACTATCAGTCATGGTGATATCAAGAAGGCCTACTCAAATGGGAGGATAATGGATCTGTTACAGAATGCTAACTTGCTGCCTAATGTCTCATTGATCTGTCTGGACTGCCTGCACCACTAGCCAAGTACACAAAATAACCTCTACAGCATGGAAAATCATCCAAAGACATCAACTGTAGCAGTCTCAAATGGGATGATTTGAAAACAAGAATTTCATGTGGGATCAAGAAGTTAAACTAAAAGATGATACTCCTGATCACTTGATTAAGGGGCTGGCATTATCAGTTATTCTACTTTTCTGCATCTTTGCCCTTCTTCCACTGCTTATGACTTAACACCAATGCAAAATGTAACTGAAGAATATGTCTAGCAACTGCTTGTTGATAGGCCAACTTCCTGGGATGAAAGACTGAATGTGAGTGCCATAAGGTAGGTTTTACAACTTAGCTCAAGGTATGTGGCTAGTGCAATCTGTATGTCATATCCAATGCAAAGCAACATCAATTCTCAATCTTCACTCAGTACAGTCTGCACAGAAAACACTCCTATTTCATTAGATTCCAGAATAAATCTACTTTTTATGACTTCTGTTGTTTTATATAAGGATGATGACTGAATTTTTCTGCATTCACTTCCCTAAGAAAAATGTGAAGCTTGAAACTAGATGTGTTATTGCTGTGTGATATAACAAACAGTTGCCTAGGTTAGTTACTCAGTTAATTTTCACTTTTGGTTTTTCAATTCTTTCATAATTAAGCTCTCCATTGTGATCTTTCAAGCTATTGGCACAAAAAAGCTTGGTATTGATATTTGTTTGATAGCAAGCAAATATTGCAAATGCGAATGGATCAGGGGGCCCTGGGTGTCCCAAGACACCAGGACACTCTCAGCTTTCACTGTCCACAAAATTTTTAGTGTAGGAGCCCACTCCCCAACCATAGATTATTTTAGGTCCTGTGGATTTCTATCATGATTGTGAACAGTATTGTTACCACTGAAAAGCATTAAGTAAATAATTACACATCATATCAAAGAATGGTACAGCTCATTTTCGGGAGCATTAGAGGACAGAGGACAGCAAGAAGTCATGAAGAGAAAGGACTACAATATTATAATTGTAACTAGAATAAATTAAATACTTGAAATAGAAAACAATAAACCACAAAACATTGTTGTCTGTTTGCCTTCTCAGTTAAGTTTATATTTTATACTTAAATGTAACACTAACCAATGAGATTCTTTCATTTCAGCAATATAAATTTTTTTCTTCTACAGGAACAAATTTTGCCTGCAGCTCAGTTTCAGGGGCACAAAAACTGAATTGTCCATTTTTGGGCACTGAAAAATTATTTCTAAATTAAAAAACTTGTAAGATATATTTTCATCTATTCAATAAAAGGCAAAAAATTGATGACTCAGTTTATTTTATCAAACACTAACTACAATTACAAGTCATAGAGTAATTTCTTTTGCAGCTTACTAATAAAAGGATTTTATTTCAGGACACATATTGTAAGGAATGTAATTTAAGCTTCATTTAACATACATTTCACTAGTTTTTTAGGCTATTTCTTGGCTAAAAGCTGATTTCTAATCATTTTCTCTTTTCCTTTTCAGAAATGTTTCATCCTCTTTATTGCAAGTCTAACTCTATGTTTTGCAGACAAATGGAGATCCAAGGGTTAAAAACTGTACCTACAGAAAGTTTAAAAAATAGAGATTGATCTAATCATGTAATCACTTCATTTTGCAGGTTTGCCTTGCAGACAGTTCACCCATCAATCTGTATAATTGTTTTTCGGAAGATTAGACCATTTAGGATCATGTCCTACAACAAAAAGTGGGTCAGAATATATATTTAATGGAAAACAACCATCAAGTTGAATGTTTTACTAACAGTTCCTTATAGATGCTCAACCAATGAACGCTTGACCAAAATAGCCATTGCAGGAAACCAGAACCAAGGTAAAGCTTAAAAAGTGGTGCTGATTGATCTAGAGACATCTACCAAGATCCTACAGATACCTGCCCTCTTGCAGTACAAAAAGCAATAGAAATAGCCCAGATCACCCAGGTAACCACTATGTTAAACACAGCTTTGAATTCTCACCAAAAAGAGCTTTTTTTTTAAAGTGGTTTTAAGAAAGTATCTAACAAAGATGGTTAAAGAGGAATCAAATCATGTTTTTACACTCTTGTGTTCATGTTCTTACAGAAAACAATGAGAGATTTTTGATCAGCAAAAAATTTCTACACTTGTGTACGGATCTACGCAGTATTCATACCATATTGGGAGAGTCATTGGTTTAAGAGGGAGGAGAGAGAGAGGGAAGGAGTGGATATGCACTGAAAAGCGATTCTCTGAACCTTCAGAGGGGAGGGTCTCTGAACATAATTGAAAAACCAAAGAAAATTCTAAAGAAAAGGTATGGATACTTCCTGGAACATTAATTGGCGAGTTACTCAATCAACACAAACTACAGAAATATCCTTCTGTCTTATGCATGTAAGTGCAGTAATAAGGTGTTCTGACTAGCATTTTCAACAGTGTAAGTTTCAACTGCATGAAGACCAAAATTAAATGACGCTTTTACTAACTGGTTTGTTCTTCATTGTGAGCAGCATGTTGTAAGTGACCGAAGTGATGAACATTCCTGCAAAGACAAAAAGATTATCTGTCAGAACAAACAACTGGTATTTAAGTGCTACCTATGAATCCTGGGGAAGGAATGGCAACTAGATGAAAAAGATGTCCGGAGCTTTTTGACTGTGGGGCAACCAGAAAAAGAATTTACAGTGGTAACAACTTGTGAGTAAGTCAGTTTTATGTATTTTATTCGTCTAAAGAATAGTAAACAAATGGAGGCTGACAGGACCACTGAAGAGCAACAGCATCAGCTGATACATACAAATATGTTCTAAAAGTTCTGAAAGGCTGGTTATTTATGCATCAGAGATTTTCTTTAGATGGGTAGATTTAAATATATAAGTGTCTCTCTACTGCTAGCTTTCAGCCTTCTCGACATAATTCAAAAAAATAAATGTTTGGCGCAGTTGAAGATGGCCTCGAAAGCTGTTTTGTTAAATATTGGCTAAACTTTGTTTAAATAGCTAAATTAGGGAGAGGGGAGGGCAGATGCGGAAATATCAATTTCAGTCTCAATTCATAGTTCAAGAAGAGTATTATGACATCTTAGTCGTCATAATTATTGCATTCCTAATCAGTGATTTTAATCTCACTTTGTTGCAGGATTTATAATCTTCAGTGTCAAATTGGACTCAGTATGAGATATATATGCAGTTGGGAATCTTGTTACAACTTGACAAAAGATTCTAGATTTCTTATTCCATCTTAAAAAGAGTATTGCATAGGCCTGACCTCTCCCAGCATTTTTGAAAAGTTTTGTGAATTTTCAAAAATGTTGGCTGAGACTCTTAGCAGATCTTTTGATAAATCCTATGATCTACTTAGAGTCACAAAGTAAACTTTCATTTGAACGGATTTTTGAATGAGCAGTTAATATGATTTCCTGTGGATTTATCTTTCAACAGTAACCCTAACCCACACTGAATCTTGTTATCATTACAATCATCAATATTATTATTATCATTATTATCACTAACTATAATTATTATTATATTGTAACTACTAAATATATAAAAGCTACTAACTTAACAAAACATTAAATATTGTTCTAAAAACCTTTGGTTAAAAAATAATAAAAATATTGAGCATGAAAATAATAACCTACCGACAAATAAAAAATAAAGTTCAAATTTAATTCAATTTAATAAGTTTTGGATGTATTGGGTGAACATGAAAGAATCTCAGAAGTTGTATTAACTGCACAAACTTCAAAGTAAAGAAACCTGAAAGAGTCTAATGAGAACTGCATGATGTTTTGCCATAATCTTACAAGAACATCTATGATTATGTCACACATTCAAAGTCAGGTGAGTATCTCAAAAGACCTAATAGACCTAATCAAGGATCTCAATATGAGAGAAAAAATTCAGAGAGTGTTCTAACACATTTCTGATGCAGGCCTCACACAAGAACTTATGAGATTTCTATAAGATTCTTAGGATGTTGTAATCTTTCAAGTGAACATGATTTCAAACTGACAATTAATAGCATCCTGAGTGATCAATAACAAGAAGAGGAACAACCATAGCAACAAGAAGAGTTAGCAGAGGGAGAAGAAACCCAAAGATGCCTTATAGCATCACATCTGCATCCAAAGGTAAACATTGCCTAATTCCATATTCCATGTCATGATAACAGGATGCCTCAAATCTTTATATCTGCCTTTAGCAACACTTAAAACATTATACAAAATTTCCTTCCTTTGTCTCTAGTATATCACTTTACTTTATTTTACAAGATTACACACTGTCTGAAACTCAAAACTGAAATTAATTTAAATTTCAGAATCACTTAGCATAAATGTGGGTATTGGAAGTTTGACATAACTCAAACAACTATTGAAGAAGACAATTCTACCTAACAAAATGGCATTCCTTCAGTTAGTGTGTAATTTGATATAAAAATTATCAGACTGACACTACAATTGTGGTAATTAACATATGAAGTGTAAGTTCCATTCCAAAAAATTTAATCGTGTAATGAGTTCTCACCTTTTATTCCTCTTTATCCTTGACCAGAGTTTACCTTCCTTGAAGAGATAAGTCACAACACAACAAACATCATGGATCACTCATCCTTTGTCTACCACTGTGGATAAAACATTCAAGTCAATAAGTTGTCACAGAAAAAAATATCTGAAAGGTATGGAGATCTATTTTGGTATATCTTATAAAAGAAATTAATTTTTCAACCCTCAAGAATGACTAGCATCTAATTTCTCCTTGTAATATTACCACTGAATAAAAAAAATTGGATCAATATCAGTATCTGAGCAACTACCCACCTACCCCTCCTGTAACTCAACAACAGTCAATTGATAACAAGTTAGGGTTAATGTTGGGTTAGGGGAGGGGTAGGTGGGCAGTTGCCCAGATACTGATATTGATCTCAAAAATTAAGGTCATGAAAATAAAGGAAAAAATCACCAACTAAAGAAGCTCTGGATTGTTACCCCTTTAACTCCCAAAATCTGATTGTTAATTCTCCCCTTTAGCTGCTACACATTTACCAGTAAATTAGTTATGAGAATTTGGTGTTAGATCGAGACAACAACTTCTACCTGATAAGTTTGAATGTTTTCATTACATGTTTGTTGGATAATGTAAGGATATTATAGGGAGAAGTTTCATGTTGATCACTTCTGGGAGTTAAAGGGTTAAACAGATTCTCCCTGTTAGCATCTTAAGAAATGTATGGAGAACAGTATGGAGATCACTGTCTTTCTGAGAGAAAAACTTGCTTACAGTTGTAGTAACACTCATGTTTGGTTCTGTTTGTTTAAGAAGCAGTACTCCTTTGCCTACAAATTGTAGCAGTGACATTTTCTAATAATTACCATCACTGCCATTAACAGGAGCAGTATCAAGTAACAACAATGAAACTACACAACAGCTTGAAGACATCAACTCTTCTTTCTTGATGACAACTGTTTTATATATGCCACAAGTTTGGAAGAACTAACCAGAAGATAAAAAGACTTAACATTTGTGCCAGAAAGAAGTATAATTATCAGATGATTGCCTAATAATGATAATAGCAGAACACAGATAAGTCAAGATGAACTGGGAAGGACAAGTGAGTTTTCATAAACATTGAACTCTTAAGGACATATGAACACTTGCTTCCATTGGACATACTCATTGCAAATGGTAGAAGTGATATGAAGCTTGCTTGTGAGAGCTTTGGATCATTTTGTAATCTTAAAAAGGATAATATCACAAGTTTAGTAGCTTCAGAAAATAATCATATTTCAAAGATCATCTCAAAATATTTATTAACAACCTCTGTGAATTACATTTCTCTTGACACACAGTGTAAACCATTTGCCCCCTTTCACTGAAGTACAATTCAACTTATCACAAGTGCCACATACAGCTATCAAGGTTATGCATGATTACCTTTAAGTTTAGCAGTCCCCAACCTCCAACCAACAACAACAAGGAATAAATCTTCTTCTCACCATGAGTACATGCCTATATATACCCCTAGTTTATAGGTCAAGGTAAGTCATTTAAGGCATAGCATAGAATTAAAAATGTGTCCTTCAGGTCATGGGTACATGTTAGAAAATTCCACTTAGTTATTCAGTTTGAAATCATTTAAGATACAGTACATTTTACATGTCCTTCAGGTCATGAGAACATGTTAGGAATTCCACAGTTATTCAGTTTGATGCCATTTAAGACATTGAAAAGAACATGTGACCTTCACATCATGAGCATATTTTAGGAGATCTCCCCTAGTTATTCAATTTTAAATCATTTCAGCATTAACAGGAAATATATGCCCTTTAGATATTAGGCTTTTGGAGAATCTATATCATAGACATTACTATCTTTTTGGGCCATTATTGGTGCATAACAAAGAAAGCTGTATTGCCATGAACCACTTTGAGGGCTATACTTTGCTGATTGAAGTAGGGAGTTTCAAAACAATTGATGAGGAATGTGACAACTAACAGAGGTTGTGAAATGAAAAAAAGTGTTTTTGAGTATGACCTTGCCAGTTCTAGTTGTGGGGAAAATTTGTTTCAAGACCACAACAAATTCAGTTATTTCAAACTAGGGTTACTTAAACGTGCATTTTAAACCTACCTGAATTCGTAACAAACTCACATTGACAAATTAGTAAGAAGATAGTTTCTTTAGGCATCTCTCAGGAAAATGAGATCAATCTTGGTTGGTCAGTCTCTAGCATTAACTTTGTCAAACAAAATTTCTACAATTACATTAATTTATATCTGTCTAGAGATAATTGGACCCTTTTCTCAGGGTATTGTGCTGCTGCATTAGATGAGGAATACGTTTCCATTTATTTATCCATTTATTTATTTACCACTGACATCCGCTAATTGGTTCTTTTTAGGTGGTTTTGCATATCTGGCATAGTACAGCTTCATTTAGTAGAACTTTGAGTACTTTCTTAGAACATTAGAGAAGAGCAATTTTCCATAAGTTTGAAAAGTAATGCAAGAGACATAATTTGGTTTTGCCTTACTTCACTTTGTGATTGACCAAGAAAACTGGCACCAACATTCCCACCAACTGGAGAAAAAACTACAGCTGATCTTGACTTGGTCACTTGCATCTTTTCCACGCTTTTTGGTAACTAGATGTATGGGTAAAAAAAGCTGATCTTTGGTGATTAAGTAGCGGTAAAGCCAAATAAAAGTATGTATGATGAGCAGAATATTATTTGTTGTTGAAAATTTCCTTCTGTCAGTAGCTTAGCACAATTTCAAGTGATGCAGTCAACATGCCAATAGACAGCTATGTGGTAAAAAAATCTCACTCTTTGCCTTCAAATAAACCTAAGAGCTGTGGTCAAATGTTTCCAATTCAATACTACCTGAGCCTGATTTGAATCCTCATGACAATTAATTTTTCTCCTTTGGCAGGAGTAACTTATAGATGGAGAGTGATAATATTTTCTGGTATATTAGTATGTGTAGCTTCTACATACATCAGTGTGTATAGCTATGAAATCCGTAGTTTTGATGTAGTGCAAGGTTCTCATAGCAATCACAACAAAATTGAAAGGTACCAAGTTTGGAGAATTAGCAGTGAGGTGATGAGTGTTTTCCCCCCCTGCATTCTCCTTTGATTTTATTTCAACCTTTAAATCCTCTCAAATCCAATGGGCCAAACTGAATGAGCATAACAAAAACCTCATCAGCTTCCTCTGCCTTTGGCCTTGACACTTTTGAATAGCAAGTAACACCTATTTCTTGTTCAAGAAAATGATAAGTAATGTCCGTTTGAGAGGAAAAGTCATATCCAGCTGATCCAAAATGGCAAGTCTTAAAATTGTATTTAATAATATGATTTTACTCCACAAATTAACTGGTCCCGACTTCGCTTGGATAGTCTTAGCAAAATTAATAGTAGCTCTTAAATTGAAACGAGGCAACAAGGACCAGTTTGAGAGAGTGAGAATAACGATATATTTGTGCCCTTAGTTTTTGGGTTTCGCGTCATTTTAAGGGCTGTCGATCAAGTTATGCAATAAAATTGTGTGGAGTACCAACCTTTATGTTGCCGATCATAATGACAGGGCACTTCTCTAAGCAAGAAATGTGTCGCTAACTCATTGTAGCTTTTTGTTACTTGACGAACAGATGAGTTGATAGGAATTTCTTGATCAACTTTGAGTCTCCCCAACTTGACAGCTCACTTACAAGTTGACACGCGCACAATTCGTAAGTATGTTAGCTGCCAGTCGCTGCCAGTCTTACTTTGGTTCAAGTGCAAAAAGTTCGGGTTGCCATGCATCAGCTGAACACTCAGCTGAACACTCAGCTGAACACTCAGCTGAACACTCAGCTGAACACTCAGCTGAACACTCAGCTGAACACTCAGCTGAACTAGCTTCGCACTTCAAAGAAACCTATCACCCTGTAAGTGTTTTGACACGTGAAACATACGTTTAAAGTATTCAAGATGTAGATTCAAGGCTATGAAATAATTATTAAATATCATTGTTTATCACCCATTTCATGCTGGAAAACCAATTTCTCCTTGAAATTGATATCTGGGCCCTTCAATAAAATAAAGAAAACTTTCTATCGAATGACCTTGCACCTTCTCAGAGCTAGCTTGCAGAGCAGGTGTAATTTTGGCGAGCGAGAGCTCAGCATTATGGCCGCCATCTTTGAGTTTAATAGCAGCGGAAGATTGGGGAGAGAAAGAAATTTGTACCAAGGGGCGCCCGTCGGTCAAAAATAAGAAGAGGGGTAGGGTGAACTGTCCACCCTAACTCCACATCAAACATGACCGGTCCGGATGAACAATCGCGAGGTTATAACGTTAGCTCGCACTAATAAGACGCCTACGCTGCAGGCTATCTCAGACTGAATTAATTTTCGAAATATCCCACTATCATTGTATGAGCTCCCAAACTCTATCCACCCGCTCTACCCAAAGAAGTTTCAGTCTTTCTAAGAAACTGGGAACTAATGAAATGCTACGAAAGACAACAGTAGTCCCCATTACGACTCCAGCCCTCCAGCATTGACATTGCTTTCGGTTGCTAACTTTCATTTTCGTCATCCTATTTTTGGTTTTTGATGAATTGTCTTCGCACTACGATGGGAAAGTGCTGATGTTATTGACGGTAAAGATGACCAAAGATTCATCACGTAAACAGAGTGTTTCATCTCTCGCTGATCTGTGTTTTCAGTCTTCTTTAAAATACCTTGAATCGTCCAGGAAATGGGATGAACGAACGAATACCTTTATACCTGAAGATCTTTGTACAGCACTTATAAGTAAAAAGCTGAAGTCCGGACATTGTGACGATGACTTTGTGTCGACATATTTGGCCGACGTTCAGACAAGCAGGATTACTAAGTTGCACATGAGTGGGGCACGTATAACAGACATCGCACTGGAATTTATTTCTCGTCATCCTCTGCGAGAGGTGGACGTATCACATTGTGAGGTCTCAGAAAAAGCCCTCGTTTCTTTGGCTAAATGCAAAAGCACTCTGACAACTTTAAAGATGGTTCATTGCCGTCAAATTACTGAGTTCAAGGAACTCCGTCATTTGACTGGTCTTAAGAGTTTAGACGTTTCAGACACTTGGCTAGACGATGGAAATGGAATTCGGTTTTTTGTAAATCTGGTCAATCTCCGAATGTTGAACTTGAGTGGAACAGAAATTGTTTCACTGGATCCATTAAATAATCTGGCGATGCTCACAAATCTCGACTTGTCATGTTGTAGGGAGATCGAAAGCATTAAACCTTTGGAAACCATTCGTAGGTATGATTTACGTAGTAATTATAATAAATACGAAAAAGTCTTTAAGAGGGTGTTCAGTTCCACGTTAACTGTCTTTATCAGATTGTCTTTCTGGACAGGAACCCTTGGTAAAATTTCCACACAGCCCCATGCCATTGTAAAACAAATCTGTTTTCCCAATGGCAATGTATTGTTTTTTCATTGTTTTCTCTATCCAAGAACTGAATGCATAATGTAGTATGGGGCTGTACGGAAATTTTACCAAACCCTTTATCAGAGAGCAAACTTTGTGGTCCACAGTCTACATTGAAGGAGTGACATTGGTTAAGATCCCATCTGAGAGGAAAAACAACTCTCCCGGCTGCTTCATGAAAAAACTCTCATAAACTCTTCTAGTGTGGACAATGTGCTCCAGTAGCACTAGTAGCTGGCATTTTCAGCAACTCCTTTTTTTTTATGAACTGCTAGCTACTTTAATAAGCAAAAACAGAAAGTGCTTTCTCAATCTCTCATAAGTGTTCATCTAGCAAAGACTGTTTTTCAGTTTACCCACTTGGCTTTTTTTCATCAAACTAATTTTTAGAACTTTATAGAACTTATGTGTATGCATTGAAGTGTAGCAGAGCAAAATTTTCTATATGCAACATTCAAACTTCTGCAATGAAAATGTTGTAAAACAATTGATTCACAAATCATCTGGGCATACATTGAGATATAAAACACTTAGAAATTTGACGAGCACCCAAGAATCTCAAGTTGCCCCTAGTTACTGCATTAAAAACCTCCAGAGTGCATGATATCTCAATGAACAAATGCTGATCCATTGACCAAATGTTAACTTAAAAATTAAACTTCGTCTCTTGTCCTTTTTTCGTTGTTAGGTCCCTACAGTGGTTGTCTCTATACAATTGTAGAAAACTGTTTTCGTCAAATCAGATGTTACTAGAAAGTTTAAAGAATTTGACCCAACTGCAACATCTGGACTTATCAAAACACGATCCAGATGAAGTAGTGGAAATGGATAGATTTCTAAGTTGCAGTGCAGTCTTGGTGAACAGACAATTTTTGGAACGATTGCTGCCATCTCTTCCAAATTTAGATTGGCTGGACCTTTCAGGTTTGACTTTTGATTCTTCATTACATTCATATGTCAGTTGCACTTATCTCTAACTTCCTATTATATTGAGCTCAGTTGGTATCCTAGGATGGACTTGTTTTAGCTGATATTTTGAATCTCTGATGTTATGAACCATTGCTACTTGTTTAGGGTTGTCAAAATAAGCCAGAAACAGGGGCATTCCATAGTCTACTCTGAAAAACACCCAGCTATTCCAGATGCTTGCGGCTCAATTTTCAGCATAGAAGCATGACATTATGCATTAAGCCTATTTTGTAACACTGTCTAGTTACTTAAAATCCATTTTTTTATTTATGGCAGGTAATGCTAAGTTCAGCAACAGGGACTTTGATCTCTTTAATCAATACCGTTCAAAGATGCTGAAATTCTTGGGATTGTTTATGACAGATATGTGCCATTTTCATGAAATTCCTGCAGATGAGGCAAGTGTAAATATGTTACTGGTCAGACTAACATTTGAAGTTGCAAGATTTTATTTGATACAAGCAGAAGATGACAAGAGAGTGGGGAAGAAGAGAGGGAGGCTTCTGGTCTATTCTTGGGACTGCACTAGTCTTTGACTCTTGATGCAGGCATTTCACTAAAATAACCTGGTCATGTAAACAAACCCATGACACTTAGTTTAAGAGCAGATTTTGCTCTGAATATGACATAAAAATGAAGTCATAACCTGTATTGAATGCTCAAAGCCACCTTCAGTTTACTATAAGTTTTCCTTTTTGACTTAAAATACTCATCGTCTAAGTGCAAAAGAATTCAATTCAAGTCTTAATGACAACAGATTTTGGTGTGAAAGCTCCTCAATCCCTAACTTAGGTCTTGACACAAGGATGTACAATTGATAACATGGAATTCCTTTTATTTTAATTTGTGATGATAGGTGTCTGGAAGGAGGAATATGAAACAGGTCACATTTGCTGTGTCCATTTATCACAACAGACCTGAATTTCTGGTCAAGGCTCTGCAAGAATTGTTTAATTTCCTCAATACAGATAGAGCTGATGGTTTCACCCCAAAGTTTGTTTGTGATGTAAGTGCCAGTCTCTGTCATTTTCTAGTAAGGGGAAATACTGAGGTTCTGAACACTTGGTGAGCCTTTAATAATTTGAGACAATTTAACATATTTCTCAATGTAGCTTGAAAATTTTTTGCTCATTCAACCATTTCCCTTACAACAGTTCTTTAGGGTATAGAAAATTCTGACCAGCCTGTTGATTATTGTTATTTACTGTACTTTAAGGTTTCTTGTTCCAATTCAGTGTCATGAACTTTCATTCAAGCTTATTTGCCCTTTGATGTTTATGTCCCCTTCCCCCTCCTAAAAAAATGAAGGGTTTGGTGGCAACCCCCCCCTCCCCCCCTCAGGCTGGAGAGATTATTAATGGTAGAGAAATAAGTTTACATGACAAAAATCCAAGTAAATGAATGGAAAGTCAAGGATTAGAGGATGAAAATGGGATCCTAATGCTTAACAAGACTTATACTGGGGGAATGTATAAACTGTGCTGTGCAGGTACATGTGAAGTAGATCCATTATTAGACATGAAATTTGGACCGTGCTGGTGAACTGTCTCAGAATTTTTAGGTGAACTGTCTTTTAATTCCTTTTTGAACCATCATATCTTTTATATCTTTGCATTTGTACAGGTTGTGCTGGGTGCCATGGAGAGTCACCCAAAAGATAAACTTGTTCAACTTGCTGGGAGGTAATAAGCAAGCCAGATATATATAGTCATGTAATTTTTTTGCAATCCTTTTGTATGATGGGATCCAAAGTTAGTGTAAAACTTGTGGAAATATTTTTTGCACCAAACAATTAATTGTTTAGTTAGGTGAAGAAAATCTTAATTTTATTTAAAAAAAAATTTTCATATTGGTCATTAATTGACTCTTTTGTTTGATCCTTTCATTATTTGTAGTGCATCTTTGTATCATCTGTCCAGAGATGATGATGGAAACATGAATCTGTCTGAGGAGTTAAAGAGGTGACTGCATTCTTCACTATTGTAGCATAGATGCATCTGATTTCATTCATCTTGTAAGAATTAAAATAGACTTGCTTAATGGGATAGATTGTTAGGTGTCTGTATGTTTTATAATCAAAAAGTTCCCATTACCGTGAATTGTAGCAAATGGATCAACTGATATACACTCTTCAACTATCTTAATTTCAGCCTTTTTTCTTTGTTTTTTCTGCATGACTGTAACATTTTTTATAACAAATAAGACTATATTTATTATGTATTGACTATTTTTCTCAGCCGTATCATTGAGGTGATTATTGGTGCAATGGATTATCATGTCAAGGAGGAGCAGGTATTATTTACAAACACAATCTGAGTGTGACAATTACAGTGTAACCTGTGTTGAAATATGCTTTTATCAATGTCCAGAAATTCATGGGTGTGAAATTTTTTTT